ATTGTGGCCGTACCTCACGGACTACCTGTACACGCCAGTTGCAGAGCCTACGAATTTTGATCTTGTGATCACCGGGATTCTACAACGGTCATTAAGTGTGAAAAACAGCCATGAGTCACTTTATTCAGTGCGGTTGCAATTTGGAACGGTTGCTAAGCGAATGGTTATAACTCGAGGACTACCTGTACTATAGAATGAATTCAAGAGTGGTTTCCTACCGTACTTCGGGCAATTAGTATCTCTAAGACCATGAACCAACTCCCAGAATTCCTCAGCCAGCAGGTTGACTGGGGAATTCTGGGAGTGGAAGTCCACCCCTCTTAAAGGATGCTGGCTGGGGAATTCTGGGAGTGGAAGTCCACCCCTCTTAAAGTAGGTTGGCTGGGGAATTCTGGGAGTTGAAGTCCACCCCTCTTAAAGGATGCTGGCTGGGGAATTCTGGGAGTGGAAGTCCACCCCTCTTAAAGTAGGTTGGCTGGGGAATTCTGGGAGTTGAAGTCCACCCCTCTTAAAGGATGCTGGCTGGGGAATTCTGGGAGTGGAAGTCCACCCCTCTTAAAGTAGGTTGGCTGGGGAATTCTGGGAGTGGAAGTCCACCCCTCTTAAAGGATGCTGGCTGGGGAATTCTGGGAGTGGAAGTCCACCCCTCTTAAAGTAGGTTGACTGGGGAAGTCTGGGAGTGGAAGTCCACCCCTCTTAAAGGATGCTGGCTGGGGAATTCTGGGAGTGGAAGTCCACCCCTCTTAAAGTAGGTTGGCTGGGGAATTCTGGGAGTTGAAGTCCACCCCTCTTAAAGTAGGCTGGCTGGGGAATTCTGGGAGTTGAAGTCCACCCCTCTTAAAGCATGGCTGGCTGGGGAATTCTGGGAGTGGAAGTCCACCCCTCTTAAAGTAGGTTGGCTGGGGAATTCTGGGAGTGGAAGTCCACCCCTCTTAAAGTAGGTTGGCTGGGGAATTCTGGGAGTTGAAGTCCATCCCTCTTAAAGCAGGCTGGCTGGGGAATTCTGGGAGTGGAAGCCCACCCCTCTTAAAGGATGCTGGCTGGGGAATTCTGGGAGTGGAAGTCCACCCCTCTTAAAGCATTGCTGTCTGGGGAATTCTGGGAGTGGAAGTCCATCCATTTAAAAGCAAGCTGTCTGGGGGATTCTGGGAGTTGAAGCCCACCCATCTTCTAGTTGCTAAGTTTGAGAAGCTCTTGGCCCTCTCTAGCTAAAGCAGGGGTCTCCAAACCATGGTATGTGGACCAGGCCACGGCGTGCCAGAAGCCTCCCAAACAGGTGAAGTCCCATCTCTGGGATGCAGGCAGCATGCAAAACCATCTCCCTTCCGGTCCACGGAAAAACCTCTCTCCACAGAACCGGTCCCTGGGGCCCCAAAGATTGGGGGGCCGCTGAGCTAAAGGATCTTGGGTGGGTGGGGGGATACCTAAGAGCCATATCTCCGTTGCTTTACTCCGTTGGCTCTTAACACCCAGCGGGGATAAAATGTGCCCCAGATTTTGCGTCTCCCTGCCAAGGAGCATCAATGTCCTGCTTGCTTTGAATGTGAGGGAGGGTCTTCCGCCTCAAAACCCCCCACCTTTTTCCCCCCGGGGTGTATGTATTTGTGTTGTTGGTGCCGCATCCGCCTTCTAACTCACTCTTTTTGTGTTTGCATGGTGCATGCCGTCCCTTGTGCAATTCAGACAGCAGTGAAGGTAACGTGCTCTCCGTTAACCCCAAAGGCCATCTCCTTTTTACCTCTCCCTCTCTTCTTCTCCTCCTTCCCTCCGTTTCTTTGCATCCAGCTTTCGGGCCTCGCGTGTCTGTCTGTCCTTCTGCTGCCGGTTCATCACACCTGGCATTTCAACACTTTTTCACAGGGGCTTCCCCCAGGTGTGGTCCCAAACAGTCAAGATGGCGGCCACGAATGGTTCCATCAGAGCTCTCCGTTGTTTCCACCTGCATCAGGAGGGGCTTCTGTTGAACCAGTGGGTGTTAAGGAATTCACAGAGTAACCCTTGAGTAGCAAGGGTGTGCACATGAAAACTATTGAGAGTAGTTACGAATAAACACAGATACACTGAGTTGTGTTTACTTTCAGGAAATAGTAAGGCACAGTCCAATAAACAGTCCAGGTCATACACATATAAAGCAGGAGATAGCAAAACGACAGTCCAGGGATAATCCAATAACAAAGTCTTCTTACCAGTTGTCGTAGTCATTCACAATAAACAGTTCTTCCGGATTTGCATACAGAGATATCAGAGAGCAAGAACAGCAAACCATGTTTCTAGCTCCCTCTTCAGGGCATTGGCTACAGAGCTAACCAATCAGGACACAGTGTGATGCAGTACAGCAGTCTTAAAGCTACATTGATGGTTTATATATTGCCAACCCAACAAGTTAGGTAATAGTCATTTCCTAACAGTGGACTTGTCATCTTGAGTTTTTCGACCATACCTTGCGGACCCCTCCCCCACCCCCTACATTTTCAGATGGGACACAGCAGGGTTTGCCAATCATGGAGAGAAGCAACCTAGAAATAAGGAGAAACTTCCCTACAGTGGGAACAATTAACCAGTGGAACGACTGGACACAAGGAGTTGTGGGTGCTCCAACACGGGAGGCTTTTCAAGGAGAGACTGGACAGCCGTTTGTCTGGACTGGAATGCTTGAGCAGGAGGTTGGACTAGAAGGCCTCCAAGGTCCCTTCCAGCCGTAGGATTCTAGAAGGAAAAAGAAGGAAAAAGAGAGGAAGGGAGGGAGGGAGGGAGGGAGGGAGGGAGGAAGGAAGGAAGGAAGGAAGGAAGGAAGGAAGGAAGGAAGAAGAAAGAAAGAAAGAAAGAAAGAAGAAGAAAGAAAGAAAGAAAGAAAGAAGGAAGGAAGGAAGGAAGGAAGGAAGGAAGGAAGGAAGGAAGGAAGGAAGAGAAAGAAAGAGAAAGAAAGAAAAGAAAGAAAGAAAGAAAGAAAGAAAGACGGACAGGGAGGGAGGGAGGGAAGGACCTTGGAGGTCTTCTAGTCCAACCCCCTGCTCAAGCAGGAGAAACCTCTACCATTTGAGACAAATGCTTGTCCAGTCCCTTCTTGAAAACTTCCAGTGTTGGAGAAGGAAGGAAGGAAGGAAGGAAGGAAGGAATATTTTATATATTCAATTTTAAATTGTTTTAAATTTTGAATATTTATATGTGTTTTAATATGGCTGTACACCGCCCTGAGTCCTTCGGGAGAAGGGCGGTATAGAAATCTAATAAATAAAATAATAAAATAAAATAATAAAGTAAAGTAAAGTAAAATAATAAAGTAAAGTAAAGTAAAGTAAAGTAAAGTAAAGTAAAGTAAAGTAAAGTAAAGTAAAGTAAAGTAAAGTAAAATGAAGGAAGCAAGGAAGGAAGGAAGGAAGGAAGGAAGGAAGGAAGGAAGGAAGGAAGGAAGGAAGGATAGCAGAATAACAGAGTCGGCAAGGCAGACAGAAGGTTTTTATTGCATACTAACACACACACACAACACACACACACACAAATGGCTGCCTGCCATGCTTACCCCGGCAGTGCAGGTAAGGCGGTGGACCTCCCATCTCGTCTCATCAACTTCCTAACTACATTTTCATTAGGACCTTCTCGGCTGCCGCTCGCTCGTCCTCTCTGCTCCTGGCTCTTGTTCTTCCCTCCCATGCGCGATGAATGACCACAAGGCCGGGCGAGGGTCCCGCCCCACAGGGACCCCGATGGAGCCCCCCCTCCTCCCCTTAATGCAATTGTCCTCCCCTCCTCTGGTCCCTGGCCACGGAAGAGGCGCAGAAGGGATCTCCTCCTGGGAAACGTCTGCGGAGAATCTGCTGCCTCCGCTCTCAGGCCAGGGATGGAGGCAGCTGGGCTTCCTTGGGGTTTCTTTCCCTGAAAAGGTTTTGCTTCTTCCTTCTTTCCTTCCTTCCTTCCTTCCTTCTTCCCTTCCTCCCTCCCTTCCATTTTCCCCTTCATTTCCCTTTCTTTCTTTCTTCCTTTTCTTCCTTCCTTCATTTCTTTCTTCCTTCCCTCCATCCCCCTTCCTTCCTTCCATCCATCCATCCCCCTTCCTTCCTTCCTTCCTACCTTCCTACCTTTCTTCTTTCGTCCCTCCCTCCCTTCCATTTTCCCCTTCATTTCCCTTTCTTTCTTTTTCTTTTCTTCCTTCCTTCATTTCTTTCTTCCTTCCCTCCATCCCCCTTCCTTCCTTCCCTCTAACCCCCTTCTTTCCTTCTTTCCTTCTTCCTTCTTTCCTTCCTTCTTTCCTCCCTCCCTCCCTTCCATTTTTTCCCTTCATTTCCCTTTCTTTCTTTCTTTTCTTCCTTCTTCTTTTCTTGGCTTTCTCCCTCCCTCCCTCCCTCCTTCCTTTCCTTCCTTCTTTCCTTCCTCCCTCCCTCCCTCCCTCCCTCCCTTCCATTTTCCCTTCTTTTTTCCTTCCCATTTCCTTCCTCCCTCCCTCCCTCCCTTCCATTTTTTTCCCTTCTATTTTTTTCTTCCCATTTTCCTGGCTTTCTCCTTCCTTCCCCCTTCCTCCTTTCCTCCTTCCCTCCTTTCCATTTCACTTTCTTTTTTCTTCCTGTTTTCCCAGCTTCCTCCCTCCTTCCCATTTCCTTCCTTCTTCTTTCCTTCTTTCTTTCCTCCCTCCTTTCCACTTCCCTTCCTTTTTTCCCTTCCTGTTTTTCTACCTTTCTCCCTCTCTCTCTCCCTCCCTCCCTCCCTCCCATCCATCCGTCCCTCTTTTTCCTTTTCTCTCTCTGAAGAACTGAAGAAGCCTCTTGGACGAGAAGCGAGACATTTTCAAAGAAAGCAAACGCAAGAAAGTCCAGTTGCCTTTTATAAAATCTCCGTCCCCTTCTCTGGGGGGGGGGGGTCTGTGGGAGGGATGAGTGCCCTGTCGGTGGGGCTGGGCCTCTTGCCCCCCCCCTGCCCAGGTGTGCTGGTCCTCCTTGCTGTGCTGGGCTGGCATGGGGCCCCCCCTCTCCTTCCTGGGCTCACCCCCCCCATCTCTTCTCTTCCAGCCGGGAGGAAGCAGTTTGCCCGCCACGAGTGGGCCCAGAAAGCCGCCTACCTCCTGGGCTGCAACCTGGAGGAGCTCTCCTCGGCCATCTTCAAGCAGCAGCCCAAGGGCTCCCTGCCGAGGTCCACCTCCTTCCGCCAGGGGCCCGAGGAGGCGGGGCTGGCCGACGGCTCAGGTGAGTGGCCAGGCCTGGGCAGAGCCCCAACTCGGGGCTGCAGGGCGCTTGGGACTTGGAGCCAGCCCCGGGCCGGAGGTCGGCTGCCCCGCGACTGAGTGGCCAGGGTTGCTTCACAGCTGGGGGTTGGGACGCCCCCAAATTGGGGGCCAGGCAAGGCGATTGGTCGAGCCAGGAGCGGCTGGAAATAAATGAGTCCACGAAAGAGGGAGATTGAGTGGGGGGTCAGCTCTAAGCCCCCCCCCCCATGAAATAATCGGCCTTGATCAGGGAGGGGTGGAAAGAGGGGCTCCATGTAATCCATGCGTTACTTCAGGGAATCCCAGGACTGCGACATTTGAGCTTTCTTTCTTTCTTTCTTTCTTTCTTTCTTTCTTTCTTTCTTTCTTTCTTTCTTTCTTTCTTTCTTTCTCACACACTGCAACATTTGAGTCTTTCTTTTTCTTTCTTTCTCTCTTTTTCTCCCTCCCTCCCTCGTTCATTTCCTCTTTTTCTCTCTCTCTCTCACATACACTGCAACATTTGAATCTTTCTTTTTCTTTCTTTCTCTCTTTTTCTCCCTCCCTCCCTCGTTCATTTCCTCTTTTTCTCTCTCTCTCTCACATACACTGCAACATTTGAATCTTTCTTTCGTTCTTTTTTCTTTCTTTCTCTCTCACACACACTGCAACATTTGAGTCTTTTTCTTTCTTTCTCTCTATCTTTCTTTCTCCCTCCCTCTCTCTCTCCCTTCCTCTTTCATTTCCTCTTTTTTTCTCTCTCTCACACATACACTGCAACATTTGAGTCTTTCTTTTTCTTTCTTTCTCTCTATCTTTCTTTCTCCCTCCCTCCCTCCCTCTTTCATTTCCTCTTTTTTTCTCTCTCTCACACATACACTGCAACATTTGAGTCTTTCTTTCTTAATTTCTTTCTTTCTCTCTCTCTCTTTCTCTTTCTTTCTCTCCCTCCCTCTTTCATTTTCTCTTTTTTTCTCTCTCTCTCACACACACTGCAACATTTGCGTCTTTCTTTCTTTCTTTCTTTCTTTCTTTCTTTCTTTCTTTCTTTCTTTCTTTCTCTCTCTCTCTCTCTCTTTCTCTTTCCCTCCCTCTTTCATTTCCTCTTTTTCTCTCTCTCTCTCACACACACTGCAACATTTGAGTCTTTCTTTCTATCTTTCTTTCTCCCTCCCTCTTTCCCTCCCTCCCTCTTTCATTTCCTTTTTTTCTCTCTCACATACACACACTGCAACATTTGAGTCTTTCTTTCTTTCTTTCTTTCTTTCTTTCTTTCTTTCTTTCTTTCTTTCTTTCTTTCTTTTTCTTTCTTTCCCTCCCTCTTTCATTTCCTCTTTTTCTCTCTCTCTCTCTTTCTCTCTCTCTCTCTCACACACACACACTGCAACATTTGAGTCTTTCTTTCTCTCTCTCTCTCTTTCTTTCTTTCTCCTTCCCTCCCTCTTTCATTTCCTCTCTCTCTCTCTCTCTCTCTCTCTCTCACACACACACACACACACTCAAGGTAAGCAGCCGTTTGGATTCGGCTCGTGAAGGAAGCCTCCTCAGCACCAGATGAATCAGAGCGTGAGGCCCTCCGCTGGGTGTTGTGCAGAAGGGGAAGGGAAGGGGTTTCCCCCAAACTCTGCCCTATTTAGTTGGGGAGGGGGTGTTGTAATGCCACTTTTACCTGGATAAGAGCATCCTCCCCCCCCTTCCCCTGGACCTGGGCAAGAGAGAGACGGATGTTCCCCACCCATCCAACGTATCCCGAGCCCTTTGGAGACCCCTGACTCATTTCTGGTGCTGCGGTGGGGTGGGACGGGGGATCCCTTCCAGGCAGCACCCACCTCACCTCCCCCCTCCCTTTTCCTCTCTCTGCAGGTCCCAAAACCTCTGCCTTGGAGTGCTTGGAAGCCCTGACCTCCGGCTTGTACTCGGAGCTGTTCACTCTCCTCATCTGCCTACTCAACAGGTAAGAGACTGCAGGGGTCTCTTCTTCCTCCACGTGCCCCCTCCTCTTTTTTTTTTTTTGCTTTAATTTATATGCCGCCCTTCTCCGGAGACTCAGGGCGGCTTACAATGCATTAAGCAATAGCCTTTCATACTTTTGTATATTTATACAAAGTCAGCTTATTGCCCCCACAAACTGGGTCCTCATTTAACCTACCTTAGAAAGGATGGAAGGCTGAGTCAACCTGGAGCCTGGCGAGATTCGAACCAGCAGTAATTGCAGGCAGCTGATGTTAATAACAGTGGTTTAGTCCACTGTACTACCGGGACTCTTGCCCGTCTCCGGCCATTAACAGGCTCCATCAGTGTCCGAGATCTGGCCAGACCTCCTCCCCCCCCCCCGATGCCAATGGGGGGTGGGCTTTTTACACCCAGCCGAGTTTTTCCCCCTTTCTAAAAGCCAGGATGAAATGAGGACGGGGGGGGGGTCCTTCAGCCCATATAGCTCCACAACCTCCCAAGGGATGGGGGGGGGCTTTGTCCTTTCTCCGAAGGGGTGGGGGCTACACCTGTGCAGCTGCAGGTAAAGAGACCCCACCAGGCAATAAGCTGGATTGTAACAGGAGCCTTCGTCCACAACCCCTTGGTCCTGGGGTCTCTAGTTTTGGGGTCCTTTCTCTCTCTTTTTTTTTTTTTTAAAAAAAATGGTTTTTCAAAATATAAAATGCAAAGAAAAAAAAAACGAAAAAGTAGTGGGAAACTAAGAAGAGGCGGAAATGTAGGAAAGGAAAGTTTAGTTTAGTTTAGTTTAGTTTGATTTGTATATTTGAAAGGGAGGAAAGGAAAGAAATAGGCACCAACTTCCGACTCTCTTGAGCACAGTAGAAGGTAAACAAAAGGACAACCACAACTTTTTGCTTTTACACAACAAAAGTGTGCACAAGCCATTTCTAGAACGATGAGCCTGCCTAGTTAACAAAAATAAAATCAAAGTTTCATTTATTTATTTATTTTTACATTGAAAGAACAAAATCCGGAAGCAATTTCAGAATAGAAACAAGGTTAGATATAGTCTCTACTTTGGATAAAAAAAATTCAGTTTAGTTTTGGGGTCCTTTCTTCATTTACACAGATATGGTACCCCCATTTCCTGTCAATACAGGCAGTCCTCGACTTACAACCATCCGTTTAGTGACCAAAGTTACAACGGCACTGAAAAAAAGCGACTTACGACTGGTTTTTCACACTTAGGACTGTTCCACCACTCTCACGCTCACAAGATCAAAATCTGGACACCTGTCAACTATCTCCTATTTATGACGGTGGTCGCAGTGTCCCAGGGTCACGTGATCCGTTCTTGCGACCTTCTAAAGCCGAGGAGTGTGGGAGGAGTCAGATTCGCTTAACGACCCCACGGTTCACTTAACAGCTGCAGCGATTCGTTGAACGACTGTGGCAAACACTCACTCCGCGGCTGCCTCGCTTAGCCGGGGAAATTCCAGCCTCTTATCGCCGTCGTAAGTCGAGGACTGCCGATGCTGGGACTTTCCAAGGCCAAGTTAATCGTGTCCTTCCGTTGGGCTAATTTTCTGCCGCTTGATTTTTTTTTTTTTTTTTAGACAATAGGCTAATTAGCTGTGAAAATCTTCTCCCGCTTAACGAGGCTCTGTTGTCACAACACCGTAATGCGCAAATGCCACGTTTGAGGATGATTTTCAGAAATCATTTCATTCCACATATTTAGTAACACGACCAAAATGGGCTTCTTCCTCTATTGACATTATAGCAAAGCCCTGCAGGGCAGCAGAGTGGTGCGGTGGCCTAGAGGGGGCGCTCTCGCCTGTGAGTTCGATCCTAGGTAGAGGCAGATATTTCTCTCTCTGGGCTCAATGAATATATATCCACTGAACAAAACTCCTCATCGGCAACAGGGAAGGGCATCCGGCCAGTAAAAGCTCTGCTAGCTCCATTCAGTTGCCCAGACTCCACCCCGCAAGGGATTATGGGGGTCGTTAAACGAGGATGATGAAAGCCATGCCATGCCTGTGATTATATATCTTTTTTTTTTTTTTTCATTTTAACAAAAATCACCTATAATTGGAATCTGGAATCGTGCCAAATAAAGCTCGAAGGCATGGATGGACAGGCAGGGTCATAAAAAGGTACTGGTATTCCTCGACTTACGACCATAAGTGAGCCCAAAATTTCCTGTGCTAACCGAGACCGTTTTGAATGAGTTCTTTGAGCCGTTTTACGACTTTAAGTGAATCACTGCAGCTGTTAACTAACACTGGTTGTTAAGCGAATCCAGCTTCCCCCATTGATTTTGCTCATTGGAAGGTCGCAAAGGGGGATCACGTGATCCCAGGACACTGTGACCGTCATAAGTATGAATCAGTGGCCTAATGTCCGAATTCCGCCCATGAAACCATGCAACGGTCATAAGGATGAAAAATGGTCATAAGTCTCTTTTTTCAGTGCCCTTGTAACTTCAAACGGTCACTAAGCGAACGGTGATAAGTCAAGCATTACCTGTAGAGGTAGCCCTTGACTTTAACAACAGTTCATTTATTGGTCATTCGAAGTTACAACAGCACTGAAAGAAGTGACTTAGGACCATTTTCCACACTTACGACCGTTCCAGCATCCCCCATGGTCACGTGATCAAAATTCAGGCCCTTGGCAACTGACTCGTATTTATGACCGCCCCAGTGTCCCGGGGACACGTGATCCCCTTTTGCGACCTTCTGACAGGCAGAGTCACACGGAGAAGCCCGATTCACTTAACAACCGTGTGACGGACTTCACCACTGCAGCGTTTCACTTAACAACCTTTTAATTTATTATTTATTTATTTATTATCAAATTTATAGACCGCCCTTCTCCCGAAGGACTCAGGGCGGTGTACAGCCAAAGTAAAAAACATAGATACAAACATTAAAAACAATTTAAAAAGATATATATAAGTTTGGCCCCAAAGTTAAAAAACAGTAACAAAACATATTAAAAACATTTTAAAAAGTGGTAACCTTGAGGCTACCTTAACCACTGCAATGTTTCACTTAACAACCTTGAGCTACCATAACCACTTCAGTGTTTCACTTAACAACCTTGAGCTACCATAACCACTTCAGTGTTTCACTTAACAGCCGTGTGACAGACTTAACCACTGCAGTGTTTCACTTAACAACCTTGAGGCTACCTTAACCACTGCAATGTTTCACTTAACAATCTTGAGGCTTCCTTAACCACTGCAATGTTTCAATTAACAACCTTGAGGCTACCTTAACCACTGCAGTGTTTCACTTAACAACCTTGAGGCTACCTTAACCACTGCAGTGTTTCACTTAACAACCTTGAGGCTACCTTAACCACTGCAATGTTTCACTTAACAACCTTGAGGCTACCATAACCACTGCAGTGTTTCACTTAACAACCTTGAGCTACCTTAATCACTTCAGTGTTTCACTTAACAACCTTGAGGCTACCTTAACCACTGCAGTGTTTCACTTAACAACCTTGAGGCTACCTTAACCACTGCAGTGTTTCACTTAACAACCTTGAGGCTACCATAACCACTGCAGTGTTTCACTTAACAACTTTGAGGCTTCCTTAACCACTGCAGTGTTTCACTTAACAACCTTGAGGCTACCTTAACCACTGCAGTGTTTCACTTAACAACTGTGGCAGGAAAGGTTATCAAACGGGACAAAAAACTCACTGCCCTGCTTAGCGATCCAAATTTGGGGGGAGGGGGGGTGTCAGTCATGGTCGTAAGCCGAGGACTACCCGTAATGTCCTTTTGTCCAGCGAGCCAAGCGGAATTGCTACCAGGTGGGGCAGAAACCGAGGGCCCTTGTTCGGAAATGGCTATTGTCTAACTAGTTGGTCAGGCAATATATAAACTCTCCATACATGTTTGTCAAAAGGTATTATATTGCTTTAAGGCTGTATTGCATCATCCTGTATCCTGATTGGCTGAGCTCTCTAGCCAATGTACTTAAGGGGAAGCCTGAATCATGGCTTGTGGACACTACCCCATTTTATCTGCTTATTGGCTGTTACTCTCTACCTGATCTCTCTGCATGATCACTTGTTTGATTATTGCAATTTGTTGCTTTCTACTATTTATTGACTGTTTTAATACTGAACTCGTTCCTGTTTGAAACTCAAGAAGAACTGTTTTTATTGTGTAATGACAACAACTGGTAAGAAGACTTTGTACTTGGAATATCCCTGAATTGATATTTTAACTATCGCCTTATCTGTGTATGACTTGGATTGTTATTGGACTTTTCCTAAAAAGTAGAAGACTACCACAACTCAGTGGGTCAGTATATAAACTGTGATTATTCATAAACACTCTCAGCCGTTTTTCCATGTGCATACTCAAGGGGTACTCTGCCCCATAACCCATAACATCAGTTATGAGCCAAGAATATCCTTAACAACCCTCCCACATCATTTCCACCCCACCCTCCGACCTCCCTCTCTTTCCCTGCAGGGCTCTGAAGTCCAACCAGCGTTCCTTGTGCTCCATGATGATCGTGGACACGCCCGGCCTACAGAACCCCGAGATGGCCGGACAGAGCCGGGGGGCCACGTTTGAGGAGCTGTGCCACAACTACGCCCAGGAGAGGCTGCAGGGGCTCTTTCACGAACGCACCTTCGTGCAGGAGCTGGAGCGATACAAGGAGGTAAGCTTCCCTGGGTGGGAGGGAGGGAGGGACCCAAAAGAAGAGGAGGGGAGGACCTGGAAGCCACAGATGGAAACTCATCAAGGAAGTGAACTAAGGAGGAATTTCCTGACCGCGAGGACAATTAACCAGTGGAACAGCTTGCCACCAGAAGTTTGTAAACGCTATAGGAGCATTTGTAAAAGTATAGGAGCGTGGGTTGGACTAGAAGACCTCCAGGGTCCCCGTTATTCTGTTAAGGATGGCAACTAGGAGAGAAGCAACCTAGAACTAAGGAGAAATTTCCTGACTCGGAGAACAATTAACCAGTGGAACAGCTTGCCACCGGAAGTTGTGGGTGCTTCATCGCTGGAAGCTTTTAAGGAGAGACTGGACAGCCATTTGTCTGGAATGGTGTAGGGTCTCCTGCTTGAACAGGGGGTTGGACTAGAAGACCTCTAAAGTCCCTTCCAACTTCGTTATTCTATAATTCTATGGAAGGAAGGAAGGAAGGAAGGAAGGAAGGAAGGAAGGAAGGAAGGAAGGAAGGAAAAGAAGGAAGGGAAGGAAGGAAGGAAGGAAGGGAAAGAAGGAAGGAAGGAAGGAAGGGAAGGAAGGAAGGAAGTGAAAGAAGGAAGGAAAGGAAGGAAAGGAAGGAAGGAAGGAAAGGGAAGAAGGGAAGGGAAGGAAGGAAGGAAGGAAGGAAGGAAGTGAAAGAAGGAAGGAAGGAAGGGAAGGAAGGAAAGGAAGGAAGGGCAATGGTTGGAAACTAATCAAGGAGAGAAGCAACCTGGAATTAAGGAGAAATTTCCTGACAGTGAGAACAATTGACCAGTGGAACTGCTGGCCACCAGAAGCTGTGGATGCTCCATCATGGGAGGTTTTCAAGAAGAGACTGGACAGCCCTTTGTCTGAAATGGCGTAGGGTCTCGTGCTTGAACGGGGTTGGACTAGAAGACCTCTAAAGTCCCTTCCAACTTCGTTATTCTATAATTCAATGGAAGGAAGGAAGGAAGGAAAGGAAGGGAAGGAAGGATGGAAGGAAGGAAGGAAAGGAAGGGAAGAAGGGAAGGAAGGAAGGAAGGAAGGAAGGAAGGAAGGAAGGAAGGAAGGAAGGAAGGAAGGAAGGGAGGGCAATGGTTGGAAACTAATCAAGGAGAGAAGCAACCTGGAATTAAGGAGAAATTTCCTGACAATGAGAACAATTGACCAGTGGAACTGCTGGCCACCAGAAGCTGTGGATGCTCCATCATGGGAGGTTTTCAAGAAGAGACTGGACAGCCCTTTGTCTGAAATGGCGTAGGGTCTTGTGCTTGAACGGGGTTGGACTAGAAGACCTCTAAAGTCCCTTCCAACTTCGTTATTCTATAATTCTATGGAAGGAAGGAAGGAAGGAAAGGAAGGGAAGGAAGGAAGGAAGGATGGAAGGAAGGAAGGAAAGGAAGGGAAGAAGGGAAGGGAAGGGAAGGGAAGGGAAGGGAAGGAAGGAAGGAAGGAAGGAAGGAAGGAAGGAAGGAAGGAAGGAAGGAAGGAAGGAAGGGAGGGCAATGGTTGGAAACTAATCAAGGAGAGAAGCAACCTGGAATTAAGGAGAAATTTCCTGACAGTGAGAACAATTGACCAGTGGAACTGCTTGCCACCAGAAGCTGTGGATGCTCCATCATGGGAGGTTTTCAAGAAGAGACTGGACAGCCCTTTGTCTGAAATGGCGTAGGGTCTCCTGATTGAGCAGGAGGTTGGACTAGAAGACCCCCAAGGTCCCTCCCCACTCTTGTTATTTTGTTCGGCTGAGATTGCCCTATGCCGAGATGAGATGGTAGTCTCCAAGCTTGGCGACCCTTGAAGACTCGTGGCCTTTAACTCCCAGAATTCTGGGAGTTGAAGTCCACAAGCCTTCCAATGGCCAAGCTTGGAGCTCCCTGCCCTACGTATTGGGTCCTCCAGAGGGCACCTAGACCCTCAATATCCTGCTCCTCACCTTTTCTCCCCACGGGGAATTCTCTCTTTCAGCCCACCCGGATTTTATTTCCTTGCACTTTCCAGGCGGGTGCGGTGATGGGGGGGCTGCGGAGGGGGTGGCCGGTGGACTCTCTCTCCTGACTAATGCACTGACCACTGGTGTCTCCATCTCTCCTCTCTCTGGGCGCCTTGGACCTGTGGCCACTGGACACTAATCACACCTCCTCTGTCCCTGCTCTCTAGGAGAACGTAGACCTCTCCTTAGACGCCTTGGAGCCCAGTGTCTCGGGCTCCGTGGCCACAATGGACGAAGCGTCCCATCAGGCACTGGTAAGCAGCATGGGAAACGGGGTTCAAGGCCCCCAACTCTTCCCCTTCTTCCGTCTCTCTCCCCTTCCTTGCTTGGGACCCCCTGGCCTTGCGGAAGAGTTGGGCTGCGACGTGATACTATACAAGTTAAGGGCACAGGGAGGCAGTCCTCGACATACGACCGCAACGGAGCCCCAGATTTCCGCCGCTAAGCGGGACCGTTGCTTGCCCCCGTTGTTGAGCGAATCGTTGCAGTTGTCGGGTTAACAGAGGTGGTCCATAACCAAACTTTCTGTTCGCTAACTGAGACGGCGGTTCAGGGGAATTCTGTCCCGCTTTGTGACTTTCCTTGCCAACTGGATCGTTGCAGTTGTTGGGTTAGCAGAGGTGGTCCTCGGCTTAACGCCCGTAATTAAGCATAAAAGTTTCTGTGGTTAAGCGAGACAGTGGTTCGGTGACTTTTGCCCTGTGTTAACTGCCTTTCTTGCCTCAGTTGCTAAGTGAGTCGCTGCAGTTGTTAAGTGAGTCGCTCGGTTGTTAAGTGAATCTGGCTCCTGGGAATTCTGGGAAGTCCTCATTTTAAAGCAGAGGCCTTCAAACTTGGCAGCTTTAAGACTTGTGGACTTCAACTCCCAGAATTCTCCAGCTGGCTGGGGGATTCTGGGAGTTGAAGTCCACAAGTCTTAAAGCTGCCAAGTTTAAAGACCTCTGCTTTAAAGCATGGCTGGCTGGGGGATTCTGGGAGTTGGAGTCCACCCCTCTTAAAACCTGCTGGCTGGGGGATTCTGGGAAGCCCTTTCACAATTGCCCCCCCCTCTCTGATTTTTCCTGCCAAACCCTGCCTGAAGTCCATCAGCCCCCGCCGCGAGGACTGTGTGGTTGTGTGTTCCCGCCTGCCCGGGCCTGGCGTGTGTGTGTTTTTGTGTGTTTTTGTGTGTGTTTGTACGGAGAGCAGCTCTTTTTGTGCTCCCCACTGAGTTGCAGGGAGTAATTTCGAGGCTTAAGGCTCCGGATTGAATTTCCGTGCAGCCGAAGCCCCTTTTATTAAGTATTGATTCTTGGCGGGGAAGTTTTTGTTCCCAGGCTGGAGCCGAACGAACGGAGCCGGCCGCTCGGGCTGCCTCCCCTGCGGGGCTTTGGGGCTGGGGCATGCCAGGCCGGGAGGGGCAGCAGCGTCTGACCCTTCTCGTCCCTCTGCTTTTCCAGGCCCCCTCCCCAAATCTCCAGTCACTGACCGTCCGTGGAGATTCTCAACACTCCAAGTCACGGTTGCCCCAAAGGTAACTGGTTTTTTTCTTTGAAAACATTTCGCTTCTCATCCAAGAAGCTTCTTCAGTTCTTCCAGGGTCTGTCCGTCCGTCCTTCCTTCCTTCCTTCCCTCCCTCCCTCTCTCCCTTCTTTCTTTCTTTCCTTCATTCCTTCCTTCCTCTTGCTTTCTTTCTCTCTCTCTCTCTGTCATGCTCTTTTTCTCTTCTTTCTTTCTTTCCTTCCTTCGTTCCTCTTGCTTTCTTTCTTTCTCTCTCTTTCATGCTCTTTTTCTCTTCTCTCTTTTCTCTTCTTTCTTTCTTTCCTTCCTTCCTTTCTCCCTCCCTTCCTCCCTTCCTTACTCTCTCCCTCCTGTCTTTCTTTCTTTCTTTCTTTCTTTCTTTCTTTCTTTCCTTCATTCCTTCCTTCCTTCCCTCCCTCTCTCCCTTCTTTCTTTCCTTCCTTCCTTCCTTCCTCTTTCTTTCTTTCTTTCTCTCTCTCTCTTTCATGTTCTTTTTCTCTTCTTTCTTTCTTTCTTTCCTTCCTTCCTTCCTCTTTCTTCCTTCCTTTCTCTCTCTCTTTCATGCTCCTTTTCTCCTCTCTTTTCTCTTCTTTCTTTCCTTCCTTCCTTCCTTTCTCCTTCCCTTCCTTCCTTCCTTTCTCTCTCTCTCCTGTCTTTCTTTCTTTCCCTCCTTCCTTCCTCCCTCTCTCCCTCCTTTCTTTCTTTCTTTCTTTCTTTCCTTCCTTCCTTCCTTCCTTCCTTCCTTCCTTCCCTCCCTCCCTCCCTCCCTCCCATCTTCCTTCCTTCCTTCCTTCCTTCCTTCCTCCTCCCGTCTTTCTTTCTTTTCCTTCCTTCCTTCCCTCCCTCCTTCCCTCTCTCCCTTCCTCCTCCCTCTCTTTCCTTCCTTCCTTCCTTCTTTCTGTTTTTCTCTCTCTTTTCTTTCTCTCTCTCTCTCTCTCCCTTTCTTTCTCTCTCCCTCCTCCTCTTTCAGTGTCCCTCAGTGAAGAAGCTTCTTGGATCAGGAGCAAAACGTTTTCAAGGAAAAACCCAAGGAAGTCCAGTCGACTTTTGGAAAAGCCCCTTTGAGACTTCCATCACTGATGTCCATCCTGTAACATTTTGGGGGCCTCCCCGCAGGTTCGCACCCTGGCCCGGACCGACGAAGCCCGTGGCCTGCTGTGGCTGTTGGAGGAGGAGTCCTTCCAGCCTGGGGGCAGCGAGGAGGGTCTTCTCGAGCGGCTCTTCACCCACTACGGCCCACAGGACGGAGACAAAAAAGGTACTCGGGGAAGGAAGGGTGTTGAACTGGGATAAACTGGAGTCACCCTGAATCCGGTGGGGTCGCTCTGGTTTTCCCTCTTGGCTTCTGTCTTTGGAGCAGAAACAGCCTCCCAAGGGGAGCCAAGGATTGGTAGTCCTCGATTTACGACAACAGTGGGGGCACAGCTTGGGGGGGGGCGTAGCAGAGGAAGGTTACTGCAAAATCCCCATTTCCTCCTGATCAGCTAGGACTAAATGGGGAGGGGGCCCAGAGTCCTGAATTTTCACCTCTCTTACTTTGGCAGCCTCCAACCCGCTTCTCCGGAGCAATAAAGCTCGGCATTTCTTCCTGGGACACAGCTACGGCACCAACTGGGTGGAGTACGACACCAGCGGCTGGCTGAGCTACGTCCGGCAAAATCCTGCCTCTCAGAACAGTTTGGTCCTCCTCCAGGAATCCCAAAAGTAAGGCAGACGGTCTTTGGGTGGGTGGGTGGGTGGGCTAGCAAACCCCCTTGGGCTGCCCGGGGAAGCTCTGACCTCAGGCAGGCAGGAGGACCTTTCTCTGAAACTGGAGGCTTTGAAGAAGAGACAGGACAGGCATTTGCCTGAAAGGCTATTAGGGTCTCCTGCTTAAACGGGGGGTTGGAATAGAAGACCTCCCAGGTCCCTTCCAGCGGAAGGAAGGAAGGAAGGAAGGAAGGAAGGAAGGAAGGAAGGAAGGAAGGAAGGAAAAAAATCTGAAAGGAAAAAGGAGAAGGAAAATTGTGGAGGAGGAGGAGTGGCAGAACAAGGCGGTAGAGTCAATCAAGGCATCCGCCTACAATCCCTACATAGCCACAAATGAACCCAAGAAGGAAGGAAAAGGAAAAAGATGAGTAAAATGACAAAGGGAAATGGGAAGGGAGGGAGGGAGGAAGAAAGGAAGGAGGGAGGGAGGGAGGGAGGGAAGGAAAGAAGGAAGGAAGGAAGGAAGGAAGGAAGGAAGGAAGGAAGGAAGGAAGGAAGATGGAAAAGAGAAAGGGAAGAGGAGAAGAGGGAAGGAAAAAAAGAAAGGGAGTGTTATAACAGTGTTATTCTGTTAATTCATCTTGAGGAGAAGGAAGGCACCCATCCTCTCTCTCTCTCTCTCTCTCCTCTTTCCTTTTCCTTCCTCAGGAAAATCATCAGCAGCCTCTTTGCAGGCCGAGCGGGGGCCACCACGGTGCTCTCGGGCTCCATCGCGGGCCTGGAGGGGGGCTCCCAGCTGGCCCTGCGCAGAGCCACCAGCATGCGCAAGACCTTCACCACGGGGGTGGCTGCGGTGAAGAAGAAGTCCGTGTGCATCCAGGTCAAGCTGCAGGTGGTGAGTCTCGGGGGGGTTCTGGGCCCAGAGGAAAGGGGGACCCTGCATGTCTAGGGAAAGGCGACTTTAAGATGGGTGGACTTCCAGTTCCAGAATCCCCCAGCCAGCAATGCTTTAAGATGGGTGGATTTTAATTCCCAGAATCCCCCAGCCAGCAATGCTTTAAGATGGGTGGATTTTAATTCCCAGAATCCCCCAGCCGGCATGCTTTAAGATGGGTGGATTTTAATTCCCAGAATTCTCCAGCCTGCATGCTTTAAGATGGGTGGATTTTAATTCCCAGAATCCCCCAGCCAGCAAGCTTTAAGATGGGTGGATTTTAATTCCCAGAATCCCCCAGCCGGCATGCTTTAAGATGGGTGAACTTCAACTCCCAGAATCCCCCAGCCAGCATGCTTTAAGATGGGTGGATTTTAATTCCCAGAATTCTCCAGCCTGCATGCTTGAAGATGGGTGGATTTTAATTCCCAGAATTCTCCAGCCGGCATGCTTTAAAATGGGTGGATTTTAATTCCCAGAATTCTCCAGCCAGCATGCTTTAAGATGGGTGGATTTTAATTCCCAGAATTCTCCAGCCTGCATGCTTGAAGATGGGTGGATTTTAATTCCCAGAATTCTCCAGCCGGCATGCTTTAAAATGGGTGGATTTTAATTCCCAGAATCCCCCAGCCTGCATGCTTGAAGATGGGTGGATTTTAATTCCCAGAATCCCCCAGCCTGCATGCTTGAAGATGGGTGGATTTTAATTCCCAGAATCCCCCAGCCTGCATGCTTGAAGATGGGTGGATTTTAATTCCCAGAATCCCCCAGCCTGCATGCTTGAAGATGGGTGAACTTCAACTCCCAGAATCCCCAAGCCAGCATGCTTTAAGATGGGTGGATTTTAATTCCCAGAATTCTCCAGCCTGCATGCTTGAAGATGGGTGGATTTTAATTCCCAGAATTCTCCAGCCGGCATGCTTTAAAATGGGTGGATTTTAATTCCCAGAATCCCCCAGCCTGCATGCTTGAAGATGGGTGGACTTTGATTCCCAGAATTCCCCCAGCCGGCATGCTTTAAGAGGGGTGGATTTCAACTCCCAGAATCCCCCAGCCAGCAAGCTTTAAAATGGGTGGATTTTAATTCCCAGAATCCCCCAGCCGGCAAGCTTTAAGAGGGGTGGATTTTAATTCCCAGAATTCTCCAGCCTGCATGCTTGAAGATGGGTGAACTTCAACTCCCAGAATCCCTTAGATACTGGCTGTGGAATTCTGGGAGTCAAAGTCCACCCGTCTTAAAGCATGCTGGCTAAGGAATTCTGGGAGTTGAAATTCACCCCTCTTGAAACATTGCTGCCTGGGGGATTCTGGGATCTAAAGTCCACCCCTCTTATAGCGATCTCTCATAGGGACCCAGAGCAGCGTCCATTAAAATATCAAAGCATAAAAGCAGTATATAAACTTTAAAGAGAGACCAGGAGGATCAACATTAATGAAAAGGGGATGATGGCCTGTTGGTTGATGAATGGGGGAGATCGTTGGACAGGCTAGTGGTCAGCAGTCCTTTGGACTGCAGTCGCCTCTCCTTCCAAGCCCCCCACCCACTCTTGACCGTGGTCTCCTTCTCCCACCCTTCAGGATGCCCTGATCGACACCCTCAAGAAGTCCAAGCTGCATTTCGTCCACTGCTTCCTGCCCAAGGCCAACGGCTGGCGAGGCGATGCCAAGGGCCCTTATGCCCAGCGGATGAGCAGCAGCGAGCTGGATTTGCACGGGGAACACTGCGAGGCCGGCCTGATGCAGCTGGAGGTGCCCCTGCTGAGAGCCCAGATCCGGGGATCCCGTCTGCTCGATGCTCTCCGCATGTACCGCCAAGGTGGGTCCCCAACTCCGTGGGCAGGAAGGGGGTCAAGAGACGGAGGGAAAGGATCTGGGTACCTCTGGGACCAGGAACAGGCCTGGCTCACAAAAGAGAAAAATAGAAGACGAACGGCAGAAAAAGGAGACTCACTGGGTCCATCAAATCCACTCTTTGTTTTCCTTTTAATTCGTGAATTTCTTTTTTTTTTTTAATTGAAAAGTTTTACAAAAAACAAAAATTTTCTTCCCCCCCCCCATATTTTAGGATCTAAGTGCCATCTATAAAACATTTTATAAAAATTCTCTCTCAAATTTTGTGCTTGCGTAAATTTAACATTTCTGACCCAAATCTTTTCCCACGTTTCCATCATCACTGGTTCCTGAAAGTTTTGTGCCCATTTTATCATACGGTCCTTAACCAATTCCGTTTCTGAATCTATTTCCAGTAATGCACTATACAACCTTTTAATATGCATCTGGCTTTGATCTCTAATCTGTTTCACCAGATTTTCCTCATTTTGCATAACCCCAATTTTTTGATCTTCCCTCCATTAATTCGTGAATTTCTTGATTACTTTAGGAGGATATTGTTCTCAGTTTTTTGCTTATTTTTATTTCATTTCATTTTTTAACTTTTTTGCCGAGTGATGGACATGTGTTTGTCTCAAGCATACCAGAATGGCCATGTGTCTGGGGTCGGGGGTGTTTGCGCCCTGGGGGAAGTGAGGGTGGGATTAAACCCCCCACCACCACCTAGAGTGATTTAGAGCACAGCAGTATATAAATATATATAAAAAAAGATGTGGAGACTCTAGAAAGAGTGCAGAGAAGAGCAACAAAGAGGATTAGGGAGCTGGAGGCTAAAACCTATGAAGAACGGTTGCAGGAACTGGGCATGGCTGGTCTAGAGGAAAGAAGAATTAGGGGGGACATGACAGCATCTTTCAGTATTTGAGGGGCTGCCCCAAAGAAGGGGGAGGGGTTTCAACTTATTCTCCAAAGCCCCTGAAGGCAGGACAAGAAGCAACGGATGGAAACCAATCAAGGAGAGAAACAACCTACAAATGAGGAGAAACTTCCTAACAGTGAGGACAATTAACCAGTGGAACAGCTGGCCACCAGAAGTTGTGAATGCTCCATCACTGGAGGTTTTCAAGAAGAGATTGGACAACCATTTGTCTCAAATGATATAGGGCAGGAGTGGGCAACTGTGGCCCTTTTACAACCTGTGGACTTCAACTCCCAGAATTCCTGAGCCAGCTGTCTCAGGAATTCTGGGAATTGAAGTCCACAGGTTGTAAAAGGGCCACAGTTGCCCATCCCTGATATAGGGGGTCTTCTGTTTGAGTAGGGGATTAGACTAGAAGATCTCCAGGGTCCCTTCCAACTCAGTTATCCTTCCTTCCTTCCTTCCTTCCTTCCTTCCTTCCTTCCTTCCTTCCTTCCTTCCTTCCTTCCTTCTTTCTTTTCTTCCTTTCTTCCTTCCTTCCTTCTTTCTTTCTTTTCTTCCTTCCTTCTTTCTTTCTTTCTTTTCTTCCTTCCTTCTTTCTTTCTTTCTTTCCTTCCTTCCTTCTTTCTTTCTTTTCTTCCTTCCTTCCTTCCTTCTTTCTTTCTTTCTTTTCTTCCTTCCTTCCTTCTTTCTTTCTTTTCTTCCTTCCTTCCTTCTTGCTTTCTTTTCTTCCTTCCTTCCTTCCTTCCTTCCTTCCTTCCTTCCTTCTTTCTTTCTTTCTTTTCTTCCTTCCTTCCTTCTTTCTTTCTTTTCTTCCTTCCTTCTTTCTTTCTTTCTTCCTTCCTTCCTTCCTTCCTTCTCTCTCCATCTCTGGAGGTTTTCAAGAAGAGACTGGATAGCCATTTGTCTGGAATGGCATAGGGTCTCCTGCTGAAGCAGGGGGTTGGACTAGAAGACCTCCGAGGTCCCTTCCCACTCTCTTATTCTGTCATCTGTAACCTTCTCAACAACTGTCTCTTCTCAAGCAAAATCAATGGAGGAAAGCCAGATTTGCCTAATGGTCGTCCGGTTCACTTAACAACTGCAGCGATTCGCTTAACGACCATGGCAAAGAAGGGTCGTACAATCGGACACGACTCACCTGAAGAACCCCTCTTGCTCGGCCCTGAAAATTCTGCTCCCAATTGTGTCCGTAAGTCAGGGACTCCCTGTTCTCCGTCCCCTCTGCCTCTCCTCCTTGGAAAAGACCCCCCACCCCAGATCAGACCACTCCTGCCCTCCCCCTTCCTGCAGGAATGCAGTGTTTGTTATTTCAAGAGCCGAGTTGCCGGTGGCGTGCAGCAAAAATCGGCGTGGTTTCGTGCCGGCAGTCGGGAATCAATGGCTGACTCGGCAGGCGGGGAAAGGAGGCGGCCGGGCTGAGCCGTCCGGTCGATGCGGCTGATGATTAATTAAGACCTGAAGAATCAACACAGCCTATCTTTGCCCATCAATTTAATTGCGATCTGATAGCGGAATCCATTCTGGGGGGAGCCTTTGCCTGCAGCTGCAGGAAGACTGGCAGCCGTGGTGCGGGTTCGAGATCCTTGCCTTCCCTCCGTTTTAGCTAAGCCGTTGGCTTTATTAGAAGAAGTTTTTGGGGTTGCTTCGTCAAACGTCCCTGGGAGACAACACAAGTTGGACCTTGTGGTGGTGGTGGTGGGGAAGACCAGGGTGGGGGGCTTAGAGGCACCAGCGTTCGCCTTCAATCACCCTCTGAGACAAAGATGCATTTTAAAAATGCAGGTAGTCCTCCATGTGCGACCACAGATCTGTGACCCTTTGAGAGCTGCATGCAGCAAAAAAATTCTTTTTTTAATTTGATTTATATGCCGCCCTTCTCCGGAGACTCAGGGCGGCTTACAATGCGTTAAGCAATAGCCTTCATACTTTTGTATATTTATACAAAGTCAGCTTTCTTTCTTTCTTTCTTTCTTTCTTTCTTTCTTTCTTTCTTTCTTTCTTTCTTTCTTTCTTTCTTTCTTTCTTTCTTTCTTTCTTTCTTTCTTTCTTTCTTTCCTTCCTTCCTTCCTTCCTTCCTTCCTTCCTTCTTTCTCTTTCTTTTCTAAATTTGATTTATATGCCGCCCTTCTCCAGAGACTCAGGGCGGCTTACAATGCGTTAAGCAATAGCCTTCATACTTTTGTATATTTATACAAAGTCAGCTTACTGCCCCCACAAACTGGGTCCTCAAGTTACCTACCTTAGAAAGGATGGAAGGCTGAGTCGACCTTGAGCGTTAAGCAATAGCCTTCATACTTTTGTATATACCTGCTTAGTAGGGATTTCGCCCACCCCTAAGCGGTGTTCTTTTGTATACAAAGTCAGCTTATTGCCCCCACAAACCGGGTCCTCATTTTACCTACCTCGAAAGGATGGAAGGCTGAGTCAACCTTGAGCCTGGTGAGATTTGAACTCGCAGTAATTGCAGGCAGCTGGTGCTACTTTAACAGCGCTTTAGTCTGCTGCGCCACCAAGGCTCTATTGGAATTGGAATACTTAGAATTAGAATGGGAATTAGAATTAAGAGTTAGAATTATTAGAATTAGAATTATTAGAATTAGAATAATTGGAATTAGAATTGGAATTAGAGTTAGAGTTAGAATAATTAGAATAATTAAAATTAGAATTGGAATTGGAGTTAGAATTGTTAGAATTATTAGAATTAGAATAAAGCTGGAAGGGATCTTGGAGGTCTTCTAGTCCAGCCCCCTGTTCAAATAGGGAAACCCTATATCAGTGATGGCTAACCTTTTTGCCATTGCATGCCAAAAGCGGGGGGGAGGGGTTGGGTGGGGATTTCGTGTGCGCCCACACCCATAATTCTATGTGCCATGCCCCCCGCACATGTGCGTACAATGCCCCCTGCGCGACCCCCGCTTTTGGCATGCGATGGCACGGTGGGCCCAGTAGACCTGTTTTTCGCCCTCCCCAGGCTCCAGAGCCTTTCTAGGAGCCTGAGGAGGGCGAAAACGGCCTTCCCCACTCGCCCGGAGGTCCTCCGGAGGCCGGAAATGGCCTGTTTGCCAACTTCCAGTAGGACCGGAAGGCCCGTTTTTCGCCCTCCCCAGGCTCCAGGGCCTTTCTAGGAGCCTGGGGAGGGCGAAAACGGCCTCCCCCCCCCCCCCGAAGCCCTCTGGAGGCTGGAAACTTCCGGTGGGACCACTGGTTAATTGTCCTCACTGTGAGGAAATTCCTCCTTAGTTTCAAGTTGCTTCTACTCCTTGCTTAGTTTCCATCCGTTGTTTCTTGTCCTGCCTTCTGGTGCTCTGGTGAATAGGTGAAGCTCAAAATCCCCGTTACTAGGCAAGGGAGTCATTCAATGAATTGCAGCCCATTTTTTGACCTTTTTTTTTTTGTTGTTAAACGAATCACTGCCGTTCTTAAGTGAACCATGCGGTTGTTAAGCGAATCCAGCTCCCCCCCCCCATCGGATTGTTCGTCGGAAGGCAGCTGGGAAAGTCACAAACCCCGGGACGGCTCAATTGTCATAAAGATGACTCAATTGTCGAGCGTCTGAATTTTGATCTCGCGACCGTGGGGGATGCTGCAATGTTCGTAAGTGTGAAACACGGTCATAAGTCTGAAGCGGTGTAGGGTTTCCTGCCTAAGCAAGGGGGTTGGACTAGAAGACCTCCAAGGTGCCTTCCCGCTCTGTTACTCTAAATTCTGAAAAGTCATTTTCTTCAGCGCAACGTTGTAACTTCGGTCACTAAAGGAATGGTTGTAAGTCAAGAACTAGCTATAAAGCTCTACCTGTTGCAAATGAAAATAAGCAAAAATAATAATAATAATAATAATAATATCAAAGCATTTCATTGCTTTAATGGGCCTCCTTTGAGAAGGCTTTGGCAGGAGTTTCCTTTTATAGCTTTCCTTCCTTCTTCTTTTTTTTCTTTCTTTCTTTGCAAAAATGTTTTTGGGGTTAAGCATAAGTGCCAGAAAACGAATAAAAGCAAAGGGGGAAAGTGACACAACAGCGATAAAACAATCAAAAACGAAACAAATACCTAATTAGCGAACGAAAATAGAACCTGTTTTTCTCTCCGATCCAGAGAAAATGAATCCAGAATAAACACCAGGCCTTTCACATCCTATCCGATCCTTCCTATTGCAAAATACAGGCAGACCTTGGTTTAAAACCACGCCAGGATAATCCGTCATTAAGTGGAGCGGTCGTTAAGTGAGGCCATGCAATGACCCGCCAATGGATTTTTCATGGCCTTCTGTTCCCATGATGGCCAATTGAATCACCCCGGTTGTTAAGCAAGGCATCGTGGGGACTCGACTCGTGGCTTTCCCTGCCGGGTTTCCCCGTCGATTGTGTTTTCCACAAACCCAAGAATATTTTCGGCCAATATTGATCCCCGTGGCCCCAGGAGGCTTGTAACTATTGTAAATGCAGGAATCAGTCGAGCCCAAAATGTTTTTAAGATGAGTCCTAGACAGCCACTGGTCTGAAATGGGATGGGTTCTCCTGCTTTTGAGCTGGGGGCTGGACTAGAAGACCTCCGAGGTCCCTTCCAGCTCATTCCTATTCTTATTCTTATATTCCATTCCAATTCATCCCATATACAGCAAGCTAGAATTCCATTCCATTCCACTCCACTCCACTCCTGTATTGTATTGTATTGTACTCCATTCCATTCCACTCCATTCCATTCGATCCATTCCATATTTTCTATTCTATTCTATTCCATTCCACTCCACTCCACTCCTGTATTGTATTGTATTGTACTCCATTCCATTCCACTCCATTCCATTCGATCCATTCCATATTTTCTATTCTATTCTATTCCATTCCATTCCACTCCACTCCTGTATTGTATTGTATTCCATTCCATTCCACTCCATTCCATTCGATCCATTCCATATTTTCTATTCCATTCCATTCCACTCCATTCTTGTATTGTATTGTATTCCATTCCATCCGTTCCATATTTTCTATTCTATTCTATTCCATTCCACTCCACTCCACTCCTGTATTGTATTGTATTCCATTCCATTCCACTCCATTCCATTTGATCCATTCCATATTTTCTATTCCATTCTATTCCACTCCATTCTTGTATTGTATTGTATTCCATTCCATCCGTTCCATATTTTCTATTCCATTCTATTCCATTCCACTCCACTCCAGTATTGTATTGTATTGTATTGTATTCCATTCCATTCCACTCCATTCCATTCGATCCATTCCATATTTTCTATTCCATTCCATTCCACTCCATTCTTGTATTGTATTGTATTCCATTCCATCCGTTCCATATTTTCTATTCTATTCTATTCCATTCCATTCCACTCCACTCCTGTATTGTATTGTATTCCATTCCATTCCACTCCATTCCATTTGATCCATTCCATATTTTCTATTCCATTCTATTCCACTCCATTCTTGTATTGTATTGTATTCCATTCCATCCGTTCCATATTTTCTATTCCATTCTATTCCATTCCACTCCACTCCAGTATTGTATTGTATTGTATTGTATTCCATTCCATTCCACTCCATTCCATTTGATCCATTCCATATTTTCTATTCCATTCTATTCCACTCCATTCTTGTATTGTATTGTATTCCATTCCATCCGTTCCATATTTTCTATTCTATTCTATTCCATTCCATTCCATTCCATTCCACTCCCATATTCTGTTCTGGGACGGGAGAGGAAGGAAAGAAAAAAATACCTCGGGGACCTCGGAGGTCTTCTAGTCCAACCCCCTGCTCAAGCAGGAGACCCTACACTGTTCCAAACAAAAGGCCGTCCAGTCTCTTCTTGAAAATCTCCAGTGATGGAGCACCCACAACTTCTGGTGGCAAACTGTTCCACCGGTCAATCATCCTCACTGTCAGGAAGTTTCTCTCCTTGATTAGTTTCCAACCATTGTTTCTTGTCCTGCTCTTTGGAGAACAGGTGGACCCTCTCATTCCAGATGTCTGGTGGGACAGTCACATTTTGTGTCCAGGCAGGTTGGCCCTTTCCCTGCCTCCATCAGAGCAGCCCCCTGCTGCTCTATCCCCCTTCTGCCCCCCAAAGCCCCCTCCCCTTCTGACACCCCCCTTTCTTCTTCTCTCCCTCCCAGGCTACCCTGACCACATGGCCTTCGCCGAGTTCCGCCGGCGCTTCGACGTCCTGGCTCCTCACCTGACCAAGAAGCACGGGCGCCATTATATCGTCACGGATGAGAAGAGGGTACGCAGGCTGGAATTGGGGAGGGGCTGGCTGGGCCAAGTGGACGGGGGTCGGGTTTGGGGTCTGGGTCCTTAGACCTCCTTACCCCAAGACCTGGGGTAGCTGCACTCACGAGGGGGGCAGAGTGCATAGGATGAGCCTGGAGCAGGGATGAAATCCAGCAGATTCTGACGAACTGGTAGCGGAAATATTGAGTAGTTCGGAGAACCGGCAAATACCACCTCTGGTTGATCCCAGAGTGGGATGGGAATGGGGATTTTGCAATATCCTTCCCCTGGAGTGGGGTGGGAATGGAGATTTTCCAGGATCCTTCCCCCGGAGTGGGGTGGGAATGGGGATTTTGCAGTATCCTTCCCCTGGATTGGGGTGGGAATGGAGATTTTGCAGGATCCTTCCCCTGGAGTGGGGTGGGAATGGAGATTTTGCAATATCCTTCCCCTGGAGTGGGGTGGGAATGGGAATTTTGCAGTATCCTTTCCCTGGAATGGGATGGGAATGGGGAGTTAGCAGTATCCTTCTCCTGGAGTGGGGTGGGAATGGGGATTTTGCAGTATCCTTCCCCTGGAGTGGGGAGGGAATGGAAATTTTGCAGTATCCTTTCCCTGGAGTGGGGAGGGAATGGGGATTTTGCAGTATCCTTCCCCTGGAGTGGGGAGGGAATGGGGATTTTGCAGTATCCTTCCCCTGCCACGCCCACTAAGCCACACCACGCCCACAGAACCGGTAGTAAAAAAATTTGGATTTCCCCACTGGCCTGGAGTTTTTGGGGTGGAGGGGAACGTGCTCTCTGACCCCCCTTCTGCTTTCTCTCTCCCCCCACCTTGTCTTCCCCCCCGCCCCCACCCAGGCTGCGGAAGAGCTGCTGCAGTCCCTGGAATTGGAGCAAAGTTGCTACCAGATGGGCTTGAGCCGGGTGAGATGAACAGGGCCGAGAAGACCACCGGGGGGGGGGGTATCTTTTGGGTGGGTGGGTGCGCAACAGGAGGGTAGTCAGGACAGGGGAAGTTCAGGTAGTCCTCGACTTAACGACTAAAATTGAGCTCAACATTTCCATCGCTAAGCGAGGCGGTGCTTAAGTGAGTTTCGCCCCGTTTTATGACCTTTCTTGCCGCAGTCGCTAAGCGAATCACTGCAGTTGTTAACTTAGGAACGCAGTTGTTAAGTGGATCCGGCTTCCCCCCCCTCCCCCTTTGACTTTGCTAGTCAGAAGGTCGCAAAAGAGGATCACTTGACCCCGGGACACGTCATATATACGAGTCAGTGGCCAAGCGTCCGAATTTGGATCCCGTGACCATGAGGATCCTGCAACGGTCATAAAAGGGTGAAAAACGGTTACTTTTGCCAGTGCCGTTGTAACCTGGAACGGTCACTAAATGAATCTTTATGCCCTGTTGCTTCGCTCCGTGGTCACGTGCCCAAGATTTGGGTGGTTTTTCCGTTCCTTTCCAGCCAAAAAAACCCCACCAATTCAAATGGAACAGGTTCGCTTAACAACCACGGCGTTCACTTAATGACGGAGTTCACTTAACGACCACAGCATTCGCTTAACCATTGCAGGCTTTGCATAACAACCCCGTCGTTCACAAAAATGGCCGTAAAATTATTTTGTTACATGGGTGCCTCGCTTTAGGACCAGAATGACTCATCACCGGAGTTCCGGGCTTAGTGACAGTCGTAAGCCGAGGACTGCCTTGTTCCCAGCGTGTCAGCCACCCACCCACCCACCCACCTCCTCCTCCAAAAAGCATTTGCCAAACGCAGCCAATTTCCAAATTCTGCAGCGTGTTATAATTTGCCGGGGAGGTGTGTTTCTCGGGCGGGGCGCATTCCTCCCTGCCTCGGACGCACCCCGTCTTCTTCCCGAGGAAACCTGGAATGTGCAAACGAGCCCAGAGTCACCCCCACCCCGTCTCCGAGCCCACCCGGGGCCTTGCGCGGGCTGGGGACGATGGGCACGGCGATCCCACGTGCGCCCTCGGTGGACGGACGCCAGGCAAAAGCTGTTGGCAAGAGAGACGCGATGAGGATTCTGGCTCTCGTCCTGCGAGCACGCACACACACACACACACATGGAGTGGCAGCGCTCGGGGGTGGTGGTGAAGTCAGCCCCCCTGGCATGCCAGGAAGATGCCCAGCCCCCCCTCCCCTCCCCTTCCAGGGAGGGGGCGGATGGCTGATTCACTCCAGGAGGAGATTCGAGACGCTTCCTCGCAGCCACCAAGTTATGGGGAGCTTCCTTGCCGCGGCTCCTGCCAAACGGGGAGCATTTAGCCCTCGCAGCCTCGGTTAGAAAGGGGGGGGTCTCCTTCCTCCAGGCCTCCAGGCCGGGGGGGGGAGGAAAAGGGCCCTCTCCATGCCCTGCCCCCCTGGCACCTTGGAAGCCCGTTCAGCACCCGGATTGGGGCATCGACTCTCCCTTTTGCCCCCTGCCCTGGTCCAGGGAATCGAACCCTTGCGGTTCCTTTTCACAATGTGGGCCCTCGGAGGGCCTAAGCGGGGCCCCTGGGGGACCCCTGCATCCCCCCTCCCAAAGGAGGACCCTTCCTCAGCCGAAAACCCCCTCTGAAGCTCCACATTGAGGGCCAGCGGGCGTCCGAGCCCCGTTTTCTCCGTGCGGGAGCCTGCCCTGCGGCCGGGACTGACCCCATCTTTCGGCATTGCCCCCCTCCCACTTCTCTCCTTCTGCCCCCCCCCTACCTCTGCTCCCCCCCCCCAGGTGTTCTTTCGGGCAGGGACCTTGGCTAAGCTGGAGGAGCAGCGGGATAAGCAGCTGTGCCGAAGCATCACCCTGTTTCAGGCCGCCTGCCGGGGCTTCCTTGCACGCCAGCACTTCAAGAAGAGGAAGGTAGGTTGTGTTGGATGGAGTCTGTCTGTCTGTCTGTCTGTCAAGGGGCAGGTTTGTAGCCTGGGGCTCTCTGAGCTCGTCGGTTTTCCTGGCAGACGTTTCGTGACCCAACTAGGGAACATCATCAGTGCACTGATGATGTTACGCAGTTGGGTCACGAAACGCCTGCCAGGAAAACCGACGAGCTCAGAGAGCGCTGACGACCGCACAGTTCTTTTTCTCCTTCTTTCTTCTCTTTCTCCTTCTCTTTCTCCTCCTTCTCCTCCTCCCCTCCACAAACACCACATCACCGCTGATGTTCTTACCTAGTTGGGTCATGAAACATCTATACGGAAATCACCAAGCTCAGAGAGCACCAAGGACCCCACAGTCTTCTTCCTCCTCCTCCTCCTCCTCCTCCTCCTCCTCCTCCTCCTCCTCCTCTTCCTCCTCCACAAACCCTCCTCCCTTCTAGCAGTGATGATGTTCCCTAGTTGGGTCGTAAAACATCTGCAAGAAAATCACCCAGCTCAGAAAGCACCAAGAACCCCAGCCTTCCTCCTCCTCCTCCTCTTCCTCCTCCTCCTCCTCCTCCACAAACCCTCCTCCCTTCTAGCAGTGATGATGCTACCTAGTTGGGTCGTAAAACATCTGCAAGAAAAGCACCGAGCTCAGGGAGCACAAAGGATCCCCCTTCTTCCTTCCTTCCTTCTAGCACTGATGGCATTACCTAGTATGGTAATGCAATGTCTGCAAAGAAATCACCAAGCTCAGAGAGCACCAAGGACCCCACAGTCGTCTTCCTCCTCCTCCTCCTCCTCCTCCTCCTCCTCCCTGCAAACCCCCCTCCCTTCTAGCACTGATGATGCTACCTAGTTGGGTCATGAAACATCTGCAAGAAAATCACTGAGCTCAGGGAGCACAAAGGATCCCCCTTCTTTCTTCCTTCCTTCTAGCACTGATGGCGTTACCTAGTATGGTAATGCAATGTCTGCAAAGAAATCACCAAGCTCAGAGAGCACCAAGGACCCCACAGTCGTCTCCTCCTCCTCCTCCTCCTCCTCCTCCCTGCAAACCCCCCTCCCTTCTAGCACTGATGATGCTACCTAGTTGGGTCATGAAACATCTGCAAGAAAATCACTGAGCTCAGGGAGCACAAAGGATCCCCCTTCTTCCTTCCTTCCTTCTAGCACTGATGGCGTTACCTAGTATGGTAATGCAATGTCTGCAAAGAAATCACCAAGCTCAGAGAGCACCAAGGACCCCACAGTCGTCTCCTCCTCCTCCTCCTCCTCCTCCTCCTCCTCTCCCCAACCCCCCCTCCCTTCCAGCCCTGATCACGTTACCTACTTTGGGTCGTAAAACATCTTGCAGCTCAGGGAGCGCCAAGGACCCCTGTGCCTGGGTATATCTGGGCGTGCAGATATCTCTTCCTTAAAAGTCAGGCGAGGCAGAAATGCAGTGACTCACACGTACAACACACACACACACACACACACACAGAAACACACAGAAACACACTCCTGCCCTCCTCCCTCCACTCACTGCTGTGTTTATGCCTCTCTTCTTATCCTAAAATGGGCAGCTTTGCCTCTTCCAAAAAAAAATCTCCGGCCGGGAAGTAGAACTGTGGGCTCCATAAGGAAACCATCTGAAGTAGCAGCAACGGCAGCAGCTTCCCTCCCTCCCACCCCCATTCCACTTGTTCCCCCCCCCCCACTCCCCACTCGGCCTTGAAAACTGCCTCTTCAGCACTGCCAACAGGTAGGAAGGGAATTGTGTGCTCCCCGTGCCTCTTCACCATTCTCCGTTGTGCAAGGTGTGTTGGTGTGTAATTTGTGTGTAGGTGTGTATGTGTGTGCGGAGAACCACCTTGTCTTTCCTGGAGAAAGGAAGGCAAGGTAGGTGGGTCTGGGGGCCATTGTGGGGGGGGAGCGGGGGCTCAGAAAGCAGTGCAAGGGGCTCTCTCTCTCTCTCTTTATTTTATTTTAATTCATTTGTTTATATTTATTTATTAAATTTCCAGTGCCCCTCCAAGACGACTCAGGGTGGCTTCCAGATCAAAAGATTTTTTTGCTCGTTGCACAAGCTGGCAGAGGTTTTTGGGGTGCAGCTGTGAAGAACTGTCTGTGGAGATTCCCCCAGTCATCCAGGCCGAAATAAATAGAGATAGATAGATAAATAGAGAGATAAATGGAGAGAGAGAGAGATGAGATAGATAGATACCAGATAGATAGATAAATAGATATAGATGAGAGATAGATAGAAGAGATAGATGAGAGAGAGAGATAAATAAATAAATAGAGATAAAGGAGAGATAAATAGAGGTGCCTTTTTTTTCAAGAGGTAACCAAATTTTCTGGTTTTTTTCTTTGAAGGCGTTTCGCTTCTCATCCCAGAAGCTTCTTCCGCTCTGACTGAATGGAGGGGAATGGAAGGATTTATACTCCTTGCAGACAGCTGGTCATTGGCATCCTTTTAGAGGGTCCTTGAGGCCCCTTGGAGGTTTACCTGTGTCCTCAGGGTTACCTGAGTGGTGCAAATGGGTGTGGAGCCTTTTGGGAACTGCTGAAAGGATCTGTGTTGTAGACTGGAGATAGATGAGGTCCTATCCCTCCCCTTCTGTGGAGGGAGGGCTGTTCAATTTGGACACAGATGGCCTCTTGGACCCCTCTTTCAAAGCAGCCCTCCTCTCTGCCCAAAATGTGGACTTTGCTGCCTTCAAAAGAGCGGCCTGTGTCTTTTTTTAAATGCAAATGGAAGGGCTGAATCGTATCCAGATCTGCTTGTTCTCCTTCCCTTCCCCGCCATCCAGTCAGAGCAGAAGAAGCTTCTTGGATGAGAAGCAAAATGTCTTCAAAAGAAAAAAACCAGAAAGTCCAATTGCCTCTTGAAAGAAAAATGCACCTTTGGGACAACTGTCAAGATAGGGGCCAAAACAGGAGGCAACATGCCCCCTCCCTCTTATTCTAAGCCACAATTCATCTCCCTTTATGAGTTATATTTTTTATCCGGCCTTTTATTCCTTTTTACAAGGAACTTAAGGTGGAGAACATATCAATGTGTGATCCTCCTCCTGTTTTTCCCCCTGTCAACAACCCTCCCTCTTGTGATTGATTGATTGATTGATTGATTGATTGATTGGGTCGATTTATATGCCGCCCTTCTCCGGAGATTCAGGGCGGCTTACAATGCTTTAAGCAACAGCCTTCATACTTTTGTATACAGTATACCTGCTTAGTAGGGCTTTCGCCCCCCCCCAAGTGGTGTTCTTTTTTTATACAAAGTCATCTTATTGCCCCCACAATCTGGGTCCTCATTTTACCTACCTCAAAAGGATGGAAGGCTGAGTCAACCTTGAGCCTGGTGAGATTCGAACTTGCAGTAATTGCAGGCAGCTGGTGTTACTTTAACAGTGCTTTAGTCTGCTGTGCCACCGAGGCTCTTCTCTGAGTTCAGAGGCCTGGACCTTCAGATGGGGCCCTGGGTTTTCGGCAAGAAAAGACCATTTTCCCCCCAAGAAATGGCTTTTCAAAAATCAGACGATAATAAAGGTGCTCCATCCATCCAGGGCTGGAGGTTTTCCAGAAAAGATTGGACAAAGATTGGATTTCATCTAGGGTGGCATAAGGATGCCTGCTTTGGACTAGAAGACCTCCAAGTTCCCTTCCCTTCCAACCTTAGGATTCTTTGACCCGTAGCCCTTCACTTATGACCACAATTCAGCCCAAAAATTCCGTTGTTAAGCAAGACAGTGAAATGAATTTTGCCCTATTTTTACAACTTTGCTTGGCACGGCGGTTCAGTGAGTCACTGCCGTTGTTAAGTGAGTCACACAGCTGTAAGCGAATCTGGCTTCCCTGTTGACTTTGCTTGACACAACGCCACAAAAGGGGATCGAGTGACTCCGGGGGCGCTGCCACCGTCATAAATACGCCCAGAGTCTCTTGGGAGTTGGGCGGCATAGAAATGCGATAAAATTAAATTAAATTAAATTAAATACGAGCCAAACATCTGAATTCTGCTAAGTGTCAAGAACAGTCATGAAAGTCCCTTCTTTCAGTGCCATTGTAACTTCAGATGGTCACTAAACGAATGGTTGTAAGTTGAGGACTATGCTTGTAGAGAGGAAGTGGTAATACAGGTTATGCTGTAAGTTGCCCAGAGTCACTCTGAAGTGAAGTGAGATGGATGGCAGAGAGATAAGTAGGTAGGTAGGTAGGTAGGTAGGTAGGTAGGTAGGTAGAGCAATCAGTGGAATGAATGGAATGGAACAGCAGAACAGAATAGAATAGAACGAGATAAATAAATAGAGATAAATAGATGAGAGAGAGATAGAGAGATAGAGAAAAATGGAGATGGATAGATAAAGGAGAGATAAATAGAGATAAATAGAGATATAAAGAGAGAGAGTGAGAGAGAGATGAGTGAGAGATGGAGAGATAGATGAGCGATAGAGAGAGAGAGAGATATAAATACATGAGAGAGAAAAAAAGATAAATAGATAGATAGATAGATAGATAGATAGATAGATAGAGAGAGAGAGATGAGAGAGAGATGAGATAGATAGATACCAGATAGATAGATAAATAAATAGAGATAAAGGAGAGATAGATAGAGATAAATAGAGAGAGAGAAAAGAGAGATAAATAAAGATAAATAGATGAGAGAGATATAGATGAGAGATAAATAGAGAGCGAGATAAAAAAGAGATAGAGATGATGGAGAGATGGAGAGATAGATGAGCGATAGAGAGAGAGATATATAAATAGATGAGAGAGAAAAAAGAGATAAATAGAGAGATAAATAGAGAGATAAATGGAGAGAGAGAGATGAGATAGATAGATACCAGATAGATAGATAAATAGAGATAAAGGAGAGCCAGATAGAGCTAGCTAGATGAGAGAGAGAGATAAATAAATAGAGGTAAAGGAGAGATGAGAGAGATAAATAGAGAGAAAAGAGAGAGATAAATAGAGATAAATAGATGAGAGAGAGAGATGAGAGAGAGAGAGAGAGATGAGAGATAAATAGATAAAAGAGATAAATAGAGATGAGTGAGAGATGGAGAGATAGATGAGCGATAGAGAGAGATATATAAATAGATGAGAGAGAAAAAAAGATAAATAGATAGATAAATAGATAAATGGAGAGAGAGAGATGAGTGAGAGATGAGATAGATAGATACCAGATAGATAGATAAATAGAGATAAACGAGAGAGATAGAGATAGATAGATAGAAGAGAGATGAGAGAGAGATAAATAAATAGAGATAAAGGAGAGATGAGAGAGAGAAAAGAGAGAGAGAGAGATAAATAGATGAGAGAGAGAGAGAGAGATAGATGAGAGAGAAAGAGAGAGAGATAAAAGAGAGAGAAATAGAGAGAAAAGAGAGAGAAATAGAGAGAAAAGAGAGATAAATAGAGAGAGGTGAGAGAGAGAAATGTAGCAAAACATGGTCTTACTCTTCAGTTGAGTTCTTCCTTTGGCCCTTTTTGAAGTCTTGGGAAGGATCACGGAGAAGGGCCGAGGGTCTCGGCCTGTCTAGGGGAAGGGGCTCTTCTTGACCTGACAGGCTTTCCCACCCCCCACCCCCTTCTTGTCACCCCCCCAATGCAGATCCAGGACCTGGCAATCCGCTGTGTTCAGAAGAACATCAAGAAGAACAAGGGAGTGAAGGGCTGGCCTTGGTGGAAACTCTTCACCACCGTCCGGCCTCTCATTGAAGTCCAGCTCACGGAGGACCAGATCCGGGCCAAAGATGTGCGTGGGTCTCTTGGCTGGAGAAGGGACGGAGGGAGGGAGGGAGGGACCTTAGGTTGTGGGTCTTTAAGAATGATTGGGGAGGTTGTCTGGTTGACAATTGATCCTTCTAGCCTAGTGTTCCTCAACCTTGGAAGCTTGAAGATGGGTGGACTTCAACTCCCAGAATCCCCCAGCCAGCAGCGCTGGCTGGGGGATTCTGGGAGTTGAAGTCCACCCATCTTCAAGCTTCCAAGGTTGAGAAACACTGGGCTAGCCCAAGGCCTCTCAACCTTTGGCTACGATGGGTGGACTTCAACTCCCAGAATTCCCTAGCCAACAAGGGTTGGATCAGGTTCAAGAGAAGATTGGGCTTCCGTTTCTCAGGGATGGTATAAAGACTTTGGCCCTCGCATAGGGTTGGACTAGAAGACCTCCAAGGTCCCGTCTACATCCACCCCTCTGAAAGCATGCTGGCTGGGGAATTCTGGGAATCGAAGTCCAACCTGGAAATATGGTGGAATTTTGGGATAGTCAACGATTAGTCCAAAAAATGCCTTACCTTCAGAAGTTGTGGATGCTCCATTGCTGGAGGTTCTCAATAAGAGATCGGACAGCCTGACATTCTGAAATGGGATAACGTCTCCTTCCTGAGCAGGGGGTTGGACTAGAAGGCCTCCAAGGCCCCTTCCAGCCCTATGATTCTAGGGGAAGGGAGGGAGGGAGGTAGGAGAAAAGAGGGATGGAGGGGGAGGAAGGGAGGAAAGAAAAAAGATGAGGAAGGGAGGAGGGAAAGGGAGGAAGGAAGGAGAAAAGATAGGAAGGAAGGAAGGAAAGAAAAAACATAGATAGGAAGGAAGGAAGGAAACAAGAGGAAGGAGGGGGAGGGAGGAAGGAAGGATAAAAGTTAGGAAGAAAGAAGGAAAAAAGAGGAAGGAGGGAGGGGAGGAAGAAAGAAAGGAAGGAGGAAGGAAGAAAGGAAAAAAGGGAGGAGGGAGGGGGGGAAGGAAGGAAGAAAGGAAAAAAGATAGGAAGGAAGAAAGGAAGGAAAAAAGAGGAAGGAGGGAGGGGAGAAAAGAAGAGAAAAAGATAGATAGGCAGGAAGGAAGGAAGGAAAAAAGATGAAGGAGGGAGGGGGAGGGAGGAAGGAAGAAAGGAAAAAAGATAAGGAAGGAAGGAAAAAAGGGAGGAAGGGAGGGAGGGAGGAAGGAAGGAAAAAAGATATAGGAAGGAAGGAAGGAAAGAGGAAGGAGGGAGAGGGAGGAAGGAAGGAAAAAAGTTAGGAAGGAAGAAGGAAAAAAAGGAAGGAGGGAGAGGGAGGGAGGAAGGAAGGAAGGAAGGAAAAAAAGGAAGGAAGGAAGGAAAAAAGAGGAAGGAGGGAGGGGGAGGAAGGAAGAAAGGAAGGAGGGAGGGAGGAAGGAAGGAAAAAAGATATGAAAGGGGAAGGAAAGAAGGAAAGAAAAAAGATAGGAAGGAGGAAGGAATGAAGCAAGGAAGGATAAAGGAAGGAAGGAAGGAAGGAAGGAAAAAGGGAGAGAGGGAGGGAGGGCATGCAATGTGTAGAAGCTCCTGAGAAGGAGATCCAACCTGGAACTTAGGAGAAATTTCTTGGCCATTAGAAGAATGAACCAGAGCGGAAGGCATTTCCTCCAGAAATTGTGGGTGCTCCATCCCTGGAGGTCTTCAAGAGAAGGTGGAAGGAAGGTGGAAGGACCCTTGCCTGGGGCAAGGGGTTGGACTAGAAGACCTCCAGGGTCCCTTCTGGGAGGCCACCTTCCCAATAAGCCCCCCCTTCCCAGTCCAGGGCCGGAAAATCAGGCGCCCCAGAGTTGCTCTCGAAGCCTCCTTTCCCTGTTTTCTCCCTGCAGGAAGAAATCCAGCAGCTGAAGGTCCGCTTGGAGAAGGTGGAGAAAGAGCGGAACGAACTGCGGCTGAGCGGCGACCGCTTGGAGAGCAAGGTAAGGCCGCGAAAACCCCCCCCTCCCCTCAACCACAGGCGGTCCTCGACCTACGACCGTCCGCTGAGGGACCGTCCGAAGTTACAACGGCACTGAAAAAAAGCGACTTATTTTTCACGACCCCTTTTTCACACTTTACGGCCATTGCAACCTCCCCGTGGTCACGTGATCGAAATTCAGACCCTTGGCTCACATTTGACTCACATTTACGACCCAGTGTCCCGTGATCCCTTTTGCGACCGTCTGGCGAGCAATGTCAATGAGCGAAGCCAGGTTCCCTTAACCACCGTAATGATCCGCTCTACAGCTGCGGCAAGGAAGGTCGTAAAACGGGGCAGAACTCAGTTTTATTTTATTCAATTTATATACCGCCCTATTCCCGAAGGACTCAGGGCGGTGAACGGGCACAAGATAAAAAATACATCATACAAAAGTTAAAAAAACCAATTAAAAGTACATTAAATAATTTTGGCCCAACATTTAACAACAGTTAAATTTGTTTAAAACAGTTTTAACAACTGTCTCGCTTAGCGACGGAAATATGTGGGGCTCTGTTGCAGGTCATAAGCCGAGGACTGCCTGTGCAATCATGGGTGGCATTTGCAAGTTCCCTGGGCTTTTAGGATGATGGACATGAGGACAGACGGATCTTGAGAAGATCGGAGGGAGCAGGAAGGAGATTCTCCTCTTCCCCTGATCTGGCTTTGGATCTACCCAACCATCGCTGCTCCTTTGGGCAAGCAGCATCTCTTCAAGGCTGATGAAATTCATTAATTAAATTTATATGCTGCCCATCTCACCGACAAGGTGACTTCAAACTTGTGGACTTCCACTCCCAGAGTTCTCCAGCCAGCTATGCTATATTTTTTTTATTTTATTTTATTTTATTTTATTTTATTTTATTTATTTTATTTTATTTTATTTTATTTTATTTTATTTATTTTATTTTATTTTATTTTATTTTATTTTTTTATTTTTTTATTTTATTTTATTATTTTATTTTTTTATTTTATTTATTTTATTTTATTATTTTATTTATTTTATTTATTTTATTTTATTTTATTTTTTTTTTTATTTTATTTATTTTATTTTATTTTATTTTTTATTTTATTCTTTTTATTCTTTCTTTCTTTCTTTCTTTTCTTCTTTCTTTTTCTTTCTTTCTTTCTTTCTTCTTTCTTTCTTTCTTTCTTTCTTTCTTCTTTCTTTCTTTCTTTCTTTCTTTCTTTCTTTCTTTTTCTTTCTTTTTTTTCTTTCTTTCTTTCTTTCTTTCTTTCTTTCTTTCTTTCTTTCTTTCTTTCTTTCTTTCTTGCATTTATATGTCGCCCTTCTCCAGAAGGACTCAGGGCGGCGAACATTAAAAACATGTACAACAAAATCCCATTTTAAACCAAATTAACTAATAAATAATAAAACCCAGAATCAGAGTCAGCCTATTTGCTTGAACAGCCAAGTCTTCGGGGAATGAATTTTTTAAAATTCATTTTAAAATGAATCAGCTCCCCCAGAGATAAGGAGAGTCCAAGACCTCGGTGCCTTCCGCCGTGCCCTAAAGCCCACTTTTTCCAGCAAGCCGGGCTGGCTTAGAAGAAATTTTTTAAATTTTTAAATGTTTAATTGGTTTGTGGTTTTTTAAATTTTGGGCCAAATTTATATAGATTTTAATTATTTTTAATATTTGTATTTCATGTTTTTAATTCTGGCTGTGCACCGCCCTGAGTCCTCAGGGAGAAGGGCGGTATATAAATTGAAAATAAATAAATAAATAAATAAAATAAATAAAACAAATTTCTATACATAAATAGTCAAACCAATGAATAAATTCCATAAATATTTTTTATCAGCACATTCTATAAATAAGTAAATAAATAGGAAATAAATAATTCTATAGATAAATAAACACCTTTTTGCGAATAAATAAATTTTATGTAGAAAGAAAGAAAGAAAAAAGAAAGAAAGAAGGGAAGGAAAGAAAAGGAAAAGAAAGAAAGAGGAAAGAAAGAAAGAAAAATAAATTTTAGAAAGAAATAAATTTGATAAAGAAATAAATGAATAAAAGCGATCTTTAAATTAACCCAATCTGTCCTTTAAATCCAGTGGCAGGGTGTTCCACAGAGCCAGATGTTGGGAGGGGGTCTTCTAATGCACCTGGGATTTTCCTCGGCCAATTCTCAAAGAGGGAAAGGAATTCCAGGGGGGGCTTCCATTCCCCCCACCTCAGCTTTTGGCCAACCTTTGGTTTCCCTCCCCCCCCCTCTCAGGTCGCGGAGCTGACGTCGGAGCTGACGGACGAGAGAAACACGGGAGAATCAGCTTCCCAGCTTCTGGACGCAGAGACGGCCGAGCGCCTCCGGGCGGAGAAGGAAATGAAGGACCTGCAGGTCAGCCGAGAGGTTCAGGGTCGGGGTTGGATTCACAAGTGACGCTCAGGGTGCCTCTGGAATACAGGTAATCCTCGATTCACGACAGCTCGTTTAGCGACCGTCCCAAAGTTACAACGGCATTGGGAAAAGAAGGTGACTCGCGACCCTTTTTTCACACTTAACAACCGTTGCAGCACAACCCGTCACGCGGTCACTTTCTCCAGGGCATTTCTTGTCGCATCGAATGGTCGCTAAACGAACTGTTGTAAGTCAAGGACTACTTGTAGTCATGACGGCGATGTTGTTAGCGGCGGTGTTTCCAGTCGTAGCGTATCCAAAATGGAAACGGCCGTCTTTAAAGAGGTTTGAGAAGCGATATTAAAAAACAAAACAAAACAAAAAATTCCTTAAGAAAATTGGCCCATTTCTGACTCGGTTATGCTCAATGCTGCGCCATGCGCTTCCGAAAACAGTTGCTGAACCTGGGTGATGCAAATGGGGAGCCCTACAATTTGCCACAAAAAATCACAACACGCAATTCCTCCTGTCTCCGTGGCCGTTTCCAACCTCAGGTCCGAGGTTTTTAAATCAGAGGCTTTCAAATTAGGCCCCTTTAAAGACTTGTGGACTTCAACTCCCAGAATTCCCCAGCTGGCTGGGAATTGAATTCTGGGAGTTGAAGTCCACAAGTCTTAAAGTGAGCTAAAGAACCCCTGGACAGCACGCCTTCCTTGGGGCGCAGCCCTGATGGTGGGGCGGCCATTCCTCCTGACCCTCTCCGACTCCCACCCCCCAAACAGGCCAAGTACGATGCCCTCAAGAAACAGATGGACTCCATGGAGATGGAGGTGATGGAGGCTCGCCTGATGCGGGCAGCCGAGCTCAACGGGGAGATGGACGATGACGATACAGGTGAGCCTCCTGGTCAGCTCTTAGGCAGCCAGTTCTCGCCTCTCCGTCCCCCTCGGTGGCTCCAGGCCTTGCGGTTAGGTTCTTGCAGAGTTGGACCAGGGGTCATTTACGGAAAAGGGGCAGAAGTGATGGCTCTAGGACGATGTTTCTTGAACTGGCAACTTTAAGATACGTGGACTTCCACTCCCAGAATCCCCCAGCCAGCCTGCTTTAAGAGGGGAGGACTCCAACTCCCAGAATCCCCCAGCCAGCCTGCTTTAAGAGGGGAGGACTCCAACTCCCAGAATCCCCCAGCCAGGATGCTTTAAGAGGGGTGGATTTTAACTCCCAGAATCCCCCAGCCGGAATATCTTTAAGAGGGGTGGACTCCAACTCCCAGACTCCCCCAGCCAGCATGTTTTAAGAGGGAAGGACTCCAACTCCCAGAATCCCCCAGCCAGCATAGCTTGCCAACAAGATAGGGACTGGCTTTGGGGAGGGGGTGACGCCCTCACCCCCAAGACTCTCCGCCCACTGGCTTTCTCGTGCCCCCAGGTGGGGAATGGCGCCTGAAGTACGAGCGGGCAGCGCGGGAGATCGACTTCACCAAAAAGCGGCTGCATCAGGAGTTTGAAGACAAACTGGAGGTGGAGCAGCAGAGCAAGCGGCAACTGGAGAGACGGGTGAGGGGTCCTTACCCTTTGGGGGTCTACCGAAGCCCCCATGGCTGGGCATTTTCGCATCCGGAGCCCTGCTCAAGCGTTTGGGTGGGACAGGAGTGTGGTGGAGGTGCCCTTGGAAACCATCTTCCGGTGGTCTCCGGGGATGCTTTGGGTCTTGGGAGAGGATCGCCATCTGGTGAATGGCCCCCCCCTTCCCTTGGCAGCTGACCGACTTGCAGGCAGACAGCGAGGAGACCCAGCGGGCACTGCAGACCCTCAAGAAGAAATGCCAGCGGCTGACGGCTGAGCTGCAGGACACCAAGCTCCACCTGGAAGGACAGCAGGGCCGCAACCACGAGCTGGAGAAGAAGCAGCGCCGGTGAGGAGGTGGCGGGGCAGGATCCAGGCTGGGGAGGAGGAAGAAGACTGTGGGGTCCTTGGTGCTCTCTGAGCTTGGCGGTTTCCTTGCAGGCGTCTCATGACCCAACTAGGGAACATCATCAGTGCTAGAAGGAGTAGGAGTTGGCTCTCTGTTTATATACCAGTGGCTTACTCTTGTCAGTATTTGTGGGAGAGTGTTTTTTTCCTCCTTGGCAGTTCCTTGAGTAGGGTGTTGTTTTCTGCTTGATTATTTGTCTGGTGTTAATCCCTGTTTATCTGGGTTTCTCTTTCTATGGAGTCCTTGGTGCTCTCTGAGCTGGGCGGTTTCCTTGCAGACGTCTCACGACCCAACTAGGGAACATCATCAGTGCTAGAAGGGAAGGGGGTTTGCGGAGAGGAAGAGGGGGAGGAGGAAGAGGAGGAGGATTAGGACCGTGCGGTCCTTGGGGGTCTCTGAGCCTGATGATTTTCTTGGAAGGCGTTTCACGACCCAACTAGGCAACACCATCAGTGCTGCAAGGAGGGGGAGGAGGAGGAATGCCAGGGCTTCTCTGGAAATGCTGCTGCTTCCCTGCCTCTTGGCACATGCCAGGGTGGGGGTTCCACGTGCAGCATAAGTACCCCTCCCCACGAAAGAAATACCAGCTCGATGCAGCACAAATACAACACACACACAGAGAGACACACGTTCCTAGTGTAATCCCCCGCAGCCTGTCAAATGCATCAGATGGAGCCTCACGACGAGATGGAAAAATTAAACCGGCTCAGTTGAAACTCACGTTACCCTAAAAGGAAATCTATCTATTTAGGGTACAGCATAGATCCCATGGATAACCGTGAAAAAGGAGGGAGGGAGGGAGGAAGGAAAGAAAGAAAGAAAGGAGGAGGAGGAGGGAGGAAGGAAAGAAAGAAAGAAAGGAGGAGGAGGAGGGAGGGAAGGAAGGAGAAAGAAAGAAAAAGTTGGAAGAAAAGAAGATAGAAAGGAAGAAAAGAAAGAAAGGAGAAGAAGGAAGGAGGTTGAGAAGGGAAGAGAGAAAGAGAAAGGGTGGAGAGGGATGAAGGAAGAAAGGCAGGAAAGAAAGAAAAAAAAAGAAAGACAGAAGAAAAGAAACAAAAGGAAAGGAAAGAAAGAAAGAAAAAGAAAGAAAGAAAGAAAGAGGAAGGAAGGAAGAAAGAAAGGAGAAGGAGGAGGGAGGGAGGGAAGGAAGGAAGGAGAAAGAAAGAAAAAGTTGGAAGAAAAGATAGAAAGAAAGAAAAAAAGAAAGGAGAAGAAGGAGGGAGGGAGGGAAAGGAAGAGAGAAAGAGAAAGGGGGGAGAGGGATGAAGGAAGGAAGGCAGGAAAGAGAAAGAAAAAGAGATGGAAGAAAAGAAAGAAAAAGAAGGAAGGAAAGAGACAGGGAAAGAAAGAAAGAGTGGAGAAGAAGGAAGAGAAAAAGAGAGGAAGAGAGGGAGGAAGGAAAGAAAAAAAAGAAAAAGAAGAGAAGAAGGAAGGAGAAAGAAAGAAAAAGTTGGAAGAAAAGAAGATAGAAAGAAAAGAAAGAGAAAGGAGAAGAAGGAGGGATGAAGGAAGGAAGGAAGGAAAGAAAGAAAGGAAAAGAGACGGAAGAAAAGAAAGAAAAGGAAAGAAAGAAAAGGAAAGAAAGAAAAGAAGGAAAGAAAAGAAGGAAAGAAAGAGAGGGAGGGAGAAATAAGGAGGGAAGAAGGGGCCCCAGGAGAGTCCTGGGCAGGGGGTCTCTCTCTGCCCACCTTCGCCCTCCCTCCCTGGCTCTTTCTTGTGCCTTGCCCATGAATCCCTTCCTCCCTGTGAAAAAGAGAAGAAGGAGAGAAAAGCCATTTAAGCATCCGAGACACTTTCATCTCATTACCGTAATGATCACAGGCGGGGGGGGGGGGCAGACAAGGGGGGGGGAGAAAACCCAGCGAGGGGGAGAACCAGCCTAATTAAGCCCAATTTCCAGAGAGCAGGCCTGGCATTAATGCCGCTCTTGATTACCAGGTGCAAAGAGACGCCGCGTCTCTCACACACACACAGGTCACTCTGGCCGAGGCTGCAAATTGGTCTGGGGGCTTTCTCCTCAATCCCCCTCCCCAGGCAGGACAGGGCAAGGTCCTCCTCCTCCTCCTCTCTCTTTCCTCTTGGAGACCCCCCCTTTCGCCCAGACCCCCCCGGATCTTGGTTTCACTGTTTAATTTTAATGATTTTATCCTTCTTTCTAACTGGTTTTACTATAGTATGGATGTATGTTTAGTCTTTTATGTTTCTATCTGCACGGCCCGAGTCACTCTTTCAGGGGGGGGCCTTTTCTAAATAAGAGAGAAAGAGAGAGAGAGAGAGAGGAAGGAAGGAAGGAAGGAAGGAAGGAAGGAAGGAAGGAAGGAAGGAAGGAAAGAAAGAAAGAAAAGAAAGAAAGAAAGAAAGAAAGAAAGAAAGAAAGAAAGAAAGAAAGAACTGACATATTGAAAGGATGGATGTACAGGATAGATAGATAGATAGATAGATAGATAGATAGATAGATAGATAGATAGATAGATAGATAGATAGATAGATAGATAGATAGATGTGGATGGATGGATGGAGATAGAAAGAGAGATAGGCAGACAGACAAACTGATAGACAGAATGGATAAATAGACATGATAGATGAGATGATAGATAGATAGATATGATATATATACTACCGTGTTTCCCCGAAAATCAGACCCTGTCTTATATATTTTTTGAACCCTGAAATAAGCGCTTGGCCCTATTGCCATGTGCTCAAAAGCCCGATTGGGCTTATTATCAGGGGATGCCTTATTTTGGGGGAAACAGGGTATCTATCTCTATCTATCTATCCATCAATCCATCCATCTGTCATCTATCTGTCTGTCTGTCCATCCATCTATCATCTCTCTCTCTCTCATCTATCTATATCTATATATCCATCCATCCATCCATCCATCCATCCATCCATCCATCCATCCATCCATCCATCCATCTATCTATCTATCTATCTATCTATCTATCTATCTATCTATCTATCTATCTATCTACCGTGTTTCCCCGAAAATAAGACCCTGTTTTATATTTTTTTTGAACCCTGAAATAAGCACTTGGCCTTATTGCCATGCGCTCAAAAGCCTGATTGGGCTTATTATCAGGGGGTGACTTATTTTGGGGGAAACAGGGTATACAGATATAGATGAGAGACAGACGAGTTAGACAGACAGACAGACAGACAGATAGATAATGGATAGACAGAATGACAGAAAAAATAGATAAATAGACACATGAGAGATTAGATGACAGACAAATGAGATAGATTGATCAGTAGATTAGATAGATGGATGGAAGATAAATGGATGGATGGATGGATGGATGGAGAGACAGACAGACAAACCATCTTAGTCCATAGGCAACTGAGAAGAGGAAGAAAAGAACATGCTTTCTCTGCTCCTTGCTGGAATTCTTTAGGGTAGACTGTCTTTCTCTAGGGAAGTTCCACTGGGTGGTGGGAGGCATCCCCTCTGCGCTGAACTTTTCCCAATCCATTTAAAAGTCAGCTCTGCCACCAGCCGTCCCCTTGTGGCAAGGAGTTCCGCGGGTTAAAGCAGCGTTTCTCAACCTTGGCCCCTTGAAGATGGGTTTAGCTGTCTGGGGGATTCTGGGAGTTGAAGCTCCCGCCCGTCTTCAAAGCTTGAGAAACGCTGGAGGAAGTAATCTGAATGAAATCCAATAAGGGAGGCTGGGCGCAAAAGGGAGGGGCTGCCATCCACCCCCTCTCCTCCAGGATTGCGAAATGCCCCCCACCCCCTCCCCGCTTGACTTCACCCCATACCCTTCTTTACCCTCGCCTCATCCCAAGCCTGTGCCCACCCACCCTGCCAGCCAGCCCAGCGCCTGGCACCTTCCCTCAGCCAAGGAGGGGCTTTTCTCCCCTCCCTGCGCCTGCCCCCCCAACCCAATCTTCCCCTCCTTCATGCTTCCTTCCCTCCCCAGCGGCCCCCCCACCCCCCGCCCCCCATGGCACTAACTGCTGAGATTTCTCAATTAGCAATTCAGGAGAAGCTGCCAGGAGGATTCTTCTCCATTTGCTCCTGCTTTGTGCTCTTCGGGAGGAAATTAAAGGCTGATAAACAGGAGTGCAGAGAAGACCCCAGCTGAGCCCGGGCTTGGTGGGGAGGGGGCACCCGGCAGGAGCAGAATTTCCAAGCAGCAAATTGGGTGGGTGGGTGGGGATTCCAAAGAAGGCATGCATCCATCTATGTATCTGTCTGTCTGTCTGTCAGTCTGTCTATCTATCTATTTCTTTCTCTTTCTTTCTTTCTCTTTGTCTATCTCTATCATTTATCCATCCATCCATCCATCCGTCTTTCTTTCTTTCTTTTTGTCTCTCTAGCATCTCTATCTATCTATCTATCCATCCATCCATCCATCTTTCTTTCTTTCTTTCTCTTTGTCTATCTTTATCATCTTTCTTTCTTTCCTTCTTTCCTTTTGTCTATATCATCTCTATCTATCCATTCATCTATTCATCCATCTTTCTTTCTTTCTCTTTGTCTAGGTTTAACATCTATATTTTTCTTTCCTTCTTTCTTTTTGTCTGTCTGTCATATCTATCTATCTATCTATCTATTTCTTTCTATTTCTATTTCTTTTTGTTTATCTCTATCTATCTATTTCTTTCTATTTCTTTCTTTTTGTTTATCTCTATCATATTTATCTATCTATCATCTATCTATCTATCTATCTTTCTATTTCTTTATCTCTATCATATCTATCTATCTATCTATCTATCTATCTATCTATCTATTTCTTTCTATTTCTTTCTTTCTTTTTGTTTATCTCTATCCTATCTATCTATCTATCTATCTATCTATCTATCTATCTATCTATCTATCTATCTATCTATCTATCTATCATCTATCTGCAAAGCCATCCAGGGTTTTTTCTCTTTTCCCAAAATACAGGAAGTCCAAACTTTCTGTTGCTAAGTGAGACAGTTGTTAAGTGAGTTTTGCTCCACTTTACTGCCTTTCTTGCCACCGTTGTTAAGGGAATCACTGCAGCGGTTAAGTGAGTGACACTGTTGCTTAGTTCCCCATTGACTTTGCAACGGTTGGCAAAGGGGATCACGTGACCTCTGGACCGTCATAACTTACAAGTCCGTTGTCTGAATTTTGATCAGGTGACCCCAGGGATGCCCCAGCGGTCGTAAGTGTGAAAAACAGACACCCCTCCCTTTTTTTAAATGTAACTTTGAACGGTCAGTCACTAAATGAACCAAGTTGCAAGTTGAGGAATGCCTGTTGCTGGATGAAAAATATAAAATATATCCAGTCGGTTTGGCTCCATCAGTTTGATCAGTAAGGACTGAATTCCATTTTATGGGAGGCTTAAAACAAGGTACATGAGGATAAAAATAAAAATTGTACCTGATGTGATACGGTTGAAGAAGGGCAGGCAGCGCCAGGGGAACGCGGCTGGCATCGAAGGTGATTTTTTTAAGGTTGGACGCAGAGCTGTTTTCCTTCCTGGGGGCACCGTCGGAAGCTGAGGACCTCTTCCCCCTCCCCGGTTAATGGCTGCTAAATTTATGTGATGTGCCCCCCTTCCACAATTCTAATTTCGGAAAGACTGTAGAAGAGGAGTGGGCCACTTTACCACCTGTGGACTTCAACTCCCAGAATTCCTAAGGCAGCCAGCATGGAATGCTGGGAGTTGAAGTCCACAGGTCATAAAGATCCCATACAGGTACGGCAATTTGTTTAGTGACTGTTCGAAGTTGCAACAGCACTGGAAAAAAAATGACTTATGACCGTTTTTCACGCTTAACGACCATTGCAGCCATCTCCGCGGTCATGTGATCAAACTTCAGATGCTTCGTAACTTATTTATTTATTTATTGATTTATTGCGATTTATATGCCGCCTTTCTCCCTAGGGACTCAAGGCGGCTTACAAAATGACAACTTCAATACAAATCACAATACAATACCAAATTAAAATCAGTAACCCAACTGACTCATAGTTATGACGGAGTCACACGATCCCCTTTTGTGACCAGCCAAGTTAATAGGGAAGCATGAGTCACTTAACGACCATTTTACCAACTCAATCAAGGGCATTGTTTCACTTAACAACTGCGGGGAGGAAGGTCGTAAAACGGAGGAAAACTCACTTAGCAAGCGTTTCACTTAGCGACAGTGAAATTCTGGGCTCAGTTGTGGTCGTGACTCAAGGACCACCTGCAGTGGGACTTATTGGGTGGGGGTGGGAGCAGATTAAGGCAAGGTAATCCCCGCGTGGTGGTCGTAAGGCGAGGACTCCCCGTGGTCGGCCACCCCTGGTTTAGAACTGACCTTGGCAGCATCTGTAGCAGCCTTGGAGAAAAACCCTTCCCTCTTTTGATCGAATTGGAGTTTTTATTAGATTTCTGATTTGTTTAGATTCCCCTCCACAGCAGCCGCCGGATGAAATATTCGGCCGGCGAAATTGAGTTGGGAACGTGGAAGCGTCTTCTGCTGGGGTGCAGCTGGCTGGGGGTACCAGGGGGACATCCCTTAATGGCCTCTTCGCATTTTCCCATCTGTCTGTCCGTCTGTCTGTCTGTCTGTCCGGTCCACCAATAGGTTTGACGGCGAGCTTTCCCAGGCCCACGAAGAGGCGCAGCGTGAGAAACTCGGGCGGGAGAAACTGGGACGGGAGAAGGACATGCTGATCGCGGAGGTCTTCAGCCTCAAGCAGCAGATGGAGGTGGGTGGTCCCGACCCCCCCCCCCCGTTTGCACCCTGCGTCCAGAGGGTGGGGGTCCTTCGTTTCAGCAATAGCCATGGCCTTTAGACTTATATACCGCTTCACGGTGCTTTAAAGCAATCTCTGAGCGGTTTATAAAGTCAGCCTGGTGCCCCCAACAATCCGAGTCCTCATTTTATTGACCTCAGAAGGACGGAAGGCTGAGCCGACCTTGAATTGGTCAGGATTGAACTGCTGGTAGTGGGCAGAGTCAGCCTGCAATACTGCATTATAACTGTGCCACCACGGCTTGCTTCCTTCCTTCCTTCCTTCCTTCCTTCCTTCCTTCCTTTCTTCCTTCCTTCCTTCCTTCCTTCCTTCTCATCTTCCCTTTCTTTCTTTCCTACCTTCCTTTCTTCCTCCTTCCTTCTCCTCATTTCCCTTCCTTCCTTTTTGTCTTCCTTCCTTCCTTCTCATCTTCTCTTTCCTTCCTTCCTTCCTTCCCCCTCCCTTCCTTCTTGCCTTCCTTCCTTCCTTCCTTCCTTCCTTCCTTCCTTCCTTCCTTCCTTCCTTCCTTCTCCCTTCCTTCTTGTCTTCCATCCTTCCTTCTCATTTCCCTTCCTTCTTGTCTTCCATCCTTCCTTCTCATTTCCCTTCCTTCTTGTCTTCCATCCTTCCTTCTCATCTTCCCTTTCCTTCCTTCCTTCATTCTCCTCATTTCCCTTCCTTCCTTCTCATTTCTCTTCCTTCTTGTCTTCCATCCTTCCTTCTCATCTTCCCTTTCCTTCCTTCCTTTTTGTCTTCCTTCCTTCCTTCTCATCTTCCCTTTCTTTCCTTCCTACCTTCCTTTCTTCCTCCTTCCTTCTCCTCATTTCCCTTCTTTCCTTTTTGTCTTCCCTCCTTCCTTCTCATCTTCTCCCTCCTTCCTTCCTTCCTTCCTTCCTTCCTTCCTTCCTTCCTTCCTTCCTTCCTCCTCCCTTCTTGTCTTCCTTCCTTCCTTCCTTCCTTCCTTCCTTCCTTCCTTCCTTCCTTCCTTCCTTCTCATTTCTCTTCCTTCTTGTCTTCCATCCTTCCTTCTCATCTTCCCTTTCCTTCCTTCCTTTTCCTTCCTTCCTTCCTTCCTTCTCCTCATTTCCCTCCCTCCCTCCCTCCCTTCCTTCCTTCCTTCTTCCCTTCCCTTCCCTTCCCTTCCCTTCACAAGCAATACCCCTTAGATTTATATACCGCTTCACAGTGCTTCACAGCCCTCTCTAAGAGATTTACAGAACCAGCTTCTTGCCCCCAACAATCTGGGTCCTTCATTTGACCCACCTCGGAAGATTGGAAAGCTGAGCAGGTCAGGATCGAACTCCTGGCAGTCGGCCGTCAGCAGAATTAGCCTGCGATGTTGCATTCTAACCACTGCACCGCCACGGCTCTTGGGCGTCTTTGGGAGGCTCCTGTTGCCCTCAGCCCCATGAACTCTTTGGAGCTTCTTGAGTGGATACCGTAGGGAACGGGGTGGCGGGGTGGGTGAACCTCTTCTCCAAAGCCCCTGAAGGCAAGACAAGAAGCAACAGATGGAAACTCATCAAGGAGAGAAGCAACCTGGAACTAAGGAGGAATTTCCTGACAGGGAGGACAATTAACCAATGGAACAGCTTGCCACTGGAAGTTGTGGGCGCTCCATCACTGGAGGCTTCCAAGCAGAGACTAGTCAGCCATTTGTCTGGAATGCTATAGGTTCTCCTGCTTTGAAAGAGTTGGAATGGATGGCCTCCAAGGTCTCCTCCATCCCTAGGATTCTATCTTCACTCCTCTTAAAGCACGTTGGCTGGGAAGTTCTAGGAGTTGGAAGTCAGAGGGAGGTCCAAGGTGGAACTAAGGAGGAATTTCCTGACAGGGAGGACAATTAAGCCGTGGAACAGCTGGCCTCCAGGAGTTGTGGGTGCTCCTTCACTGGAGGTCTTCAAGATAAGATTGTCTGGGATGGCATAAGGACTCCTGGGATGGAAGAATGGTGAAAAGGAAAGAAGGAAGGAAGGGAGAATGGAGAAAAGTGAAAGGAAGGAAGGAAAGAAGAGAGGGAGGGAAGGAAGGAAGGAAAGGAGAGGGAGGGGAGGAAGGAAGGAAGACGAAAAGAGGGAAGAAGAAAAGAAGAATGGAGAAAAGTGGAAGGAAGGAAAGAGATGAAGGCAGGGAAGAAGAAAGGAATGGAGAAAAGTGGAAGGAAGGAAAGAGATGAAGGCAGGGAAGAAGAAAGGAAGAATGGAGAAAAGGACGGAAGAATGGTGAGAAGGAAGGAAGGGAGAATGGAGAAAAGTGAAAGGAAGGAAAGAGATGAAGGCAGGGAAGAAGAAAGGAAGAATGGAGAAAAGAGGAAGGAAGGAAGGAAAGAAGAGAGGGAGGGAAGGAAGAAGATGAAGAGAGGGAAGAAGAAAGGGAGAATGGAGAAAAGAGGAAGGAAGGAAGGAAAGGAGGGAAGGAAGAAGCTGAAGAGAGGGAAGAAGAAAGGAAGAATGGAGAAAAGAGGAAGGAAAGAAGAGAGGGAGGGAAAGAAGGTGAAGAGAGGGAAGAAGAAAGGAAGAATGGAGAAAAGAGGAAGGAATGAAAGAAAGAAGAGAGGGAGGGAGGGAGAGAAGAAGATGAAGAGAGGGAAAAAGAAAGGAAGAATGGAGAAAGGAGGGAAAGAAGAGAGGGAGGGAAGGAAGGAAGGTGAAAAGAGGGAAGAAGAAAGGAAGACTGGAGAAAAGAGGAAGGAAAGAAGAGAGGGAGGGAAGGAAGGAGGAGAGGGAAGATGGAAGGAAGAATGAAGGGGAAAAGAGGAAGGAAGGAAATGAAGAGAGGGAAGAAGAAAAGAAGAATGGAGAAAAGCGAAAGGAAGGCAGGAGATGAAGGGAGGGAACAAGGAAGGAAGAATCGAGAAAGGAAGAAAGGAAGACAAAGGGAGGGCAGAAGAAAGGAAGAGTGGAGAACAGAGGAAGGAAAGAAGAGAGGGAGGAAGGAAGGAAAGGAGAGAGGGAGGAAGGGAGGGTGGAGAATGGGTAGAATCTCTCCGAGGTCTCTTACCTTGGGCAAGGGGTTGGACTAGATCAGAGGTCTTCAAACTTGGCAGCTTTAAGACTGGTGGACTTCAACTCCCAGAATTCTCCAGCCAGCTCTACAGAGCTGGCTGGAGAATTCTGGGAGTTGAAGTCCACCAGTCTTAAAGCTGCCAAGTTTGAAGACCTCTGGACTAGACGATCTGCAATGTTCCTTCCAATGTTTTATGAACCGCTGCCGATGGAGCCTCTGGCTGAATTTTGGGGGGGTGGGAGGCAGTTTGGTCTCCCTTTCCCTCCGCCCATGCCCTCTTTGCCCCCCCCACTACCCTTTGCAGGAGAAGGAGGCCCAGATCGCGACCTCCACGCAGAAGGTCCAGGGCCTGGAGGCGGAGCTGCAAGACCTCTCCTGCCAGGAGTCCAAAGACGAGGCCTCCTTGGCCAAAGTCCGCAAGCAGCTGCGGGACCTGGAGGCCAAAGCCAAAGACCAGGAGGAGGAGCTGGACGAGCAGGCGGGCACCATCCAGATGCTGGAGCAGGTAAAAGCCCAGGGCGGGGCACCCGGCCCTCCCTGCCGCGGCTCTGGCTGTGCCGGTTTTCTGGGCGTGCCGGTTTCGCGGGAGAGACGCCAGCCTCTCCTCTCCTTGCACATTGGGGCCCCGTGCCCTTCTCCTGCCCCGGGAGAAGACGCCGCTCACTCGCTCGGCAGTTTGGGGTGCCAGGGAGGGGAAGAGGCAGCTGCCCTGCCACCGTCTCAGCCATGCAGGCCTTAGAAGCCGCGGCAGCACGGAGGGTGAGTGACGGGCGAGAAAAGGAGAACGTTTTCTAGCTCGGGGCTGAAGGGAAGGGTCCTGGGTGCTCTTTCAGCTGGGTGGTTTTTTTTCTGACAGACGTTTCATGACCCAGCTAGGGAACATCATCAGTGCTAGAAGGGAGGGAGGTTTGTGGAGAGGAGGAGGAGGAGGAAGAGGAGGAGGACAGCTGTGTAGTCCTTGGTGCTCTCTGAGCTTGGTGGTTTTCTTGTAGACGTTTCATGACCCAACTAGGGAACATCATCAGTACTAGAAGAGAGGGAGGTTTGTGGAGTGGGGGAGGAGGAGGAAGAGGAGGAGGACAACTGTGGGTCCTTGGTGCTCTCTGAACTTGGTGGTTTTCTTGTAGACGTTTCATGACCCAATTAGGGAACATCATCAGTGCTAGAAGGGAGCGGGCTTTTATATACTGTTTATATACAAGTTGCTTGTCCTGTCTGTGTTCGTCAGAGTGTCATTTTCTCCTTGATGGTTCTTTGATTAGATAGACACCAACAGAGAGAAAGAGAGAGAGAGAGAGATGGATGGATGGATGGATGGATGGATGGATGGATGGATGGATGGATGGATAGAGTTAAAGAGGTAAAGATAGATAGATGGATAGATAGATAGATAGATAGATAGATAGATAGATAGATAGATAGATAGATAGGAGATTAGATAGATGATAGAGAGAGAGATGATGGATGGATAGATCGATGGATAGATAGATAGTTAAAGAGGTAAAGATAGATAGATAGATGGAAGATAGATAGATAGATAGATAGATAGATAGATAGATAGATAGATAGATAGATAGATAGATAGATAGATAGATAGATAAGAGATTAGATAGATGATAGAGAGATGATGGATGGATGGATGGATGGATGGATAGATAGATAGATAGATAGATAGATAGATAGATAGATAGATAGATAGATAAGAGATTAGATAGATGATAGAGAGAGATGATGGATGGATGGATGGATGAATAGACAGACAGGTTAGATAGAGATTAGATAGAGAGAGAGAGAGAGAGAGAGAGAGATGGAGTCCCTGGTGCTCGTTGAGCTTCTTTGTTTTCTCGCAGGCATTTCATGACCCAACTAGGGAACATCATCAATGCTAGTGGGAAGCACAGTTTGTTCTTATCTTATCTTCTAGCTTGCCCTGCCAGTGTCGGTGGGAGTGGTCCTGGGGGGTTCTTGCTTTGGGCTTTTGGCAGTTCCTTAATTGGGGGATTGTTTACTCCTTGGTTGTTGTATTGTTGTTAATCTTGGAGTTAATCTCTGCTCCTCTGGGTGCTGATTGCTGTCTGTGTGTTTTGGTCTTTTGCTTCCCTTTGTGGCTTGTAAGTAATCACCCTTCGGAGCCCATTGATCCAGTGGCTCTCTTCCCAGGACCCCCAGGCAGCCCCAGTGGGGTTTGTTTGCCAGCCAAGCTGGCTTCCGGCTGGCAGCTGGCTCTAAATATTGCCCGTCCCAGCATGAAGGGGTGTGTGGAGTGCAGAAGCTGGCAGGAGCTGGCAAAGCGAAGCTGATCGATGCCGCAGCTGCCCGCCGGTTCTCAGATGAAGGGGGTGGGTAGGGTGTATTGACGCGGGAATCTGCCACCATCTATATCCATCCATCTAATTTATCCATCCAACTATCCATATCTGTCTGTCTGTCTCTGTTTATCTCCGTCCATCCATCCATCATCTATCTATTTGTCCATATATCCATCCATAGGCCTACCTACCTAATTTAGAGACCACCCATCTAACTCATAGAGTGACCGGACCGTGAGCATTAATGAACCTCACTAATACTTCCTCTTCCTGCCCAGAAGGCCCTCGCTTTCTCCTCCATCCTCCAACTCATAGGGGTCCCAACTACATCTATGCCTCGCTGCAGCAGTTGTCTGGAAAACCCCCCCCCCAATTGTCTTGAGGATCGGAAGCCAAAGAAAAGAATAAGGCATATGAATTGGATGGATGGATGGATGGATGGATAGATGATGGATGGATATGATGATAGATAGACAGAAAATATGATGATATGGATGGATGGATGGATGGATGGATGGATGGATGGATGGATGGATGGATGGATGGATGGATGGATGGATGGATGGATGGATGGATGAATGGATGGATGGATAGATGATGGATGGATATGATGATAGACAGAAAATATCATGATATGGATGGATGGATGGATGGATGGATGGATAGATGATGGATGGATATGATGATAGATAGAAAATACGATGATATGGATGGATGGATGGATGGATGGATGGATGGTGAATGGATGGATGATAGATGATGGATGGATATGATGATAGATAGAAAATATGATGAGATGGATGGATGGATGGATGGATGGTGAATGGATGGATGGATAGATGATGGATGGATATGATGATAGACAGAAAATATGATGATATGGATGGATGGATGGTGAATGGATGGATGGATAGATGATGGATGGATATGATGATAGACAGAAAATATCATGATATGGATGGATGGATGGATGGTGAATGGATGGATGGATAGATGATGGATGGATATGATGATAGATAGACAGAAAATATCATGATATGGATGGATGGATGGATGGTGAATGGATGGATGGATAGATGATGGATGGATATGATGATAGATAGACAGAAAATATCATGATATGGATGGATGGATGGATGGTGAATGGATGGATGGATAGATGATGGATGGATATGATGATAGATAGACAGAAAATATCATGATATGGATGGATGAATGGATGGATGGATGGTGAATGGATGGATGGATAGATGATGAATGGATATGATAGATAGAAAATATGATGATATGGATGGATATGGATGGATGGTGAAAGGATGATATAGAAAATATGATGATATGGAAGGATGGCTGGGTGGAAGGATGGATGGAAGGAAGGAAGGAAGGAAAATACCCTGGAGACAGACGAATAAAGACACATAGACAAATAGATAGATTAGATAAATGACACTGTAATTTGAGGTTATTTTGTGTAGCTGCCTGCTTTGTTCGGTTGGTTAGTTGGCAAAACCTTTGAAGTTTCTTCAAATCCACCTTCTTTTTTATCTATTACCCCTTCTGCCCAGGGAGAAAGAGAAGAAAGTGAAACCTGGGGGGGTGGGGGTGTCCCTCCTCCCCCAGGACCCATATTTCATCTTCAAAAACGTTGGATGCTTTGTGTTAGACTGAGCAATCCCAGAAGAGGGGCAGTTGTCCTCCTAGACCAGGGATCTCCAAACTTGACCATGTTAAGCCTGGTGGACTTCAATTCCCAGAATTCCTCATCCAGCATGGCTGTCTGGGGAATTCTGGGAGTTGAAGTCCACCAGTGTTAAAGTGGCCACGATTGGATGGCTGAGGAATTCTGGGATTGAAGTCCACCAGTGTTAAAGTGGCCACGATTGGATGGCTGAGGAATTCTGGGAATTGAAGTCCACCAGTGTTAAAGTAGCCACGATTGGATGGCTGAGGAATTCTGGGAATTGAAGTGCACCAGTCTTAAAGTGGCCACGATGGATGGCTGAGGAATTCTGGGAATTGAAGTGCACCAGTCTTAAAGTGGCCACGGTTGGATGGCTGAGGAATTCTGGGAGTTGAAGTCCACCAGTCTTAAAAGTGGCCAAGTAGACCCCTTAGATGCCCTCTTTCCCATGCTGGGGGTCCCGTCCCCTCCGTTCCCTTTGAGGAAGCCCCCCTCTCACCAACTCTTTTCCCCCCCACCAGGCCAAACTCCGCCTGGAGATGGAGATGGAGAGATTGCGACAGACGCACTCCAAGGAAGTGGAGAGCCGCGATGAGGAAGTGGAGGAGATCCGTCAGTCGTGCCAGAAGAAGGTGAGCCAGGTGGGGTGGTGGGTGGTCCTCTGGAAGTTGTGTCCTACAGAGTTCAGAGGCATCCTGGTTTGTAAGGCTTTGTTTGTGAACATCCCTATCATGGTGAGGAGCCTAGAAGTTATAGCAGTCTGTCAATCTGGGGCACTTTCCGATGGGTGGACTTCAACTCCCAGAATTCCCCAGCTGGGGAATTCTGGGAGTTGAAGTCCACCCATCGGAAAGTGCCTCAGGTTGGCATAGACTGAAGTAGCAAGTTCCAAAAGTCCAGTTTCTAATTTCCAGTCTTCAGGATGGGAGCAGCAGAGCCAAGGCGTGGGCAGTGCCAAGCGGAAGAAGGGCAGAGGGATGGGGCATCTTTTCCCATGGAGACACTTCCTGTTTGCCCCTTCCGGCTTCGTTGACCCAACTAAGCCTCACTCTGCATTTAGAGCAGTTTTGCAAAGTGATACTTCAGAACTCCAAGGATCAAGCATTATTTTATTTTATTTTATTTTATTTTATTTTATTATATTATATTATATTATATTATATTATATTATATTATATTATATTATATTATATTATATTATTTTATTTTATTTTATTTTATTTTATTTTATTTTATTTTATTTTATTATTTTATTTTATTTTATTTATTTTTTATTTTTTATTTTATTTTATTATTTTATTTTATTTTATTATATTATATTATATTGTTTTTTTTTTGTTTTTATTTTTTTATTTTATTATTTTATTGTTTTTGTTTTTATTTTATTGTATTTTATTGTTTTTTTGTTTTTATTTTGTTTTTATTTTTTTATTGTTTTTATTTTTATTTCTATTGTTTTGTTTTATTTTAATTTTATTGTTTTAATTTTAATTTAATTTTTAATTTTTATTTTATTCTATTGTTTATTTCATAATTTTAATGATTTTTTATTTTATTATTCTTTATTTCATTTTTTTATTTTAATGTTTTTATTTTATTTTTATTGTTTTTATTTTTTTATTGCTTTTATTACCCTAACCCCCTACCCACGGCTGGCTGTGGAATTCTGGGAGTTGAAGTCCACGAGTCTTAAACTTCCCAAGTAGGGACATCCTTATCCTATACAGACAGTCCTCCACTTATGAGCGCTCTTGAGCCCCAAATTTCTGTTGCTAAGTGAGACAATGAAGTCGGTTTCGCCCCATCCGACTTCCCCACCGATGGTCACAAAAGGGGATCACACAACCCACTGGGGACACTACGACCGTCATAAAGATGAGTCCGTTGTCATGCGTCTGATTTTTGATCACCTGACCAGAGGTTGGGTTTCACATAATTTTATCACTGGTTTGTCACACACCAAAAATGCTCGCATGCGTGGCTTAGGAAACGTGGCTAAATAGGACGGCATAGCGCCGGGGCAGGTGGGAATACCACCACTGCACGAGCGGGAACGGTTGTTAAGTGTGAACAGTGGTCCTAAGACTTTCTTTTCAAGGCCACTGGAAGCTCCAACGGTCGCTAAATGAATTGTGAGTCGAGGACTAGTTGTGCGATGGAGATGGCTGCCCAATCTCGCAGAGATGGCACACCCACAACTTCTGGTGCTGTTGTGTGCAGGAAGGCTGGGCTTTGTTGTCATGTAGGCAATTTTTCAGCCTCACCCAGGATGAGACCAGTGTCACCAGGAAGTGACTCCTTTCCGATTGTGAAATTTCACACACCTTTTCTTGAGCAATTAATTCCCCAAATATTTCCTCCAGACATACAAGCAGTCCTTGCATCACAACCACAATGGGGGGACAATTTCCGCCGTTAAGCCAGGGACTTGTTCAGTGAGTCGCGCCCAATTTTACGGCCTTATTTGACACAGTCGTTAAGCGACTCGCACAGTCGTTAAACAAACCCAGCCTCCTCCTTGACTTACGCTCGCCGGAAGGGAAAATCACGTGATACCGGGATACTGCAACCGTCATAAAGACGAGTCCGTTGCCGAGCGTCTTAATGACGATCACGTGGCCATGGGTCACAAGTGTGAGACGCCGTCATCAGTCAGTTTTTTCAGTGCCGCTGTAACTTTGAATGGTCACTAAATGAACTGTTGTATGTTGAGGGCTCGTTGTGTTTCACATTTTGTGTTTTTATCTGCAACCATCATACATTTGAGCCCATTGCCAAGCATCTGAATTTAGATCCCGTGATCGTGGGGAAGCCAAGATGGTTATAAGTGCGAGGACTGGGCCATAAGTCACTTTTATCAGTGCCGTTGTAACTACGAACGGTCGCTAAATGAAAACGGTTGTAAATCAAGAACTACCTGTACTCTTCTGAACCCATCCAAGTTCCATGGGGCCTTCTGGATTTCTTTTAAGGATTAGAATCTCAGGATTAGAATCAGGGCTAAACTCAGGATTAGCCCTGAGTCCAGTGGGAGAAGGGCAGTATGAAAATCTAATAAGATAAATAAATAAGAATACAGAATCACAGAGTTGGAAGGGACCTTGGAGGTCTTCTAGTCCAACCCGCTGCCTAGGCAAGAAACCCTACACCGTTTCAGACAAAGGATATTTTTTATGTTATGTGGTTATATTATGTTCTTCAATTTACAGATTACAGTAAACTTAGCATAAGAAACATTGATTTCATTGAATTTTTAAATTTAATTCATTTAATAAATTTAATAAATTAAATAAATTAAAATTTATTTATTGTTTTCATGTATTACACTGCATTTAATTCAATATTCACCACCCTGAGTCCCTTCTGGGAGAAGGGCGGTATACAAATTAAATAAATAAATAAATAAAATAAAAAATATGTGTAAGGCTCGTAGAGCCACCTTTGGCGAGACGTGTTAGATAGATGAAAGACTGATCTAAAACATTAAAACAATAAAAAAAAAATGAAATGAAATGAAATAAAATAAAATGACAAATCATAAAAAAAAAAAAATCATAAAAATGAAATATACATTTTTCAAGTCCTCAAGTCTTAAAAGTTCCAAAGTTGGACACCCTTGGTACATAGCAGTGATGGCTAACCTTTTTGCCGTTGCGTGCCAAAAGCGGGGGGAGTGCAGGGGGGGGGTCATGCGTGTGCGTGTCCATACTCATAATTCAATGTGCCTCCCCCGCGAATGCACGCGTGATACCCCCCCCCCCCCGTGCTCCCTGCGCTTTTGGCACATGATGGCACGGTGGGCCCAGTAGGCCTGTTTTTTCCTAGAAAGGCCCTGGAGCCTGGGGAGGGCGAAAATGGCCTTTCCCACCCCCCAGAGACCCTCTGGAGGCCGCAAACAGCCCGTTTGCTGAGCTAGGCCAATGCTCACGTGCCATAGCTTATATAGGGTATCTAGGGTCTCCTTCTGAAGCAGGGGGCTGGACTAGAAGACCTCTAAGGTCCCTTCCCACTCTGTTACTCTGATCTGGCCGCTTCCACGAGCCGGCTGTCCAAGGGAGGGGTCCATAGCTCAAGCAGAAGACCCCTCCCCTCAAACAGCCCCTGCCTCCCCTCAGCCTCAGGGATTTTAGAGATTGAAAGGCCTCTAGAACAGTGTTTCTCAACCTTGGAAGCTTGAAGATGGGTGGACTTCAACTCCCAGAATCCCCCAGCCAGCGCTGCTGGCTGGGGGATTCTGGGAGTTGAAGTCCACCCATCTTCAAGCTTCCAAAGTTGAGGAACACTGCTCTAGGAATACTCGAGAAAATTGAAAGTTTATTGGACATTGTTGTAGGGGGGGGGGGCAGCTGGTCACAACAAACCCAGGATAAACCACTTTTCTTCCCAAAGCTGGTTTAGCTGTGGGAGAATCTTTAAAAAAAAAAACAAAACCTCGTCAGCTTCTGTGTGTTGAACGAGAGGAGATTTCCTCCCGTTTTCCCCCTTGGGCGTCTCTCGAAGGCAAATTTGTTTGCCGTTTTAAAAGTTAGATTAATTAATTGGTTGAGATACATATGATTAACTAATTAAAACGTTTCTCTCATCAGCTGACAGCCGGAGAATAATGTCTTTATTAACTCATCCACGTGGCGCCTTCGTTTTCAGGGGAACGTGAATAAATGGTCTTCAGGTTGGGGACTTCCTGCTGGCAATTCTTTCTTCTCTCTCTTTTTTTTAATGTTCAGACTTGGGAATTGGGGAAATTAGAACTCGTGCTGGGGGACGAGTAGGAAGCAAAGGAAAGCAGAATTAACAAGGAAACGGGGGGGTGCTTTGAACAGGATGGGTCGAAACACACAGCACCCCTAATTTAATCCGGGAACAGTTTGGTCTAGTGATAAGAGCCTTGGTACTACAGTGGTTTAAAGCACCCTGTTATTAACACAGCTGCCTGCAATTTACTGCTGGTTCGAATCTCTCCAAGGCTCAAGGTTGACTCAGCCTTCCATCCTTTCTAAGGTAGGTGAAATGAGGACCCAGTTTGTGGGGGCAATAAGCTGACTTTGTATAAAATATACAAAAGGACGAAGGCTGTTGCTTAACGCATTGTAAGCCGCCCTGAGTCTCCGGAGAAGGGCGGCATATAAATCAAATTAAAAAAAAAAAAAAAAGGCGCCTGGCTAGAAACCAGGAGACAGTGAGTTCTAGTCCCGCCTTAGGCATGAAAGCCAACTGGGTGTCTTTGGGCCAGTCACCAGGAGACTGTGAGTTCTAGTCCCGCCTTAGGCAGGAAAGCCAGCTGGGTGACTTTGGGCCAATCATCAGGAGATTGGGAGTTCTAGTCCCGCCTTAGGCATGAAAGCCAGCTGGGTGACTTTGGGCCAGTCACCAGGAGACGGGGAGTTCTAGTCCCGCCTTGGGCTTAAAAGCCAGCTGGGTGACTTTGGGCCAATCACCAGGAGATTGGGAGTTCTAGTCCCGCCTTAGGCATGAAAGCCGGGTGGGTGACTTTGGACCAATCACCAGGAGAGGGTGAGTTCTAGTCCCGCCTTAGGCATGAAAGCCGGCTGGGTGACTTTGGGCCAGTCACCAGGAGACTGGGAGTTCTAGTCCTGCCTTAGGCACGAAAGCCAGCTGGGTGACTTTGGGCCAATCCCCAGGAGATTGGGAGTTCTAGTCCCGCTTTAGGCAGGAAAGCCAGCTGGGTGACTTTGGGCCAATCACCAGGAGAGGGTGAGTTCTAGTCCCGTCTTTGGCAGGAAAGCCAGCTGGGTGACTTTGGGCCAATCACCAGGAGACTGGGAGTTCTAGTCCCGCCATAGGCATGAAAGCCAGCTGGGTGACTTTGGGCCAGTCACCAGGAGAGGGTGAGTTCTAGTCCCAGCTTAGGCATGAAAGCCAGCTGGGTGACTTTGGGCCAATCACCAGGAGACGGTGAGTTCTAGTCCCGCCTTAGGCATGAAGGCCAACTGGGTGACTTTGGGCTGGTTCCTCTCTCTCTCTCAACCCAACCTACCTTAAAGGGTTGTTGTTAGGAGGAAGAGGGAGCATTATGCGTGTTCATTGGCTTGAGTTATTTATAAAAACCACCCAGGGCCCTTCCTCGAGGGAGGTGAGCACTCTAGAAATCCAAATAAATAAAATGAAAGGTGAGATAAGAATAAATAAGAGTCTTAACTGCGGAACTTGTGATGCGTTAAGGGAGAAGATCCGCATTGTAGACGGAACGTATTTCTTCCTCCTGCCTGTCCCACTGAACTGACAGGTGTTTGCCTGCTTAGATTTTATTAATGCTTATTTATTTATTTATCCATTACATTTATACGCTGCTGAGCCCAGCGCGCAGGGCAGCTTATCGCTGCAATAAAACATCCCTACCTGGAAAGAAACACACACACACACCGGCATGATAAACGTTAAGCAGCAGCAACTCAACATCAAATATTAAAAATATCCACTGTAATAAATCTGAACGAAAGCGAAGCCTCCCCGCGATAAAAAAAAAAAAAAAAAAACCCGATCAAAAATACAAACCCCAAACAGCCTCCTGAGCCCCTCCAGGGTCTTTCCGGCTTTCTAGAAAGTTTTGTGGTATGTAATTTGGGTTGATTTACTGATAAATGAAAACAATACAATTTCTGATGGGGGACGGGGGTGTTTGTGTGTCCTAAAATAAGATAAGATAATTTTTATTATCACTTTTTCTGTGAAGGCGACCCTCCTGTCTGGCAGGCAGTAGTTCTCCAGGTTGCACAACAGCTGGGATTCTTTCTTTCTTTCTTTCTTTCATTCATTCATTCATTCATTTCTTCCTTCCTTACCTCCCTCCCTCTTTCTTTCCTTCCTTCCTTCCTTCCTTCCTTCCTTCCTTCCTTCTTTCCTTTTTCTTCTTTCATTCATTCTTTTTCCTTCCTTCCTTCTTCCTTCCTTCCTTTTTTCTTTCTTTTCTTTCTTTTCTCTCTCCCCCTTCCTTCCTTCTCTCCCCTTCCCTGCTTCCCCACCTCTTTTCTGTTTCCCCACCGCCTCTCCTTCCCTCCCTCCTTCCCTCCCGCCCTCCCTTACTTCCTTTCCTCCTTCCCCTTATACCTCTGCATCCCTCTCCTACTTCCTTTCCCCCTCTCCTTCCTTCCTTCCCTCCCTCTGTCCTTTCCTTCCTTCCTTCCCTCCTCTCTCCCTTCCTCCCTTCCTGACCTCTTCCAAAGTACAGATAGTTCTCAAAGTATAAGAGGTCACTCAGTGACCGTTTGAACTCAGGACCTACCTGAGAAAGGGGAGTACCTGGATGTACAGATGGATCTCGGCCAGTAGATCCGGTGCTGAGCTTGGACAGGTGTGACTCCAGAAGGGGCACCTCAGCTCCAGCAACCGGAGACCCCCAGCAGGCTTAGCCTGTCCTGATCAGCCCCTCTCTCTGCCCCACAGCTGAAGCAGATGGAGCTGCAGCTGGAGGAGGCCTACGAGGAGAGGCAGAAGGTCCTGCGGGAGAAGAGGGAGCTGGAGAACAAGCTGGTGGCCGCCAGCGATCAGGTAGACCTTGCCAAGCGCGACCGACGAGAGTCTCACCTGGGGAGTTTGAATGAGCTTCTCCATTGCTTGATGCCTCTTCTACAGGAATCTCCCCAAACGCCTGGGAAAGGCAGAATAAAGCTCATTGGGGGGGGGGGGTTGCTCCCTTGTGTTGACGCAACGATTCCAGGCTAATTCCCCGCATGACCCCTCCTCCCAAGCGGGACGGTTGCTCTGCAACATCTTGCGGGGTGGGGTCCTCCAGGGAGGGGCCAAGGCGCACCCGATTCAGACCTCCCATCCCTTCTCTGCTTCCTTCCCTCCTTCCAGGTCAGCCAGCGGGATGTCGAGGCGGAGAAGCGGCTGCGGAAGGACCTCAAGCGCACCAAGGCCCTCCTGGCCGACGCGCAGGTCATGCTGGACCACCTGAAGAACAACGCGCCCAGCAAGCGGGAGATCGCCCAGCTGAAGAACCAGGTGAGGCACGGGGGCGCCTGTGGGGAGTCTCCGCCCTCCAGGCCCTGGGGGTCCCCGAGGGGGCTTCTCGGCTTCTTCTTTTGAAAGCCTTTCGCTTCTCATCCAAGAAGCTTCTTCAGTTCTTGAGGGAGAGGGAGAGCAGAGGAAAAGAAAAAGAGATGGCGGGAAGGAAGGAGGAAGGGAGGAAAGAATGGAGAAGGAAGGAAGGACTAGAAGGAAGGGAAGAAGGGAGGGAAAAAGGAGAAGAGGAAGGAAAAAATGGAAGGAAGGAAAGAAGAAATGGAAGGAAGGAAAAGGGGAAGAAGAAAGGAAGGAAGAAGGGAGGAAAGGAAGGGAGGAAAGAAAGGAAGGAAGGAAAGAAGGGAAGGAAGGAAAGGGAAGAAAGAAAGGAAGGAGGAAGAAAGAAATGGAAGGAAAAGGGGAAGGAAGAAGGGAGGGAATAAAGGAAGGAAAGAAGGAAAGGGAGGAAAGAAAGGAAGGAGGAAGAAAGAAATGGAAGGAAACAAGGGGAAGAAGGAAGGAAGGAAGGATGGAAAGAAAGGAAGGAAGGAAAGAAGGGAAGGAAGGGACTCTGACCGCCCCTTTCCCACGGGGGTCTCTCTCTCTCTCTGCAGCTGGAAGAGTCGGAGTTCACCTGCTCGGCCGCCGTCAAAGCCCGGAAATCCATGGAGGTGGAGATTGAAGATTTGCATCTCCAGATCGAGGATTTCTCCAAAGCCAAAGGAGCGGTAGGCGAACGTCCTGTGCCCCTGACTCAGTTTCCCCTGCGGAGGCTGGCCAGACCCCCCACCCCCCACCCCGGTGGTTGGTTCCCTGCAAATTCCAGACGTAACTTTCTTTGGCTCATTTCCATTTCTGTGGAATGAAAAAAAAAAGAGAGAGAAGGAGGATTAATTAGGAGACATCAAAGCTTCCGGCTAATTGGCAGACTTACAGATCCAGTTCTGGAAATCTTCCCGGAGAAGCCAAAAAAAACGGCATTTTCTGGGACGCAAACCGGCCCCACCGCTTCCCAAAATGCCCCCATCGCTTTTGGGGGCAGCCTTGGCAGGTGGGTAAAGCCCCCATTTGGGGGGCACCAGGCCTGTTGGCAGAGCCCTCCTTCCAGGGTGGGATTTATTGACTCGTGGGGCACCTTCGCATCACCTTTCGACAAAAAACAACCCAGATGTGAAATGCAGGCAGTCCTCGATTTACGACAGTTCATTGTTCGAAGTTACGGCGGCCCTGGGGAAAAAAAAAATGACTGAAGATTTTTTTTTTCTCGCACTTACGACCCACGGTCACGGGATCCCAAATTCAGACACTCAGCGACTGACTCGTAGTTATGACGGTTGCAGTGTCGTTGTCCCCACCGCCCCCGGGGGTCACGTGATCCCTTTTGGCGACCTCCTGACTGGCAAAGTCAATGGGGAAGCCGGATTCATTTAACGACCGTGCGACTCGCTTAACAACTGCAGGGATTGGCTTAAGAGCCGGGGCAGGAACGGTCGTAAATCGGGGCATAACTCAGCCCCTCTCTCGCTTAGCAAACGGAAATTTTGGGCTCGGTCGTAAGTCGAGGACTGCCTGTAATTCCTCCGCCCAACAGCTCATAGAGGCTGCTCTAGGTTGAGCCGGACCAGGATATCGGGGTTCCCCACAGGGTCAGCCCCCCCTCCCCCCTTTGAGGCCTCGAAGCCCTTCTGGGGTGGGCTGGGGGCTGAAGTCTCCCCCCTCCCTCCCTCCCCCCCCCCCCAGCTGGAAGAGCAGGTGAGCCGTTTGCAGCGGGAGAAGAACGAGGTGCAGAGCCGGCTGGAGGAAGATCAGGAGGACCTGAACGAGCTCATGAAGAAGCACAAGGCGGCCGTGGCACAGGTGGGTCCCTCTGGGCCCCTTGGCGGGACTCCCCCTCCCCACCCACCCCTCCCCATGCGCTCTTTCTTTCTTTCTTTCTTTCTCTTTCCTCCTTCTTTCTATCACTCCTTTCTTTCTTTCTTTCTCTCTCTCTTTCTCTCCTCCCCTCCTTCCTTCCATCACTTACTTCTTTCTTTCTTTCTTTCTTTCTTTCTTTCTTTCTTTCTTTCTTTCTTTCTTTCTTTCTTTCTTTCTTTCTCTCTTTCTTTCTCTTTCTCTCTCTTTCTTTCTTTCTTTCTTTCTTTCTCTTTCTCTCTCTTTCTTTCTTTCTTTCTCTTTCCTCCTTCCTTCTATCACTCCTTTCTTTCTTTCTTTCTTTCCTCTTTTTCTCCCTCCCTCCTTCCTTCCATCACTCCTTTCTTTCTTTCTCTTTCTCTTTCTCTCCCCTCCTTCCTTCCATCACTCCTTTCTTTCTTTCTTTCTTTGTTTCTTTCTCTCTCTCTCTCTCTTTCTCTCCCCCCTCCTTCCTTCCATCACTCCTTTCTTTCTTTCTTTCTTTCTTTCTTTCTTTCTTTCTTTCTTTCTTTCTCTTTCCTCCTTCCTTCTATCACTCCTCTCTTTCTTTCTTTCTTTCTTTCTTTCTCTTTCCTCCTTCCTTCTATCACTCCTTTCTTTCTTTCTTTCTTTCTTTCTTTCTTTCTTTCCTTCTTTCCTCTTTTTCTCCCTCCCTCCTTCCTTCCATCACTTCTTTCTTTCTTTCTCTCTTTCTCTTTCTCTTTCTCTCCTTCCTTCCATCACTCCTCTCTTTCTTTCTTTCTTTTTCTTTCTTTCTTTCTTTCTCTCTCTCTCTCTCTCTCTTCCTCTCCCCCCTCCTTCCTTCCATCACTCCTTTCTTTCTTTCTTTCTTTCTTTCTTTCTTTCTTTCTTTCTTTCTTTCCTTTTCTTTCTTTCTTTCTTTCTTTCTTTCTTTCTTTCTCTTTCCTCCTTCCTTCTATCACTCCTCTCTTTTTTCTTTTTCTTTCTCTTTCTCTCCCCCTTCTTCCTTCCATCACTCCTCTTTCTTCTTTCTTTCTTTCTTTCTTTCTTTCTCTTTCTCTTTCCTCCTTCCTTCTATCACTCCTCCCTTTCTCTTTCTCTCTCTTTCTCTCTCTCCCCTCCTCGGAGGAAGGGATGAAATGGTGGGGGGTGGGACACAAAGAATCCCACTTCATTTAATAGCAAAGCAGATCATGGCAGACAGAGCACCCCCTAACTTTAGAGATTCTTGGCAGCCAAGAGGGGGGAGGATGGTGGATTGATAGGAGGGGGGGGAAAAGAGTAAGAGAGGGGTGGAGAGGGAGGGAGGGAGGAAGAAAGAAAGAAAGAGAAAGAAAGAGAGAAAGAAGGGAAGGAAGGAGGGAGGGAAGAGAAAGGAGAGAGAAAGACAAAGAAAGAAAGAAAGAGAAGGAAAGAAAGAAAGGAAAGAATTAGGGAAGGAAAGGGGAGAGAAAGAATGAGAGAGACAAAGAGGAAAGGAAGAGAGAGAGAAAAAAAGAAAAAGAAACAGAAAGAAAGAAACAGAAAGAAAGAAAAAGAAAGAGAAAAAAAGGAAAAGAAAGAAAGAAACAAGAAAGTGAGAGAAAGAAAGAAAGAAAGAAAGAAAAAAGAAAGAAAAAAGAGGAGTGATAGAAGGAAGGAGGAAAGAGAAAGAAAGAAAGAAAGAGAGAGAGAGAGAAAGGAGGCAGGGAAGAGAAAGGAGAGAGAAAGACAAAGAAAGAAAGGAAAGAAAGAAAGGAAAGAATTAGGGAAGGAAAGGGGAGAGAAAGAATGAGAGAGACAAAGAGGAAAGGAAGAGAGAGAGAAAAAAGAAAAAGAAACAGAAAGAAAGAAAAAGAAAAAGAAAGAAAAAGAAAGGAAAAGAAAGAAAGAAACAAAAGAAAGTGAGAGAGAGAGAGAAAGAAAGAAAGAAAGAAAGAAAGAAAGAAAGCAGGCCCAGTGGTTTTGCAACCTGGAGAACTGCTGCCTGCCAGGCAGGACCTCACCCTGTAGGGAGTCTGGAACCGTGGCAGATGGATCTGGGGGGGTGGGGGGTGCCCCCTTCCCTCGAGGGCCATAACCGCTCAGGTCCACCTTGCCTCCCCCCTCTCAACCCCCGTAGGCTTCGCGGGACCTGGGCCAGATCAACGACCTCCAATCGCAGCTGGAAGACGCCCAGAAGGAGAAGCAGGAGCTGCAGGAGAAGGTACCCCTCGCCAAGGGGTGGGGCTGCAGCCTTTCTGGACAACCCCCCCTCCCCACAGCAGCCCCTCTGAGCATTCTTTTTGTCCCCCCCTCCCCCCCCAGCTGCAAGGCCTCCAGAGCCAGCTGGAATTCCTGGAGCAGACCATGGTGGACAAGTCCTTGGTCAGCCGGCAGGAGGCCAAGATCCGCGAACTGGAGACCCGGCTGGAATTCGAGAGGACCCAAGTGAAGCGCCTGGAGGTGAGGGGGAGGGGAGGGACCCCCGCCCCGAACGGGCAAACCTCAGCAGGCAAGGACCCTCACCCATTTTACAGATTAACAGAGGTTGGAAGGGACCTTGGAGGTCATCTAGTCCAACCCCCCCCCCCCCGTCCAAGCAGGAGACCTTACGCCATTTCTGACCGATGGCAGCCCAGTCTCATCACAGAAGGGAATCTCATGCAGGGCCGGGAAGGTCTCTGCCTTCTGACGAGTATTTTAAAAGACGGGTAAGTCCTCGACTTACGACCATTCCTTTAGTGACCGTCGGAAGTTACAACCACGCTGAAAGCAGTGACTTAAACTGGGGGAAGCCTGAGTCACTTGATGCTTTTCACACTTGTAACAGCTCGTGCAGCCACCCCCACGGTCACGTGATCAAAATTCGGCCACTCGGTAGCTGACTCACATTTATGACGGTTGCAGTGTCCCGGGGTCGCCTTTTGCCGACCTTCTGACCAGCCAATTCAATACGGGTGTAGGTTCACTTAAGAACGGCAGCGATCCGCTTAACGACTGGGGCAAGGAAGGTCGTTAAAAAAAATGGGACACAACTCGCTTAACAGCTGTCTCGCTTAGCAACGGAAATTTGGGGCTTGGCTTGTATTTATGACAGTTGCATAGTCCCGGGGGTTCGCGTGATCACGATTTGTGACCTTCCCGCCCGGCTTCTGACAAGCAAAGTCGATGGGGAAGCCGGATTCCTTTTAAGGACCGCACGATTCACTTAACGATGGCATGATTCATTTAACAATTCCGGCGATTCGCTTAACGGCGGCCAAAACGATCGCGAAATGAGGCACGGCATGCCTCGGCCGGTGGAAATATTGGCCTCCGTTTTGGTCGCACGATGAGGACTAGCTGTAATTCTGCCTCCCCGTCGACTTTTCCCTCTGGCTCTGCGCCAGGGGTGGGTTCTAAATTTTTTTTACTACCGGTTCTGTGGGCGTGGCTTATTTTGTGGGTGTGGCTTGGAGGTCATGTGACTGGGTGGGCGCGGCTAGCTGGTCAAGAGTCATTTCTGGAAGGTCCTCGCACTTACGACCAGTCCTCGCACTTACGACCCGACTCATTTGGGACTCAGGAGGCAGCAATAGATTGGGGGGTGGGACCAAATAAAAGGTAAGAATAATGTGGGGGGGTGGGAGGGCGGGGCAGGGAGAACCGGTTCGGTGACGTCATATCGTCACCGCTACCGGCTCGGCCGAACCGGACCGAACCGGGAGGAACCCACCACTGCTTTGCGCCCCCCCAACTCACTCAGCAAGCCCCTGACCCCGCCCCGGCCCCTCCTTGCCAGCGCCAGAGCCTCTTCTGCACCCCCAGACCCTTATTTTTTTGGGGGGGGAAGCCCAGATGCTCCCCAGATGCTCCTTCCTCTTTCTCCGCCGTTCCTGGCTTCTTCGCCCTCCCCTCCTCTCCCCTCCCCACTGCCAGCCGCGTGAATAAATATGCAGGGGACGGCGCTCAGAGCTGCCTGCGCCAACGGATAGAATCTATTTTTCTCCTTACATTACATGCTGTAATTACTTCACACAAAGTTAAATCTATTTTTCCAATTCACCAAGGCCCTCCCTGATTATTCTTCCCACGCCTGGGGAAGAAAGACCCCCCCCTCCATCCTTCCACCCACCCCTCCCTCTCTATTTCTCTCTCTCTCTCTCTTTCCTGGGCCCCGACTTGGCAGCTGCCCTCCCTGCTCCCTTTCCTTCCCCTCCCCACTTCCCTCCAGCCAGTCCTTTCCCCCCCACCTCAAACCCCCCCCCCCTCATGTAAATTCATAGGGTTGGCTTCGTTTGTTCCATTAGCTCCCGGCGGAAGAGCGAGGAGCTGCCTTGCACTGCGCCGCCCCGTTCCCCCCCTGTAATTGCGGCTGTCTTCTACCATTATGCACGGCGGATGAATATGGATGCCCAGCCGCGTGTCTTTCCCCGCACCATCTCGTTTTCCACCTGCCACGGTTCGCCGGGGATGGAGAGGGATCGCCTCTCTCCGTCCCTCCCCCACACACCCGAGGGGCACGGTGGCATGGGCCGAGGGCTTGTCGGAGTGGATGTTGGAATCGGAATCTCCGCGATCCCGAGGGCGTTGGGGAGCTCTGGGTTCTGCCCCTATTGCTGGGAGGTTTGGGGGCCGCCTTCATCTCTGGGGCTGGGTTGGGGGAGGGTGTGTGTGTGTGTATGGGGAGGGGGCTTCAGGTCCTTGCTAGAGACTCTTGAGCGTTCTGGGGGATGCGCGTTGAACTGATCCGTGCTCCCACCCAGAAAGGGGAGCGTGGGAGCTGCTATCGGAGCAAGGAATATGGAATTAATCAGGGAAGACCCCACCCCGCCCCCAATTCCGCAGCCCCTTTGCCTCGGTCTTGTCTGCCACTGGTTCTCCAGGGTCCTGTCTGGAGATCGAAGGTGGACATCTCCATCCAGGATGAGGGTATTGGCCAACTTGCTAGCCTCTAGCAAGGAGTGAGGGCGGTGTCAAGTGAGGGTGTAGCTTAGAATCCTTTCGTAGCCGCAAAAGACATAAACCTGGCCTCTCCCGGGAACCACGTAAGCCTTATTTAGCCACTCCAAAGGGAAGGCAAGCACTTCGGGTGGTTCTTGCGCAGGTAGTCCTCGCCTTACAACCACAATTGAGCCCAAAACTCCTGTTGCTAAGCGAGACATCCGTGAAGTGAATTTTAATCCACCGTAAGACCTTTCTTGCCACCGTGGTTAAGAGAATCCCTGCCGTTGTTAAGTGAGTCACGCGGCCGTTCAGCGAATCCGGGCTTCCCCATTGACTTCGCTTGTCGGAAGGGTCGCAAAAGGGGATCTCACGTGACCCCGGGACACTGCAACCGTCATAAGTACGAGTCAGTTGCCAAATTGTCCGGATTCTGATCACGTGACGACGGGGATGCTGCAACGGTCGTAAGTGTGGAAGGCGGTCATAAGTCACTTTTTTCTGTGCCGCTGTAACTTCCAACGGACGCTAAATAAACTGTTGTAAGTCGAGGACTCTCTGTAACACAGATAATAAATTATTGGTTTTTGTTACTCATGGTTGCTTGAATCATCATCGTCTTCTTTTAACGACCCTGTAATCCTTTGTGGGGTGAAATCTGAGCTGAGTGTTTACTGGCCGGATGCCCTTCCTGTTGCCAATGAGGAGTTTTATTCAGCTGATATATTCTCATTGTGCCCAGAAAGAGAGAAATATCTACCTACCTAGGATCGAACTCACAACCTCCTGATTGTGAGGCGAGAGCGCCACCTCTAGATCACTGCGCCACTCACTCTCACTCACGTTGAAACAATCGAAATACTCCTGGGAGCTGGTAGGGGGGCCAGCCCAGCATCAGCCCTTAGAACAAGGGACTCCAATCTTGTCCACTTTAAGACCTCTGGACTTCAATTCCCAGAATTCCCCAGCCAGCTTAGCTTAGAATTCTGGGAGTTGAAGTCCACAAATCCTAAAGTGGGCAAGATTGGAGACCCCTACCTTAGAAAGATGAAGGAGCAGGGGAGACCAATGTCCCTTTTCTCCTGGGACCCTTCAGGCCCACCGCTGCCCCTCAGGGGTGCACAGAGGCCGGTGCAGAGCCACGGATGCCTAGTGGTTAGAGAGCAATATTGCAGGCTGACTCTGCCCACAGCCAGTAAGTTCGATCCTGACCGGCTCAAGGTTGACTCAGCCTTCCATCCTTCCCAGCTCAGTAAAATGAGGACCCAGATGGTTGGGGGGCAACAGGCTGACTCTGTAAACTGCTTAGAGAGGGATGTAAAACCACTGTAAAGTGGTATATAAATCTATATAATTCTTTTTAAGTGTTTTTTAATTGTTTTGTTTATTGTTTTAATTAATGGCCAAATCTATATTTTTTTTAAACTGTATTTTAATATTTGTATTTGATGTTTTTATTTGGCTGTTTACCGCCCTGAGTCCTCAGGGAGAAGGGCGGTATACAAATTCAAAATAAAATAAAAAATAAATAAAAATAAAATAAAATAAGTACTATTGCTTGGGAAGGAAGGAAAGAAATAAGGAAGATGGGAAGGAAGGAAAGGAGGAAAGAAGATGGGAAGGAGGAAGTGGGAAGGAAGATGGGAAGGAAGGAAAGAAAGAAGGAAGATGGGAAGGAAGGGAGAAGGAAGGGAGGAAGGAAGGAAAACCAGAAGGAAGGAAGGGAAATGAGAGGAAGGAAGGAAGCCATAGTGGCACAGTTGTTACAATGCAGCATTGCAGGCTAACTCTGCCCACTAACCAGCAGTTCGAATCTCACCGGCTCAAGGTTGGCTCAGCCTTCCAACCTCCCGAGGTGGGTAAAATGAGGACCCAGGTTTTGGGGGGAAGAGGCTGACTCTGTAAACCACTTAGAGAGGGCTGTAAAAGCACTGTGAAGCGGTATATAAGTCTAAGGACTATTGCTTGGGAAGGAAGAAAGGAAGGAAGATGAGAAGGAAGGAAAAGAAGGAAGAGAGGAAGGGAGGAAAGGAGGAAGGAAGATGGGAAGGAAGGAAGATAAGAGGGAAAGAAGGAAGGAAGGAAAGGAATGAAGGAAGGAAAACCAGAAGGAAGGAAGGGAGGAGAAGGACGGAAGGCAGCCATAGTGGCACAGTTGCAATGCAGCATTGCAGGCTAACTCTGCCCACTAACCAGCAGTTCAAATCTCACCGACTCAAGGTGGACTCAGCCTTCCAACCTTCCGAGGTGGGTAAAATGAGGACCCAGGTTGTTGGGGGCAACAGGCTGACTCTGTAAACCGCTTAGAGAGGGCTGTAAAAGTACTGTGAAGCAGTATATAAGTCTAAGGACTATTGCTTGGGAAGGAAGGAAAGAAAGAAGGGAAGGAGGGAAGAAAGGAAGTGAGAAGGAAGGGAGGGAGGAAGGAAAACCAGAAGGAAGGAAGGAACAGAAGGAAGAGAGGAAGGGAAGAAAGGAGGAAGGAAGATGGGAAGGAAGGAAGATAAGAGGGAAAGAAGGAAGGAAGGAAAACCAGAAAGAAGGAAGGAAAGGAAGGAAGAGAGGAAGGGAAGAAAGGAGGAAGGAAGAGGGAAAGGAAGGAAGATAAGAGGGAAAGAAGGAAGGAAGGAAAGGAAGGAAGAGAGGAAGGGAAGAAAGGAGGAAGGAAGATGGAAAGGAAGGAAGATAAGAGGGAAAGAAGGAAGGAAGGGAAGGAAGGAAAACCAGAAGGAACGAAGGGAAATGAGAGGAAGGAAGGAAGCTGTAGTGGCACAGTTGTTACAATGCAGCATTGCAGGCTAACTCTGCCCACTAACCAGCAGTTCGAATCTCACCAGGCTCAAGGTGGACTCAGCCTTCCAACCTCCCGAGGTGGGTAAAATGAGGAGCCAGAGATTGTGGCTGACTCTGTAAACCGCTTAGAGAGGGCTGTATAAAGTACCGTGCAGTGGTATATAAGTCTACCGCTATGGGGTTAGAGAGGTAGGCCTGGCACCTTCCTGCCTCCCTGCCTCTTCTCCGCTCTACATCTCCTCCTTCTTCTCCCGCTCCCTGCCCCAGAGCCTGGCCACTCGGTTGAAAGAGAACATGGAGAAGCTGACGGAAGAGCGTGACCAGCGGACGGCGGCCGAGAACCGGGAGAAGGAGCAGAACAAGCGACTTCAGCGTCAGCTCCGGGACACCAAAGAGGAGATGGCCGAGCTGGCCAAAAAGGAGGCCGAAGCCAGCCGGAAGAAGCACGAACTGGTAAGGGGCAGCCCTGAGACCGGCTTTCTTCTCAAGGTCCACCCTTCTAGCCCCTTCCCCTCCCCTCCCCTCCCCTCCCTGCCCCATCCCGGAGGTTCACCTTTGCTTTGGTTTCAAACTAGGACTCTGGTGAATCTGTCCGGTGAAGCCCGACGCAAAATAAGCAGGTCAGGGGTCCTTGGTCCTCTCGGAACTGGGTTGTTTCCTTGCAGATGTTTCATGACCCAACTACCGTGTTTCCCCGAAAATAAGACCCTGTCTTATATTTTTTTGAACCCTGAAATAAGCCCTTGGCCTTATTGCCCTGCGCTCAAAAGCTCAATTGGGCTTATTATCAGGGGAGGTCTTATTTTGGGGGAAACAGGGTATCTATCTCTATCTATCCATCAATCCATCCATCTGTCACCTATCTGTCTGTCTGTCCATCCATCCATCATCTCTCTTTCTCTCATCTATCTATATCTATATATCCATCCATCCATCCGTCTGTCTGTCTGTCTGTCTGTCTGTCTGTCTGTCTGTCTATCTATCTATCTATCTATCTATCTATCTATCTATCTATCTATCTGTCTATCTATCTGTCTGTCTATCTTTCTATTTATCTTTCTATCTATCTATCTACCGTGTTTCCCCAAAAATAAGACCCTGTCTTACATTTTTTTGAACCCTGAAATAAGCTCTTGGCCTTATTGCCATGCGCTCAAAAGCCCAATTGGGCATATTATCAGGGGAGGTCTTATTTTGGGAGAAACAGGGTATCTATCTCTATCTCTATCTATCTATCCATCAATCCATCCACCCTGTCATCAATCTGTCCATCATCCATCATCTCTCTCTCTCATCTATCTATATCTATATATCCATCCATCTGTCTGTCTGTCTATCTATCTGTCTGTCTGTCTATCTATCTATCTATCTATCTATCTATCTATCTATCTATCTATCTATCTATCTGTCTATCTGTCTATCTATCTGTCTGTCTATCTTTCTATTTATCTTTCTAACTATCTATCTACCGTGTTTCCCCAAAAATAAGACCCTGTCTTATATTTTTTTGAACCCTGAAATAAGCCCTTGGCCTTATTGCCCTGCGCTCAAAAGCTCAATTGGGCTCATTATCAGGGGGTGTCTTATTTTGGGGAAAACAGGGTATCTATCTCTATCTATCCATCAATCCATCCATCTGTCACCTATCTGTCTGTCTGTCCATCCATCCATCATCTCTCTTTCTCTCATCTATCTATATCTATATATCCATCCATCTATCCATCCATCCGTCTGTCTGTCTGTCTGTCTGTCTGTCTGTCTATCTATCTATCTATCTATCTATCTATCTATCTATCTATCTATCTATCTATCTATCTATCTGTCTATCTATCTGTCTGTCTATCTTTCTATTTATCTTTCTAACTATCTATCTACCGTGTTTCCCCAAAAATAAGACCCTGTCTTACATTTTTTTGAACCCTGAAATAAGCTCTTGGCCTTATTGCCATGTGCTCAAAAGCCCAATTGGGCTTATTATCAGGGGAGGTCTTATTTTGGGAGAAACAGGGTATCTATCTCTAGCTCTATCTATCTATCCATCAATCCATCCACCCTGTCATCAATCTGTCCATCATCCATCATCTCTCTCTCTCATCTATCTATATCTATATATCCATCCATCTGTCTGTCTGTCTATCTATCTATCTGTCTGTCTATCTATCTATCTACCACGTTTCCCTGAAAATAAGACCCTGTCTTACATTTTTTTGAACCCTGAAATAAGCTCTTGGCCTTATTGCCATGTGCTCAAAAGCCCAATTGGGCATATTATCAGGGGGGTGTCTTATTTTGGGAGAAACAGGGTATCTATCTCTATCTCTATCTATCCATCAATCCATCCATCTGTCATCTATCTGTCTCTCTGTATGTCCATCCATCCATCATCTCTCTCTCTCATCTATCTATATCTATATAAGCATCCATCCATCATCTATCTATCTATCTATCTATCTATCTATCTATCTATCTATCTATCTATCTATCTATCATCTATCTATCCATCAATCCATCCACCTGTCATCAATCTGTCTCTCTGTATGTCCATCCATCCATCATCTCTCTCTCTCTCATCTATCTATATCTATATATCCATCCATCTGTCTGTCTGTCTATCTATCTATCTACCACGTTTCCCTGAAAATAAGACCCTGTCTTATATTTTTTTGAACCCTGAAATAAGCGCTTGGCCTTATTGCCATGCGCTCAAAAGCTCAATTGGCCTTATTATCAGGGGGTGACTTATTTTGGGGAAAACAGGGTATCTATCTCTATCTATCCATCAATCCATCCATCTGTCATCTGTCTGTCTGTCCATCCATCCATCATCTCTCTTTCTCTCATCTATCTATATCTATATATCCATCCATCTATCCATCCATCCATCCATCCATCTATCTATCTATTTATCTATCTATCTGTCTATCTGTCTATCTTTCTATTTATCTTTCTATCTATCTATCTACCGTGTTTCCCCAAAAATAAGACCCTGTCTTATATTTTTTTGAACCCTGAAATAAGCGCTTGGCCTTATTGCCATGTGCTCAAAAGCCCAATTGGGCTTATTATCAGGGGGTGTCTTAGTTTGGGGGAAACAGGGTATCTATCTATCTATCATCTATCTATCTATATCTATATATCTATATCTATATCTATATCTATCTATTATTTATCTATCTATATCTCTCTGTCTGTCTATCTATCTATATCAATATCCATCTATCTATATCTATCTATTGTCTGTCTATCTATCTATCTATCTATCTATCTATCTATCTATCTATCTATCTATCTATCTGTCTATCTGTCTATCTTTCTGCTTATCTTTCTATCTATCTATCTACCGTGTTTCCCCGAAAATCAGACCCTGTCTTATATTTTTTTGAACCCTGAAATAAGCGCTTGGCCCTATTGCATGCACTCAAAAGCCTGATTGGGCATATTATCAGGGGGTGTCTTATTTTGTGGGAAACAGGGTAGGTAACGTCATCAGTGCTAGAAGGGAAGAGGGTTTTGCGGAGAGGAGGAGGAGGAGGAAGAGGAGGAGGAGGAGGAGGAGGTGGTGGAGGACTGTGGGGTTCTTGGTGCTCTCTGAGCTGGGTTGTTTCCGTGCAGACATTTCATGACCCAACTAGGTAACGTCATCAGTGCTAGAAGGGAGGGAGTTTGCAAAGAGAAAGAGGAGGAGGAGGAAAAGGATTATGGGTCCTTGGTGCTCTCTGATCTTGGTGGTTTCCTTGCAGACGTTTCATGACCCAACTAGGTAACTTCATCAGTGCCACCACAGAAGGGAGAGAGGCTTTGCAGAGTGGAGAAGAAGGAGAAGAGAGAAGGAGGAAGAGGGGGAAGAGGAGGAAAAAGACTGTGGGGTCCTTGGGGCTCCCTGAATGTGATTGTTTCCTTGCAAGAAACAACTTGGTGACCCATCTAGTAAGGAGGAAGGGAGGTTTGCAGGGAGGAGAAGCACTGTGGAGTCTCCTTACTCCTCATCCTGTGCTTAATCCTAACCAGACTATATATTTATATTAGAATATAAATTGAAAGCAAATCCTTCTCCCTTCTAGCACTGATGACGTTACCTAATCCCAGCTCCATTCTGATTGAGTGGTCATTTCGCATTTCGGGTGCTTCCCGTTTGGCATCGGTGGAAGGAAAAACGCTTTGCAGAAGTCTCTATTTGTGCAAAGTTTGGACATAAACGGTTCCTCCCGATAAGATCGAGTAATGCATCAGCAGCTGAAGTCTGCAGGGAAGGCGTTCTTAGATAAAGGACGCCAATTAAGGAATGAGCATTTTCTCCAAGAAAACGTTTGTTCGGTAAAGGGGACACGAGGGCAGGCGACAGGCAGGGTGTGGATCTCGAGAGGTCTCCTTCTCAAATTATTAAATTAGATACATAAATAATTGCAAATCGTGGCTTTTCCCCCATTGTTAGCAAGGCGACAGTAAGAGAATTTAGCAATCGTTGTTTGATATTTGGGATGGAGGGAAGAAAATAGGAAGAAAGAAAGGGATATGGGAGAAAGGGAAGGGAAGAGAGGAAGGAGAGGAAGAAAGGGAAATGGGAGGGAGGGAATTAGGGTGGAAGAAAGGGAAGTAGGAAGGGAAGGAAGGAAAGAAAATAGGAAGGAAGGGAAATGGAAAGGGAGGGAGGGAAAGAAAATAGGAAGGGAGGGAAATAGGAAGGAAGAAAGGAAAGTGGGAAGAAAAATAGGAAGGAAGTGGGAGGAAGGAAGGAAAATGGGAAGGGAGCCATAGGAAGAAAGAAAGGGAAGTAGGAAGGGGAGGGCGGGAGGGAAATACGGAGGTAGGGAAATAGGAAGGAAGAAAGGAAAGTGGGAAGAAAAATAGGAAGGAAGGAAGTGGGAGGAAGGAAGGAAAATGGGAAGGGAGCCATAGGAAGAAAGAAAGGGAAGTAGGAGGGAGGGAGGGAGGGAAATACGGAGGTAGGGAAATAGGAAGAAAGAAAGGGATATGGGAGAAAGGGAAGGGAAGAGAGGAAGGAGAGGAAGAAAGGGAAATGGGAGGGAGGGAATTAGGATGGAAAAAAGGGAAGTAGGAAGGGAAGGAAGGAAAGAAAATAGGAAGGAAGGGAAATGGAAAGGGAGGGAGGGAAAGAAAATAGGAAGGGAGGGAAATAGGACGGAAGAAAGGAAAGTGGGAAGAAAAATAGGAAGTGGGAGGAAGGAAGGAAAATGGGAAGGGAGCCATAGGAAGAAAGAAAGGGAAGTAGGAAGGGGAGGGCGGGAGGGAAATACGGAGGTAGGGAAATAGGAAGAAAGAAAGGGAAGTGGGAGAAGGAAAGGAAGTGGGAAGGAAGAAAAATAGGAAGGAAGGAAGTGGGAGGAAGGAGAATGGGAAGGGAGGCATAAGAATAAAGAAAGGGAAGTAGGAGGAAGGGGAGGGAGGGAGGGAAATGCGGAGGTAGGGAAATAGGAAGAAAGAAAGGGAAGTGGGAGGGAGGGAATTAGGATGGAAGAAGGAAGTAGGAAGGGAAGGAAGGAAAGAAAATAGGAAGGAAGAAAGGAAAGTGGGAAGAAAAATAGGAAGGAAGGAAGTGGGAGGAAGGAAGGAAAATGGGAAGGGAGACACAGGAAGAAAGAAAGGGAAGTAGGAGGAAGGGGAGGGAGGGAGGGAAATAGGAAGAAAGAAAGGGAAGTGGGAGAAGGAAAGGAAGTGGGAAGGAAGGAAAATAAGGAAGGGAGGAGAGAAGGAAGGAAGGTAAATGGGAAGGGAGGGAGGAAAATAGGAAGAAAAAAGGGGAGTAAGAAAAGTAAAAAAAAAAGAAGGAAGAAAAGAAAGAAAGAAGGAAGGTCTGGAGTTCAAGATGGATGGATGAGTCCACTGGAATTTTGTCCCACCACAATCTGGCAACTCCTGCTGGTGTCCCATGAAAACCAGTGACTCCAAATGCCACCCAATCCCATTTTAGCGACCGTTCAGAGTTTCAATGGCACTGAAAAAAAATGATAGGGCCATTCTCTGCGCTTACAACCACTGCAGCAACTGACTCATATCTATGACGGTTTTTAGTGTCCCGGGAGGGTCACGCGTTCCCCTTTTGCAACCTTCTGACAAGCCAGGTCAGTGGGGAAGCCCGATTCACTTAACAACCGTCAAACTGCAGGAATTCACTTAGCAGCAGCGATGGCATGAAAGGTCATAAAACAGGACGAACGAAACTCACTGTCAGGTTTCGAGGTCGTCTCAAATAAATTGCATTTCAAACAAAGTCTTTGATGAAAAACTCCCATTTATTAAGCACGACATTCTAACTCCGACTCCATCGCAGCCAACACTGACTTCCAGACCCAAAACCCTCCCTTTCCGTTCCCCACTCCCCTGCACTCATTGGCCATCTTCCAAGTCACTCTACCCCTAATCTACTGCTCCAGCTCAAAGGAATTTCCCCCCTCCCATCCCATCTCCTAGGGGATATTATCTCCAGGGAAAATAAGTAGGTGAAAAGTCAAACGTCCCTTTCCAGACACCTCCGCTTCTCCTTCTTATGTCAGCACTAGAGTAAATGCAGCTTGAAGTGCTGACACTCACTTAACAACAGAAGTTTTGGGGCTCAATTGTGGTTGTCAGTCAACAGCTACCTGCACTGCCGTGCCAGGGGTGGATGGGAAGATGGCAGAGCTGTTGCGTGCCCCAGGGCGATGCCAGGGGGAAGCAGCTCACACGGCTGTCTCTCTCCTTCCTAGGAGATGGACCTGGAGAGCTTGGAAGCTGCCAACCAGAGCTTGCAGGCGGACCTGAAGCTGGCCTTCAAGCGGATCGGGGACCTGCAGGCCGCCATTGAGGACGAGATGGACAGTGAGGACAACGAGGACCTCATCAACAGGTGGGGGAATAGTGGAATAGTCTGTGTCAGGTAGGGAGGGAGGGAGGGAGGAAGAAATAGAGGAAGGAGGGAAGGAAGGAGGGTTGGAAGGAAGGAAAAAGAAAGAAAAAGAAAGAAAGAAAGAAAGAAAGAAAGAAAGAAAGAAAGAAAGAAAGAAAGACATCAGTGGACAGGTGGATGGATGAAGTATGGATAGAAAGAAGGGAAGTGGGGAGGAATGAAAAATGGAGGAAGAGAAATTGTATGGATGGATGAGAGAGAGATGATAGAGAGATAGATAGATAGATAATGGGTGGATGGATGGATGGAGAAAAATTGGATGGATGGAAGAAAGGAAGATAAATTGGATGAATGGAAGGAAGGAAGGAAGGAAGGATGGATGGATGGATGGATGGATGGATAGAGAGAAATTTGATGGATAGATGGATGGATGGAAGGAAGGAAGGAGATAAATTGGATGGATGGATAGATGGATGGATGGAGAGAAATTGGATGGATGGATGGATGGAAGGAAGGATGGAGAGAAATTGGATGGATGGATAGATGGATGGATGGATGAAAGGAAGGAAGGAAGATAAATTGGATGAATGGAAGGAAGGAAGGATGGATGGATGGATGGATGGAGAAAAATTGGATGGATAGGATAGAAGGAAGGAAGGAGATAAATTGGATGGATGGGATGGAGAGACAGAGATTTAAAGCTTGGATGGGCAGGGAAGTAGGTGGTTGGGGCTATTTGGGGCTGGGGGAGTGAGAGGTTCGCCACTTTCCTGATGTTCTTGCAACTGGCACCTGAGTTCCTCCCCACTGCTGCGGTTCGGGGTCTCCCTTGGGGGCATCGGAGGCCAACAGTGGCCAACCAGAGGTTTTGCAGGGGATCCTAAAGATGATGGACACGCCGTTAATTGGCCAAAACCGCCTCTTTGACCACCAGCCCCCTGGGTGCCTTCTGCACCACTCAGACCCCTCATTTCCTCCCCTTCGGGCCCCTGCAGGAGCTGGGAATCTCCCCCCCCCCCCGCAGCTTCCTTTCCAATCAAATTGACTCCATCATTATTATTCCTCCTCCTCCTCCTCTTTTTTCTCTTTCTTCTCTCCTTCTCCTTCTTCTCCTTCTCCTTCTTTTCACTTTTTTCTCTTTCTCATTCTCCCCCCCTCCTGCTCCTCTTTTTTCTTTCTTCTCTCCTTCTCCTTCTCCTTCTTTTCACTTTTTTCTCTTTCTCCCCCCTCCTCCTCCTCTTTTTTCTCTTTCTTCTCTCCTTCTCCTTCTTCTCCTTCTCCTTCCTTTCACTTTTTTCTCTTTCTCATTCTCCCCTCCTCCTCTTCCTCCTCCATCGCCCCCTCCGTTCCCCCTGCTCCTCCCCTTCCCCCCCCTTTTCTATTCAATTCTTCCCTCTTGCTCCTTTACGCCCTTCCTTCCTCTTCCTCCCAGGTGGATTTTACTTTTTTAAAAAACCATTTCTTTGCTGTGAATTTTATTTTGCTTTTTTTCCTCCCTCTCCGTCCCTTCCACCCCCAATTCCCTCTCCCCCCCCAACCCAATTCTCCAGTTTGCAGGACGTGGTGTCCAAGTACCAGAAACGCAAGAATAAGCTGTAAGCAGGAATTGACTTTTCCGGTTTCCCAGTAACGCAGCTGTGTTACGCCTAACCCCAAGCATGCCGTGGGCCAGAATGGGGGGGGGCAGTCTTCCCCCCCCCCCCATTGCAGCATGCCTCAACATGCATGGGTCTGACCGGTCCTGCTCTAACCCGTGTTTAGCTCTGTCTTAGCGTGTCCTGATAACTCTGCATTATGGAACTAACTCTGGGTCAGAGAAAGGGAGGTGGGTGGGTGGGACAAAGACCCCCCCCTCAATGCCTGGTTCCATGTCTCTGTTTGGGAAGGATGATGAATTTTGTGGGGTGGGAAGGAAGAGGACACAGCAAGGAGTCTGGTTACCGGTAATCCTCGATTTATGACTGCAATAGAGCCCTAAACCTCTGTCGTTAAGCAAGGCGAGTTGCATCCCACTTTACGAACTTTCCTGCCGCTGTCGTTAAGCGAATCACTCCCGTTGTTAGTCCCATGGTCGTTAAGCAAATCCGGCTTCGCTTGTGAGGAGGTCGCAAAAGGGGATCGCGTGACCCCGGGACACTGCGACCGTCATAAATACAAGTCAATTGCCAGGCGTCCTGAGTTTCGATCACGTGACGACGGGGAATGCTGCGACGGTCCTAAGTCCCATTTTTCAATACCGTTGTAACTTTGAACCGTCACTAAAACGAATGGAGAGACTACCTTCTCTATGAAGTGATTTTGATCTGGGTTTTAATGTTGGCGTAATCGGTGTTTGCCTTCGGAAGTTGTGGGAGCTTCATCCCTGGAGGCTTTCGAGAAGAGACTGGGCTGCCATCGGTCAGAAATGGTGTAGGGTCTACTGCTTGGGCGGGGGGTTGGACTAGATGACCTCCGAGGTCCCTTCCCACTCTCTGTTAATCAAGGCAGGTCACCTGGAGAAGAAGACCCAGAAATCTTGGCCGGCTCGCCGAAGAACCGTTCCCAGATTTTTGCCATCTTGCAGAGATGCCACCTGATGCAAAGATGCATCAGAGATGCAGTTCTCAAACTCTTCGTTTTTATTCTTAATTTTCTCCCGTGCTTTGGACGGCCTGGCTTGTTTTCCTTTCCGAAGGCCAAGCCAGGTCCCATCTGGACGATGGGGAGATCTCTGCCGGCTAATGATAAATGTAATCAACTCTAGCAGTGATCTAGGGGCAACGGGAGCCTTGTTGTCACACACAATTAATGTCCCCGACTGTTTCTGCCTGCCTCCGTCCCTTCCCCAGCGATTCGGATCCCGGTTTAACTAATGGCACGGCTACCCTGGACATAAATTGCCTTTGACGGGAGGTTTAATTCCGACAATTTAAAATCACAGCAGCCCCCGGAGTTTGTTTATAGGGCTCTCCGGCTTCTTCTTCTTCTTTTTTTTCACTGCGGAAAAATAACAAAGGGCCTCCCAGCATTTATTTGCAGGGGGAGAGAGAAAGAGGGACGCAGAATAGAATACAACAGAATACAACAGAATAGAATAGAATAGAATAGAATAGAATAGAATAGAATAGAATAGAATAGAATAGAATAGAATAGAATAGAATAGAATAGCATACAGTACAGTACAGTACAATACAATACAGAATATAGAAGAGTAGAATAAAATACAATGAATAGAATAGAATAGAATACGATTAGAATAGATTAGAATAGAATAGAATAGAATAGAATAGAATAGAATAGAATGAAATTAGGATAAAGAATAGAATAGAATAGAACATAAGAATAGAATAGAATATGGAATAGAATAGAATAGAATAGAATAGAATAGAATAGAATAGAATAGCATACAGTACAGTACAGTACAATACAATACAGAATATAGAAGAGTAGAATAAAATACAATGAATAGAATAGAATAGAATACGATTAGAATAGATTAGAATAGAATAGAATAGAATAGAATAGAATAGAATAGAATAGAATAGAATAGAATAGAATAGAATAGAATAGAATAGAATGAAATTAGGATAAAGAATAGAATAGAATAGAACATAAGAATAGAATAGAATATGGAATAGAATAGAATAGAATAGAATAGAATAGAATACAATGAAATTAGGATAAAGAATAGAATAGAATTAAATTAGAATTAGGATAAAGAATAGAATAGATCATAAGAATAGAATAGAATAGTATAGAATAGAATAGAAAAATAGAATATGAGAATAGAATAGAATTAGAATATGGGAATAGGATAGGATAATAATACAATACAATACAATACAATACAATACAATACAATACAATACAGGAATATAGAATAGAATAGAATAGAATAGAATAGAATAGAATAGAATAGAATAGAATAGAATAGAATAGAATACAGAATATAGAAGAGTAGAATAAAATACAATGAAAATAGAATACAATACAATACAATATGAGAATAGGATAGGATAGGATAATAATACAATACAATACAATACAGGAATAGAATAGAATAGAATAGAATAGAATAGAATAGAATAGAATAGAATAGAATAGAATAGAATAGAATAGAACATGAGAATACAAGACAGTACAATACAAGATGGGAGTAGGAGAGGACAGGACAGGACAGAGCTGGAAGGGACCTTGGAGGTGGTCTAGTCCATCCCCCTACTCCAGCAGAAGATCCGATACCATCTCAGACAAGCGACTGTCCAGCCTCTTCTAAAAAACCTCCAGGGTTGATGGCTTCGGATTTAACGGGGTGGCTCAGAGGCGAAGGCGGCCATGCTTACCTGTGCACAGGTAGTCCTCGTTCATTTAGCGACCTTTAGAAGTTGCAACGGCAACTTCCGTTTTTCACACTTACAACCGTTGCAGTATTCCCCACGGTCACGTGATCAGAATTTGGCCGCTTGGCAACTGACTCGTATGTATGACGGTTGTGGTGTCCCCGGGGTCATGTGATCCCCTTTTGCGACCCCTTTTTGGGAATCAGGGAAGCCAGATTCACTTAATGCCTGCAGTGGTTCGTTTAACAGCCATGGCAAAAAAGGTTGTAAAACGAATCCCTTTTTGCGACCTTCTGACAAGCCGGCTTCACTTCCCAACACTTACTTTAAGAACTGCAGTGATTCACTTAACAACCGTGGCAAGTCGTGAAACAGGGCAAAATTCCCTTAGCCAACGTCACGAAATGTTGGGCTCCGTTGTGGTCGTAAGCCGAGGACTCCCTATAGTGAACACACCCAGAAGGACGTAGTCCTGAAGCTGTCGCGGCAACGGAGCCCTGTTTTCTGGGGGTCGGGGGGAACACCCCCCCTTCCCCAAAGCTTTCCCGCTTAGCCCCCTGGGAAGCCGGGAAGGAGAGTTGCGGACCCCATCGGCGGGAAGAAATAAGACCCCCGATTCCCGTATAGATTCAGTTGTTATGGCTATAATCGTAATGAAAGCGATAAGCAGCCCGGTATTAAGCGGCGAGATTTATACGGACACGGCCCGCAACATGGAGGGAACGCGTTCTCTTGAAACACCGCCCCCCCCCTTCTCCCCATCTCGCGCATAACGGCGCATCCATGCTCTGGGCAATCAATACGGCTATGAGGAGCGGCACTTATAAATTTAGCGGCTTTAAGCCGGATGGGGCCGCAGTTTACGCCTGCATCTAAATCAGGCCTCGCTTTCCCCCTGCAGAGCCTGGCTCGCGCGGCAGCGTCCTCGTAAATCCAGAGGCTGCCATGTGGCTGCTAAACTCCAGTTTACCCGGGGACCACAAACCCATCGCTCTCGCCCCTGCCATCGCGCCTTAATTCGACAGGCGGGCGGCGGAGAAAGCCAGGAGAAAGCGGAGCTGCTGCCCGCCTGTGTGGAGGCGGGAGCAGCTGGGCCGTATCCCTGTTTAGGAGTTATTCAGGGCTGGGGGTCTGGGGAGAGGTGGGATTCCTGGAAGGAGGGAAGGAAGGAAGGAAGGAAGGAAGGAAGGTGAGAAGCAAGGAAGGGAAACGAAAAGGAAGGAAGGAGAAAGGGAGGGAAGAAAGGGAGGAGGGAGGGATAGGGGAGGAAGGGAAGGAAGGAAGGAGAGAAAGGGAAAAGAGAAGGAAAGGAAAGGAAGGGTCGGAGGAAGAAAGATGGGAGGAAGGAAGGGAAATAAGAGGGGGGAAGAAAGAACCGAAATGGAAGGAAGGGAATGAAAGGAAAAAAGTGAGAGAAGGAAGACAAAAAAATGAGAAAGTGAAAGGAGGGAGAAGAAGGAAGAGATGGAGATGGTGGGAAGGAAGGAAGGAAGGAATGAGGGGAAAAGAAGGAAAGGAAAGGTCAGAGGAAGAAAGAAGGGTGGAAGGAAGGGAAATAAGAGGGAGGAAAAAAGAAAATGGAAGGAAGGGAAATATGAAAGGGGAAAAGGACAAGGAAGGAAGGGAAAGAAAGGAAAAAAGTGAAAGAAGGAAGACAAAAAATGAGAAAACGAAAAGAGGGAGGAAGGAAGGAGAGAAAGGGAAAGAAAGGAAGGGTTGGAGGAAGGAAGATGGGAGGAAGGAAGGGAAATAAGAGGGAGGAAAGAAGGGAAATGGAAGGAAGGAAAAGGAGAAAGGAGAAAAGAGGACAAGGAAGGAAGGAAAGAAAGGAAAAAAGTGAAAGAAGGAAGGCAAAAAATGAGAAAATGAAAAGAGGGAGGAAGGAAGGAGAGAAAGGGAAAGAAAGGAAGGGTTGGGGGAAGGAAGATGGGAGGAAGGAAGGGAAATAAGAGGGAGGAAGGAAGGGAAATGGAAGGAAGGAAAATGAGAAAGAAAAGAGGACAAGGAAGGAAGGGGAAGAAAGGAAAAATGAGAAAGAAGGAAGACAATGAGAAAGTGAAGGAAGAGGAAGGAAGGAAGGAAGGAAAGAAAGGAAAGAAAAAGAAAGAAAAAGAAAGAAAGAAAGAAAGAAAAAGAGAAAGAAAGAAAGAAAGAAAGAAAGAAAGAAAGAAAGAAAGAAAGGCAAGGCCTAGTTATTTGAGGGACCCTCTCTCTGACAGAATCCCTGCACTCCACAAGGTTGAATCGTGGAGTCCTCGGTGCTCTCTACGCTTGGTTCTTTTGTTTGCACGCTTTTCATTATCCAGCTGAGGAACCTCACCAGGGCTGATGAGCGTGGAGTTTGCTCCCTCCTTATATCCAGTAGCTTGTCCTTCTAGTTTTTGGTGGGGCTGTGGTTTTCCCCGCGGCACTTCCTTGATTAGGCTATTGTTTTCTGCTCGATGGTTTGTCTGGTGTTAATCCCTGCTTATCTGGATGGAAGCCGGTGGAGAAGGATGCGTTTTAGTCTTTTGGTTTCCTTCTTGGGGGTTTTTATTGTCTCTTTTTAACGGTGGGCAAATGTAGTTGCTCTCTATGTGTCTACAGGATCGCCTCTCTCCTGTGGTATCTGCCAGGGTTGGCATGCTTTGGGGTCCCCCCCCCATTTAAACAGTGTCATTTTGGGGGGGACAGGACCCAGCCAATGGGCTTTCTCTATTGTGGCCTCTCCACACTGGAATGAGGTTGCCCCTGGGAGCTCCCACCCCGATGTCGGTCTGCAAAGCCCGGAGAACTCTCCTTCTTTGGGGTTTGGGGTCAGGAGGGGCTGTTGGGTGTTTGGGTTTTGGTGTGTTAACCGGATTAGCCATCTGTTTACTGTTCGGTAGATCGTTATTTTTATATTGCTTGTATTGTGAGCTGTCTGAAGCCGGGCAAATGACTCCAGATTGAGAAATCAATCCGTCCATCCATCAATCAATGCTGTCGTGTCTCCCTTAGTCCTTCTTTTCATTAGATTAGACCTATCCAGTTCCTGCAAATGTGAATAGAATAGAAATATAGACATATAGAGGTATAGAAGAATAGAATAGAATAGAATAGAATAGAATAGAATAGAATAGAATAGAATAGAATAGAATAGAATAGAATAGAATAGAATAGAATAGAATAGAATAGAATAGAATAGAATAAGGGATAGGATAGGATAGGATAGGATAGGATAGGATAGGATAGGATAGGATAGGATAGAAATCTAGAATAAAAGAATAGAATAATAGAATAGAAATCTAGAATAAAAGAATAGAGTAGAGTAGAGTAGAATAGAATAGAATAGAATAGAATAGAATAGAATAGAATAGAATAGAATAGAATAGAATAGAATAGAATAGAATAGAATAGAATACAATAAGGGATAGGATAGGATAGGATAGGATAGGATAGGATAGGATAGGATAGGATAGGATAGGATAGGATAGGATAGGATAGAAATGTAGAATAAAAGAATAGAATAGAATAGAATAGAATAGAATAGAATAGAATAGAATAGAATAGAATAGAATAAGGGATAGGATAGGATAGGATAGGATAGGATAGGATAGGATAGGATAGGATAGAAATGTAGAATAAAAGAATAGAATAGAATAGAATAGAATAGAATAGAATAGAATAGAATAGAATAGAATAGAATAGAATAGAATAGAATAGAATAGAGATGAGACCTTGGAAGTCTTCTAGTCCAACCTCATGGAGCACCTACAATTTCTGGTGGCCAGCTGTTCCACTGGTTAATCATTCTCACTGTTAGGAAGTTTCTCTTCAATTCCAGGTTGCTTCTCTCCTTGATTAGTTTCTATCCGTCGCTTCTCCTCCAGCCTTCAGGTGCTTTAGAGAATAGACTGACCCCCTTCTCTCTGTGGCAACCCCTGAAATATTGGAAGACTATTTTATTAGATAGAGGTCCAGTGTTCAAATCCGACAAGATCTTTTTGGTTCCAGAGCTTGTCTTCTGGGGCGTTGGCTACTCCTGCCAGCTTGGTTGTCGTCTGCAAATTTGATGAGGGGAAGTCATCAAATTTGACGACGGGGGATTGACGCCAAAGGCTCCTACTCCTCCGTCCATCCGACCCCTTGGTCTTCCTTGGTCTTGAGAGGAACCAGGCAACTCTCCGAAGGCCGTGGGGATTGTGGCATTTCCGAACGCGGATTAACCCTTCTTAACCTGGGCTTTCTAAAGAGTGATATCTGTTGTCCTTCATGCCGGCAAATACACACCTCTGATTTCTCCTCTTCCTGTTTTTTGTCCCCAGCGAGGGAGACTCGGATGCCGATTCGGAGCTGGAAGACCGCGTGGACGGAGTGAAGTCGTGGCTGTCGAAAAACAAAGGCTCTTCCAAGTCGGTCTCCGAGGACGGCAGTTTGAAGAGTAGCAGGTTGGCTTGGCATCTTTCCCACGGGGTTGGGTGAGGGAGGGCTCCTGACGTAGAGAATGGGGCCTGCCCTACGTGTTGGTGACCCCCAGCAGGAGGTGTCCTCCTCTTGCATTGTGTCTATGAAAACAGAGTTTCAGTTTCAGTTTCATTAAATTTTTTTATACCGCCCTTCTCCCAGGGGACTCGGGGTGGTGAGAGTAAGAGAATGACGGGGGTAGAAGGGGACCTTGGAGGTCTTCTAGTCGGACCCCCTGCTCAGGCAGGTGTTCTGTCCCCGTCCCACTCACGCACCCCCACAGACGGCCCGGAGTTAATAAGCCACACGACAAAACACTTTGAAGATAAAGCTGGCAGCAACACAGTGGCTAGCTGCCAATTCAGACTTTACTCACACAAAACAAAGATTAGACTGCCAGCATTCCGATAAAACAGGCAGAGTGTCAACAATACAAGGATTAATCCAAATGCAGTCTGATAAAGCAGGCAAAGTCCAGTAACGCAGAGATCATGGAGTATTTCCAGTTTTTGCTCGTCACAAACTGAACCGGCCACCACACCCACATTTATACCCTGTGGGGTGTGGTCCAGTGACTCAGCTAATCTCTGGCACGCCTTCCCCTCTGCTGCGCACGCTTCTCCCTGCGCCTCTGGCGAGGGTCCAGCCAGCACTTATCTCCTTCGTCGCTGTCCACCTGTGGCTGCGGGGACGTGCTTGGCTCTGAGCCTATCTTTTGGCCTTCGGTGTTCTCCGGAGGCATTGCCAGAGAGGAGGGTCCTGGAGAGGGAGGCCTTGCCAACTCCTCCCCCTCACTCTCAGAGTCTGCATCTGTCGATAGCCCAGGCTCAGGCAACGGAGCCACAACAGCAGGAGACCCTGCACCAGAGGGGTCCAACCTGGGAACTTTAAGACTTGCGGACTTTGACTCCCAGAATCCTCCAGCCAGCATATAGTCCACAAATCTTAAAAGTTCTCCATTCTGGAGAAATGGCTGCCCAGTCTTTTCTGGAAAAACCACCAGTGTTGAAGCACCCACAACTTCTGGAGACAAACCGTTCCACTGATTAATTGTTCATTAATTAATTGATTAAACGCATCCAGTTCCTGATGAAAGGCGATTGTGGGAGCTGGTTGCATTAGTTGATATATATATATATCAACTAATATATCGTGTTTCTCCGAAAATAAGACCCTGTCTTAATTTTTTTTGAACCCCGAAATAAGCGCTTGGCCTTATTTTCGGGGAGGTCTTATTATTTTGGGGCGCGTGGAGCAAGACGGGACTCCTCTTACCGTCTTATCTGATTTCCAGCTCTGCGTTTAAATATTTTTGGGGAGGGCTTATTTTTAGGGGATGTCTTATTTTCGGGGAAATAGGGTACATACATACATACATACTGTGAAAACCTCAGAAAACAAATACATACATACATACATACATACATTCATACATGTGTGTGTCAACTTGCAAAGCTTTCAAGTTGCAGTGTGTGTGTGTAAAAAAAGAAGCAGACATACTGCGAACTCCGGAACCTAAGATTTTAAAATTTTAAAAGAATTAAAATTTTATTATACTACGCTTTCGTCAGCCATCTGCTGACATCGTCAGAGTATTAAACTACCATTACAGAGATCTCTGCCTTTATATGCCATTAATCAATTTAGCTCTTGCGTGTGTAATAGGCCCCTCCAGCTGTCTCCCACTTGTAATCAGCTGTGTTGTTTTCATTGCTGCGTCATGCTGGATGATGGAGGCTTGATTCCTACTGTTTCCTCCCTCCTAGCTTGCTTATCAATGGGGGGGGGGGTTGACGATGTCAGCAGATGGCTGACGAAATCTTACTATAATAAAATTTTAATTCTTTTAAAATTTTAAAATCTTAAGTTCCGGAGTTCGCAGTATGTCTGCTTCTTTTTTTACTAATATACCTGGAACTTGTATCTTTAGAATAGTTTGTAATATACATAAATACGTAAATACATACATATATGTCTTCTCAAGTTTTCGCGGTGTGTGCGCATGTAAAAGTTAAAATCTCGGGTGTTTTCCCGCGTCGTTAAAAGTCTGTTAGTTAAAATGCTTAAAATCTTAAAATTCTGGCTAAAATCCCAGCTCAAAATCCTCTAAAATCCTAACAAAACACTTTGTAAGTGTTAAAGTGTTGGTTAGGATTTCAGCCAGAGTTTTAAAAGACCTTACGAAGTGTTTTGTTAGGATTTTAGAGGATTTTGAGCTGGGATTTTAGCCAGGATTTTAAGATTTTAAGCATTTTAACTAACAGACTTTTAACGACGCGGGAAAACACCCGAGATTTTAACTTTTTACATATGTATATGTATATGTATATGTATATGTATATGTATATGTATATGTATATATACATATATATGTATATATATACATATACATATACATATACGTCTTCTTAAGTTTTCACGGGTGTGTATATGTAAAAAATTAAAATCTCGGGTGTTTTCCCGCTTCATCTTAAATAAGTTAGTTAAAATGTTTAAAATTCTGGTTAAAATCCTAGCTTAAAATCTTCCAAAAATCCTTACAGAGCTTAAATTGGAAGATTTTAAGCTAGGATTTTAACCAGAATTTTAAACATTTTAACTAACTTATTTAACATGACGCGGGAAAACACCCGAGATTTTAATTTTTTGCATATACACACCCGTGAAAACTTAAGAAGACGTATATGTATATGTATATGTATATGTATATGCAAATGCAAATGCATATGTATATGTATATGTATATGTATATGTATATATATATATATATAATCAGTGCATCGGCCCCCAATCCTAAACACAATTAAGTGCTATAATCCTTGCTAGATCAGATATGAATGCTTCTAGAATCCCCTTTTTATAACAACTCGTGGCAACCTCCCTGGCCTTTCACAGAGGCACACAGTCCATCTTCCTAGGTGTCGGAAATGGTGTAGGCTCTCCTGCTTGAGCGGGGGGGTGGGGTTGGGGGTTGGACTAGATGACCTCCAAGGTCCCTTCCAACTGTGTTAATCTAATTAGGCCCAGCCACAAACCCGTAACTCCCCCAGGCTCTCCTGCACTCCTACCCACCCACCCATCCCAATTTCCCTTAAGGGCCCAATGTTAGCAGGGGCCACTTTCTTGAGGAAAGGATACTGGCTACCTGGGGGTAGGGGGGGGGGGCTCCCCTGCCCTTTTTACTGGGGTCCCAGTCTGGAAAAAAGCGAGGCCACTCAGGGACATTTTACACCCCTTTTTTCCCCTCTGCATTTCAGTCTTTCTGGGGTTCCGGTGGATGATAAATGAAGAAAAGCACCGATTTGGTGTTAAAACATCTGCACTACATGTCCCATGCTCCCCATCTGCCTCTTTTATCCCCCACTTCAGGCCACGGTCTGATCCCAGCGTCCTGCTGACCTTGCCAAAGCCCCCTCCCCATGTCAATCATCTCCATCGATGCCGCCCCCTCCCTGTATATTCCTGCCCCCCCCCCTCCCGGGTCTCTGGTAGTGACCAGCAACCAGGCGGGCTATTTATAGGACCCCCGTTGCCATAGAAACCCACCGGCACGGAGGAGGAACGGCCTCAAGCTGTTGGCACCGGCAACGGGCGGAGGAGAGAGGCATGCCTGCACTGACTTGCAAGCCGGCGCCCGTTATTTGGGAAGGGGCAACAGACGGGGTCGACACCCCCTCCCCCCGCGCTCCTCGGGCTCTGCTGAGATGCCCACCTGGATCTGCCCTGAATGCCTGGGCACCGTGCCAGTCCAGTTTCTGCTCCGTCTCCAGTTTCCCCCCCTCCATTTTGGGGGGGGGTGTTCAGGCATTGGGCCCCTCCCCTTTTTTATCCTTCTCTGCAGACAATCCCCCCCCCCCCGAAGAGGAAAACACGAAGATATCCTCTTACAGGCAGTCCTCGACTTACGACATTCATTTAGTGGCCGTTTGGAGTTACAAAGTTGCATTGAGAAAAGGCATTTACGAGCGTTTTTCACACTTACGACCGTTGCAGGGATCAAAATTCAGACAATTGGCAATGACTCGTATTTATGACGGACGCGGCGTTGCCGGGCTCACGTGATTCCCCTTGGGCGACCTTCCGACAAGCAAAGTCCACTGGGAAGCCGGATTTGCTTAATAACCCCATGATTCACTTAACAACGGCAGTGACTCGCATAACGACTGCCGCAAGAAAGGTCGCAAAATGGGGAAAAAAACAACAGAGTTGGAAGGGACCTCAGAGGTCTTCTAGCCCAACCCCCTGCTCGGGCAGGAGGACCCTATGGTTGTTCTGTCTGGCTTAGCGGCAGAAATATTGTGGTCGTAAATCGAGGACCGCCTGTAATTACCCTGATTTGTCTCTCCGCACATGCGTACAACCTTTTGCAGAGGGAAATCGTGCTCCCCTTTTCTTTTGGGCCCCTGCTGGGAGGATCGATTGCTGTGTGCCGCCAACGTTTCCCAGGTAGTTGACAACAAAACAAATTGAAATCGATGGCAGAGGGGCTTCTCCCCCTCCCTTTTCTTAAACAAAACCCAACAGAAATTGAGGAGCGTGGCTGGCACAGAAGAACGACTCGATTTGCATGACGCTCCGTGGGAAGACGCGTCTTCCGCAGCCGGCTCTCTGCTGCCCTGCTGCACACCATAGCAATAGCCATAATAGCACTTATATACCGCTTCACGGGGCTTTTACATAGTCAGCCTCTGGCCCCAACAATCTGGGTCCTCATTTTATCGGCCTCGGAAGGACGGACGGCTGAGTCAATCTGGAGCTGGTCAGGATCGAACTGCTGGCAGTGGGCAGAGTTAGCCTGCAATGCTACACCTACCTACCTACCTACCTACCTACCTACCTTCCTTCCTTCCTTCCTTCCTTCCTTCCTTCCTTCCTTCCTTCCTTCCTTCCTTGAGTCAGTCAGGATCGAACTCCTGGCAACAGGCAGAGTCTGCCTGCAATACTGTATCCTAACCACTACACCACCCACGCTCTTGTTGCCCTCCAGTTAACCATTTCTCTCTCTCTCCTCCTGCTCTCTTCTCCGACTGTGGTCGCCTCCTGCCTGGTCAGACCTGCCGTGGACGCAGCTGGTAAGGAGGTTAAGAATGGGGAGGACAGGCCGGCGTCCGTCATGAGCTCACTGAGCTATCGCAAGCGCGCCAACCTCAAGGACTCCATTGGAGGGAAAGGGGATGAGGAGAGCCTCTTCTCCGCCCTGAGCGAGCGCCCGGAGTCACCGGACCGCTCCTTCCGCAAGGCCGCTCGTGCTTCGGTGTCCGGCGGCTCAGAGAATAGCTCCCTTGCCTCCTGGAAGAAGCCGCTCGGCGGAGGTCTGGATGAGCTCAGCGAGAGGGGCTCGGTCCTCTCTGAGGCCAGCAGCCGACTCCCGAAGGGGCTGGAGAAGCGCTGGTCCACCTCGGCTGCCGAATTCGATCGGACGTCGGTCCTCTCGGCCACAGTCAGCCAGAGTGGAGCCTCCTGGGCTGGCCTGGAAGATGACACCCGCTCATCACTCAGCTTGGCCCTCTCGAGCCCCGGAAGCTCGCGACGCAGCGCTTCTCACTTGGATGACCTTATCCCGTCCTACGGCCGCCCGGGCTCACGGATGTCTTTGAGTCGTTCCCAGCTGGATGACACGGCCAGCCTGGCCCCAAGCGACTCGCGCTCCCTCTGCAGCCAACACTCTGCCGCACGCAGCCTCTCGGTGCCTCCTCGGCCCGGACGTCCATCTCAGATGATCTACGGGTAGATGAAGCGGACATCAGGCCGGTCGGCCATCGGAGCTACCTGGACCCGGATCTGGAGGCAGCGATCAGTGAGGTGCTAAACTACAAGCCTGTCAAATTCAAGCGCTCCAGCCATGATCCCGACTCGGATGAAGAGGACCGCAGGAGTGTCCGCAGTGCCAGGAGCACCACTCTGCTGGAGACCACCGAACACCCGGCCAGCAGCCTCCGTCGGTCGGCCTCAGCCTTGGACTTCTACAGGCCTGATCAGAAAACGAAAGGTAGGAGAAGCCGGAGGCGGAGTTCCTCCAGTGACTCCTCCTCTTCCTCCTCTTCCTCCTCTTCCTCTCCCGAACGGCAGAGAAAGACCTCCAAAAAGCGGGCCAAGAAGTCCAAGAAGAAATCCAAGAAGAAGAAGCAGCAGAGGTCCCACTCCGGCTCTTCTTCAGAGTCTTCATCCAGTTCCACCGTCTCGTATCGTAGCGACTCCAGCATCAAGAAGGGCCCGAAGCGTTCAGACGGGGAGAGCGGGGGTGTCCCTAGGGACGGGGGTCCCGAAACTGGAAAGTCCACCAAAGAGCTGAAGAAGGAAGAGAAGAAACGGAAAAAGCAAGTGGACAGCCTGATGATGAAGTACTTGTATCGGCCGGAGAGCGACTAAAGGCAGGTGGTAGCATGGAGTGTGCCGAGTTTCAGCATGGTGTTCCTGACTAACCTGGGCAGAGGACGGGTGGGAAGGGAGCTTTGGACTGCCGTTCCAGGTGTTCCAGCGGTTTTCTGCATGGGGGGGTTGACTCTGGAAGCTTGGAACCCTTATGGTTTGGGGACTGACCTCCAGCATGGAATGTGTATCTCCAGGAACTAACCGTGTCCTCGTGGGTTGCGACTTTGCCCTCCCGTACCCGTCTGTCCGTCTTCGTGTCAGAAGCTGCCCACTCAGCTATTTCTGTGTCGCAAGGATTGGCCGGTGACAACACCGTTCCCAATTATTTCGGTGTGGTTTGAGGAGGACGGTGGCGATCGTTGTTGTGCAGCGGAGAAGATCTCCACTGTCCTCTGTATTTTTGGTGGTGGAGGTGTGTGTAGGCCGATGGACCCCTTGCCGCCTACAGGGAAGGGTGGCAGCTTCCAAAATCCGTGGTGTTTCCACTGTTTGCATCTTCCTGGGAAGAACACGCTTGTCTCCGGCCGTAGGACCAGTTCCAGAAGAAGAGACAACCCTGAGGAACTGCTACCTTCTCAGAAGCCTTCAAGAATTGACTGTATTTATTCCGTAGGCCACGTTTTGTCAACCTTGACCACTTGAAGAGGGGTGGACTTCCACTCCCAGAATTCCATGGTGGCTGGGGAATTCTGGACTTGAAGTCCACCCCTCTTAAAGTATTGCTGGCTGAGGGATTCTGGGAGTGGAAGTTCACCCTTCTTCAGGTGGACAAGGTTGAGGCACACTGCCTTAGATAGTTAAATAGGCCTACACCAGGGGTGAGTTGCTGGGGGTTCGTAGGGGTTCGGGAGAACCTCTAGCTAAGATTCTGTGCAGTTCAGAGAACCCCCAAATCCCACTCCTGGCTGAGCCCGCCCACCCTGCCCCTCCACTCCCAGGTCCGTTTTGAATGCAGGTAAGTGCAGGGGCGCGCACGGAGGTTCGGGGAGGGTGAAAAACTGGCCTACTGGAAGTTTGGGAAGGCCAGAAACAGGCCCGTTTCCAGCCTCCAGGGGGCCATTTTCGCCCTCTGGAGACTCGAGGAAAGCCTCTGGAGCCTGGGGAGGGCAAAAAGCCCCCCCACCCCCGCTGTGGTGCAGGAGGCCAACTAGGCCACGCCCTCCATGGCCATGCCCTCCCAGCAAACAGGCAGAGAACCCCTTGCTAAAATTTTTGAAGCCCACCTCTGGCCTACACCATTCCTCCCCACATATGCACCCTCTCTTTTATCTGAGAGGTGGGGGTGGGGGTGGGTGGGCTTTGAGTGAGAAAAATCTTCAGTTCTTTTTTTTTTTTAACCAAGGGTGGGGTTGGAGGGTTGGTGTTTTCATCTCAAGGTCCTTCCCTTTCCATTCTTGGATTGTGCGTCGTCCCTTCTCCCTGGCCAGGAAAAGGAGGTCAGTTGCTCGGGCTGGATAGGACTGCAAAGCAGACCCTCGCCCTGCCTGCCCATATCTAGGCCGAAATTCAACCGGAGAGGCTCTCCTGGAGGGGGGGAGTTTGGTCTGAACTGTCTACCTTGAAGGCCTCCTAAGATGGTCACGCGTAGAAGACACAGTCGTGCAACTCCGGAAGACTCTCTCGCTCTGCCAAGGTGGCCTTGAGACCCCCCACCCATCCTGGAAAGGAGCTGTGGACTCTCCTCTTCTATCCCACTTTTACACACACACACACACTTTTTTTCGTTCTTTCGTCGTGCAAACGCCAGCGAGCCTCCACTTTTGGCAGCTGTTCCATCTTGCAGTGGCCGTTCTTTGTTTGCCCACCTCGGGGGGAGACGTGACAAGGGGAAGGGGAGCGATGGAGAGGGTCTCCGCAGCTAGCGTTTAGTGGGAGGGGGGAGTCATGGAGAGGGGGGGAGAAGCTCCAGCAGCAGCAAAGGCAGTCGTGGCAAACCCCCCACCCCCGCCTTCCGCACGCCCACCCAAATTATTTGTGTACAAAATTGTTTCCGACAGCTTTGAACGCGAGAACGATCGGGAAAGGCAAAAGGAGCTGCGTGTTTTTGTGTGCATTTCAGTGTGTGTGTGTTTTTCTGTGTGTGTTTGCGCGTTCGTGTGTATGTGTGCGTTCGTGTGTGTGTGTGTTTTTGCACGGGCTTTCTCCCACCCTCCTTTTGAAAGCAATTTCTTTTTAAAATGTTCAATTGCCGGTGCAGCCTCCTGCAGCTGGGAGAATGTGTTTGTGCTTTAGATTTCTTAATGCACTTAACGCTCCAGCTGATATAACAGAAATGGAGCTGGGAAGAGTGGAATTGGGTTTGGGCAAATGGGGAGGGGGGGTGGGAAAGAGAGAGGAGGGAGGGGTCTCGAAGCCCAGGGTACGCGCCGGGCGGGGAGAAATACAGAGCTGGAAGAAAGAAAGGAGAAGATTATGGGTTGCGGAGGGGGGGGGGCGTACCCCACTCAGTTTTGCTTTCTACACCCATCTCTCGCTTCTTGATTAACAGAGTTGGAAGGGAACTTATAGGTCATCTAGTCCAACCCCCTGCTCAAGCCTCTGAAAGTCCCCCTTGTCAGCACTTCAACCTGCATTTACTCTAGTGCTGACATAAGAAGGAGAAGGGGGCAGCTGGCAAGAGGACGCTTGACTTTTCACCTACTTATTTTCCCTGAAGATAATATCCCCTAGGAGATGGGATGGGAGGGGGGGACATTCCTGGGAGCTGAAGTAGTAGATGTGGGGAGAGTGATTTGGAAGATGGCCAATGAGACGCAGAGAATTGGGGAACGGAAAGGGAAGGTTTGGGGTCAGGAAGTCAGTGTTGGCTACGACATAATCGGGGACAGATGGTCGTGCTTAATAACCTGACACCCCTCTGTTTTGGTAAACTGCACCTGGTCCTGGTATCTGGTTGTAAGAGGGGACCAGAAGAAGCAGTTTTTTGCTGTCCTCAGCCTCCAGAGCATCTCTAGGAGTCTCTGGAGGCTGGGACAGCAAAAAAAGTCACTTACTGTCCAACCGGGAGTTGGGAAATGGGCCATTTCAGGCCTCCGGAGGGCCTCCTAGGGAGTGGGGAAGGCTGTTTTCGCCCTCTCCAGATGCATAGAGAGGATCTGGGGCCAGGTGAGAAAGAAAAACGGGCCTTCCCCACCCACCTCCAGGCCCTCTGGAGGCAGGAAACAGCCTGTTTCCCTACTTCTGGTGGGCCTAGAAGGCCCGAAAATCAGATGGCTGGCGTGCACATGTGCGCCAGAGCTGAGCTGGAGTGCCCACTGATATGGCTATGCGTGCCACCTGTGGCACGCCTGCCATAGGTTCGCCATCACGGGTATAGGGTCTCTTTACTTGAGCAGAGGGTTGGACTAGAAGACCTCCAAGGTCCCATCCAACTCTATAATTCTGCTCTTCCTTCCTTCCTTCCTTCCTTCCTTCCTTCCTTCTTCCTTCCTTCCTTCCTTCCTTCCTTCCTTCCTTCCTTCCTTCCTTCCTCATCTCTGGAGGTTTTGAAGAAGAGATTGGACAGCCATTTGTCTGCAATGATATAGGGTCTCCTGATTGAGCAGTGGGTTGGACTACATGACCTCCAAGGTCCCTTGCAGTCCTAGGATTCTTTGTTTCAGGGAGGGACGGAGGGAGGAAGGAAAGGAGGGAGGGAGGGAGGAAGGACAGAAGAGGGAGGAAAGAAAGGATGGAAAGGAGGGTGGGAGAGAAGGAGGGAGGAAGGAAGGACAGAAGAAGGAAGGAAAGAAGGAAAATGGGAAGGGAGAGAGGGAAATAGGAAGAAAGAAAGGGAAGTGGGAGGAAGAAAAGCAAAGAATGTGGGAAGGAAGGAAAAGAAGGAAGGAAGGAAGGAAGGAAAGGAGAGGATGGGAAAGAGGGGAAAAGGACAGAAGAGGGAAAGGAAGGAAGGAAGGAAGGAAAGGAGAGGATGGGAAAGAGGGAAAAAGGACAGAAGAGGAAATGTGAGGAAGGAAGGAAAAGAAGGAAGGAAGGAAAGAGGATGGGAAAAAGGACAAGAGGGAATGGAACGAAGGAAGGAGGGAAGGAAGGAAGGAAAGGAGAGGATGGGAAAGAGGGGAAAAGGACAGAAGAGGGAAAGGAAGGAAGGAAGGAAGGAAAGGAGAGGATGGGAAAGAGGAAAAAGGACAGAAGAGGAAATGTGAGGAAGGAAGGAAAAGAAGGAAGGAAGGAAAGAGGATGGGAAAAAGGACAAGAGGGAATGGAACGAAGGAAGAAGGGAGGGAAGGAAGGAAGGAAGGAAGGAAAGGAGAGGATGGGAAAGAGGGAAAAAGGGAAAAAGGACAGAAGAGGGAATGGAACGAAGGAAGGAAGGAGGGAGGGAAGGAAGGAAGGAAGGAAAGGAGAGGATGGGAAAGAGGGAAAAAGGACAGAAGAGGAAATGGAAGGAAGGAAGGAAAAGAAGGAAGGAAGGAAAGAGGATGGGAAAAAGGACAAGAGGGAATGAACGAAGGAAGAAGGGAGGGAAGGAAGGAAAGGAAGGAAAGGAGAGGATGGGAAAGAGGAAAAAAGGGAAAAAGGACAGAAGAGGGAATGGAACGAAGGAAGGAAGGAGGGAGGGAAGGAAGGAAGGAAGGGTCAATGGGTGGAAACATTAGAGGAAGACCCAACCTGGAACAAAGGAGAAATTTCCTGACAGTGAGAACGATTAATCAATCAATGAAATAACTCTCCCCTCCTGCCCCCTCCCCCCCCCTCCGGCCAGTTTCGAGTGCTCCACTCAAGATCTTAAAAAACAGATTGGGCAGCCATTTGTCCAGAATGCCGTTAAGGTCTCTGCTCCGGCCTCGGGCCAGGGGTTGGTCTAGAAGACCTCCGAGGGCCCCATCCATCCCTAAGCATCCCATCATCTCTCGAGCCTGGCCCTCTTCCCCTTTCCAGCACCACCAGTCAGTTGACCTGAGCCAAACCTCCATCCAAGCCTGGGTCAGACCTGGCTAGATGACCTCTAGGGCTTCGAATCTCCCCGGGAAGCTTTGGCCAAAAGTGGGAACCAACCCCATCCCCCACCCCCCTTCTCCATAAGCATGGTGGGGGGGGGTGCTAAAGCTCAGAGCCTGCCTCCCCCCCCCGTGCCCCAGTCCCAGCTCCCCTAATTGCAGCCAGGCAGGCCTGGGGTGGTGGAAGCCCCTAAACTAATTTGGGGCGACGGTTGAATTCCTTCACC